TAGGCCTCATTTAAACTATTAATGATTCCCTTAGAGACTTGTGCAAGTCTAAGATACTGGGAGCAGTCACATATATCTCTGAGATGACCTACAGAAAATTTGGTGTTTGATACAAAACCACAACAAATAATACATCATGATTAGACCTCCACTACAAGCCCCACGACAGCATGTTCAGGTGACCTGTGCTGACCCACAAAGCAATTAACTCTATTATATTATCATACTGTTATCAAGGTAGTTATTTCAGGCCCTGGGCCCAAGACAGTTATTTCACAGTTGACTGCCCTGTAATTGCAGACAGACACATGCATGCTGGAATGCTTATCAGCTATTGATGTGTGATGTTCCAAACTTTCTTCCACAGCAACTGAACAGTGTATGATTCCTGTACCCTCATGCCAGGAACTCAGTATGTCCCCCACCCCCTCCCCATCATGCAGACAGACAGACAGACAGTGTAATGCCAGAACTCCAGGCAGGAAGGAAGAATAAACCATACAAAGTCATGTTCAATTCAGACCCATGTAGATCTCGCTTAGAATTGATCTTCAGTAACCCATGCTAGTCGTAACTTGGAGGCGACTAATGGGATCGGGTGGTCAGGCTCGGTGACTTGGTTGATACATGTCATCGTATCCCAATTGCGTAAATCGATGCTCATGCTGTTGATCACTGGATTGTCTGCATTATTTACAGACCACCAGTATATAGCTGGAATATTGCTGAGTGTGGCTTTAAACTAACTCACTCATGTCCAATTCACCATTGGTGAACCTTTCCAACACTAGAAGTAAACCAATGCCTCCAGTATCCATCTATGTTGGGAGGTAATGTGATGAACATGTCATATTCAGATAACTTTTGAAAGCAATCAACAGATATTTGAATGGCAGCTGGATTAACCATTATACTCTCCATATCCTCTGGGGAACAATCCCTCAAGAGCAATCACAATATTTTCTCCAGACCAAGCATTGTGACCAGTCCCAAAAAAGAAAAATATAAATGTAAATAAACATTTATTGACACTTATCCCATTGACAATAAATAACCCCAGCATCAGTGTCAATGTTGATGACTATCCAGCTTCAACACAACCCTTCATGACCAGGTGTTCCAACCTAATCTACAACTCACATAATAGTTGTTTAATTAACACTGCTAATTAGGTGTAGGTATCAAGCCTCGGGGGTTCATTAAGACTCAACGGGAACTGTATAAAGTGATAAATAGTTGCTACAGACTTGTGTTAATCTCCCAGCTGATAAGCCGAGGGTGTGAGGTACACAATGCTAATTGAGGCCCCAGCCGCAGGTGAAAGGTGTTATCTTCGCGGCCAAAAGCTGTTTCAATTTCAGTAGCTACGTGCTGTGACTACACAGGAATTAATCACTCAAATAGACATAGTTGACAATACTGGTACAGTTTACACCATCATAAAACAAATATTCCCAACAAAACTGAAGATACATAAATAATTCGCAAACCAATCACATTTTGTTTATGGCACTTGCTGTTTATGAGGCCATTCAGGTCTGCTACTGTGGAAGTTCAATCTTATGACACCCTAGCTCTTAAATTTTTACCTCACCTCACTTCACCAATTGCATAATCAAATGTTCATGATAACAATCACTGGATTGTCTGGTGCAGACTTGATTATTTACAGACTGCTGTCCTCCATGTGGGATATTGCTGAGTATGGTGTTAATCAACAAAATAAAACGAACAGAACAACAGAAATTGCAGACAGAAATACAGACAAGATGATGTCTCTACCAGTCAAACATTTATATTTTAAATATGTCACAGCAAATAAGACAGGTGAATGAGGCAAGACACATATTTTAAATATGTCACAGCCCTTCACCACTGACCAAACTGACCAAACACGGGCTTTCTAAATTAACATTCCAACAAAACATACTGTGCATAATTGATTGCTTAATCTCTCAACCACGAACAAGCAAGTGCACTGATTATTTAAGGGAAGTGTTGATTGCACTCAAATTATTTAAACTGCTCTGCAAAGAAACAGACAGATTACCTGCTCATTGACTATGTTTCAGAGACCAACAGTATGTAGACGTAATAAATAACGAAGGATATCAGACCAAATCCTTAACATGGAAGAACAAAAATAAAACACTGGGCAAACAAATTAGTATTACCTCATAAGACTACAATGTGCTACAACAACAATACACCATAACATAGGCGAATATTACAAGACTCAGAGATGCGCAACCAGGGTGTACCAAAATAGGGAGTGGATACAGAAAAATATAATCATCCCAAATGGTGACAATAATAAAGTTTCCATAATTAAAATAATTCATTAATCTATTTGTTTATAAACTATATTACATTACTTACAGGCCCTTCATATTTCCTGAAAGGACCATTGAAGTTAGTAAGCGTGAGTCTTACTGACCCACAGCTTTACCAGGTCAAGGTAAAACCCTGTGTGGAATATACAAGAAAGATGAGAAATACAAATGAGACACACCCATAATATGAGACTGACACTAGAGAACATCAAGGACTTGAAAACGTGTACTGCATAAGAATACAACATTCATTTAGGAGACCCACTTCTTCAGAGACAACTGAACAGCATAAATATCTTTGTCCCCAAACATATGGGGTGTTGTGTCAATAATTACAAGGAAAATTTCTTTGACCAGACAATACAGTGTTCAATAACATGACTATCTCAGTATCTGTTACACACAGTGGAAAATTCAAATTATTACATAAATTTGAACTTTGATAACTATGGCTTTATTTCACTGGCAATATCCTTTTCAATTTCATCTGAATAATTGTGTTTCCCTCAAAGAACATGAAAACAGAAAAAACACCTGAAGACGACATTGAATTATTTGAACAACTAACCAAATTCAAAGTTGCACTAGTAAATCAATGCCACTGTTTGATTTCCCAGAACTCAAAATGAAGCACACCCTTTACATTGGTTAACCACTGGTGGGATTCATAACTCCCATCCAGGCTGTCACAACCAAGAAAAGACTGGGCTGAGATTGCAAAACAAATATGTTACTAATGTACATAGTCACCTGGGTGGAAAGAAACCTAATGGTTCAAACTTGAAACATTGTCCCACATATGTCTAAGGAAGGATGTGAGCCAGTTAATGACAGTGAACACAATTATTCCCTACTTCTTCTATACAGAAATAAGGTTCATGGTGTAACAAAAAAAATTCCCTTCCATATCTTAAAATGTGTGCAGACCGCCTCTGTGGTGTAGTGGTTAGAGCGTCCGCCCGGAGAGCGGAAGGTCGCGGGTTTGATCCCCGACCGCGCCATACCAAAAGACATTAAAATATGGTACTTGTTGGTCCCTGCCTGACGCTCGGCATTAATGGGTACAACAAGGACTGGTCGGCTCGGAGTCAGTATAATGTGTCTGAGTGGGGTATTCATGCTTCACGGTATCTCAGTGGGCTAGCACTATAAAACCAGCTTAAGTCTGGGCTAGTACAAGCAGCCGCATATACACATACACATGCATGCACGTCGTCATATGAGCGAAAAATATTCTGAAGCACAACATAAAACCCAATTTCACCTCACCTCACCTCACCTCACCTAAAATGTGTGCAAGGTGGCATTTTAATTTTTAATATTGCTGTGTGCCCCTTTGTCACATGATGATATACTCCCTTACCCACGAAACATTCATGCTTCATATGAGTTACACGCCTGAACTGATGCCCTGAATAGTTTTTTTAAAAAACAGATTTTCCTTTGTAGGCAGTTATGTAAACAGGAGACTCAAGGCAATAGGACATCTAATGATTACCATGTGATGTGACATTTTTCTACATCATTACGATATTTGAATAAAATCTTGGAATACATTCATTCAGTGTCTTAGAACATGAACAGATCTGAAATTCTGTCAATGAATCTACTTGGAGACAATAAAGGCTGGGTGTTTGATTGTGAGGCAGTGAAAGTGAGGGCTGAAAACGGAATAATTTATTTGCTGCGGCCTGACAGAAGTGTATGACTTGAGTTTATGTCCTTCCAGCTCTGTGCCTTGGCAATCATACTTTCTCAGTGGTTGTTTATGTATGAAACAAGCCCAATCCTCATTATGGAAATGAATCTGGCAGATAAGCAAGAAACCGTGTTGACACTGACATGATTGGGCACACACCCAGACTCGGCACTTCAACTGAATGAAAGAACTAGGAAGCCTAACCTAACTCACAAACTCATATAATGGGAAGCAATTGACGCATACAAAACTTATGTTTAACGAATGTAAATAGTATTGATACTTCGTGTGTACAAGGGAGATGCCTACATTTTCTCAGCGGTAACTCACTTGATAACTAGGCAAAGCATACATGAACACACATCTCCTTTTGATATTGTGAGAAAATGCAGCTTCAAATTTAAAAGGCTGAATTTTCAATACAACATTCCACAAAGAAAATTCTCCATCAGTAAATTGTTGCAAAGGTGCGAATGGCTTGCTCGTCAGCAATCACAAGAGGAAGACAAGGTTAAAAATAATACATATTTTCCTTATCAGTTGATACTTGAAACTACAATCGAAAGGTTGTGCTGATAGTAAACAAGGATCATAATGCTCACAGTTTAATGCATTGCATTGCATGTATATTGCTGTACATTTAAATATTCTCATACTAAAAAGGTATTGATTCAAGGTATGATCTCAATTTTTTAAAGCAACATATGTTGGTTATCTACTATCCACAGAGCAAAATTGTCTGCAAAAGGATTTTATGATTTCAGTTCTTAAAATGAAATCTGTGTTTAATATTCATGCAAAATATCCGAGTCATTCCACTTAATGAAATGTAGCAATGTGAACTATTATCCATCTACTGTTAAATGTAAGACTTGTACTAATAAATTTACAAACTGTGGTGACTGAATGCAAAAAGTAGCTTAAAGTACTATATTCAGAAAATATATAACAAACATGTAAAATCTTACCTCATAGGCCCAGGTGCATTGTATTCCAGCATACTTTCTGACACATCTTCCAATTTCTACATCTTCATGAGTTGTATACAAATTCTGAAGACAGTTGCTCACGTAAGGAGCCATTCGACGAAGAGTTTCACGACTAAATATCATTCCAGGTCCACCCATACAGAAATTTTCTGTTGCGGTCAAACTAAGAAGACCCAATTCTTCTGGTTTTCCAACACCTGCTTGGCCAATGAATTGAGGTTTGGAGCTATTTATCGATCGAAGAAATTTATCAAGTTTGTCCCCCTTGACAAAAACGTCATCATCCGCCCTGACAAACCATTCATATTGATCAAGAAAATGATCATGCATATATTTTAACATCATGAAGGACTTCTTTTGGGGTGGATAGGAATCATCGACATTTGGTAATGCAACAACAGGTACTCCATGTTTGGATATGGAACCTTCACTTGAGAAGAATCTCACCTCTCCATTAATGGTATTAACCCAAGTTCGATGAGCAGCTAGCCCTCTTGAATCAATAAATTTTTTCGCTGTCATGATTCCAACGAAAACAAAATTATTTGTGGGGTTTTCATTTTGTTGCCCGTCAGATGTTTTGGCCGCATTGTCATCTGGGGAATTGCTGGTTGAGAGGCCAATCTCTTCGCAGCATATATCTGGTAATCCACATCGCGAGAAAAATTTATTTTTGCAATAATTTGAAAGTAATATACCCGCAAGGAATCCCACGAGCAAACAGGTGGCATAGGTCTTAACAATTCCATAACGCTTCCTTGCCATAGTAGTTCCCAGTTCGCCATGCATCTGTCAAGATGTATAAATCAAGAGATGTAATACTACAGAAGCTATACTGAAATACAACTTAACGCGTGTCCAGTCTGACATGTAATGATATATGATTACGCAACCACTTGATTCTCTCTCTCACGGAACACGTGTCTCCCACAGACATGATCAAGGTCTATTGACACTATATCCAGTCGTATATCCGTTAAATGAAACTTCTCATCCACATTTCAGCTGATGCGACACATGCACTGGGCAACACAAAGCGACTGGCTCGTAGTCTATCTTCTAAGATTCCATTCAGAAAACTTCACCAAGTTCGAAAACTTTTTGGATGAGCTGAAGTACAACAACGACATATATCAGCTCATGTTTTCGCGTTCTTCGACCCTTTCTGAAACTTTCAGGCGTCCCATGGTCGCTGAGTAGACGGTCACGTGTATTCCAAGAACTTTCGGCAACTTTCTGAAACTTTTCAACGTGTCGATATGGCAGGAGGGGGCAAAACAACCACTCCCCGATTCCCTCCCAAACCACGAAAGTGTACGGTCGAGCACGCGAGTGCAACACGTCAAAACTCTTATCAAGTCATCCTGCCCTAGCACTGGCCAGTCTACCCGATTGAAAAGCCAGAGGGGTGTTAGCTTCTTCACAACCAGCCGACTTCAAATGGGCGCATGCCGATGGGATCCCACCCGTCATTGTCAACAGCTAATAATAAACCACTTTGTACGCTTCAGTGACTCGCTGCTGCCGCCGCTGTCACGACCGACCCACTTTGACTTCGGCTCTCTCCGTATTTGAACGGGGAATGCCGATCTGACACATGCTATAACCCGTACACCTACTTATCTAATATATTTTTGAAAAATATTCTACCGATACGTGGATACTTAAATGGATGTGTGGTTTTGCTAAATGCATGTTCATTGTTTTTTCCTCTGTGTATTGCTGTAGAAAACTGCTTTGTTAGGGATTATGGTTTGGAAACCCACTACCCATCACTAACGCATTACCAGTAGATGAACACATGACACGTTTTATGGGTAACAACTTGTTTTTATCCTTATCACGTTCGAGAGATAATTCTTGCTAATTAATAATCATCGCGTGTCATATAGTTATTTTCGTTCAACTTTTAAATGCCCTTCAAGAACTGCATTACCAGTAGATGTGCGCAATCAATGTTTGGATGCCTCAAACAATGAGAACGTTGAACAAGAAACGTGAGGCAATAAACAAATGTTCCAGTAACATATAGCGAGTAAAGAGGATTTATTTAACTTGAAGAAAAATGTTTTCGTCTTTCATTTACTTTTTTTAAGAACGGATCCATTATTCTTAACTTTATGGGTTTCAAACAGAATGTATGCAGTCATCGTTTTGTATCCCAGCTAACATTATAAAGTATTTTCCATTTCATTCTAATCGTTCTGAAGCCATTTGATCTTACGATAAACAAATTAACTTTACGTTTACGTCTTTTAGTTTTTGACATCTGTCGACCTTATTTCATGAAAGATAAACGAATGAACAAGTGACATATTTTATGGTATACATGCTTCAGAAAGGAAAAGTATACATATAAAAAAGTAAGTATATATTGGCAATACAATACAAACCTATATATATATATTAAACGTGCTTCACGTGTAATTTCATTTTCTGCAAAATTGTATTGATTATTGGAATATACTCATAATTGATTACTGACATATATCATACATTCATAGTCTATTCGATTTCATTTGGACTAACCACGCAATGAAACAAAAACTAATTGCATAAGGTAAACAAAGATGGTGCCCCATTAGAAATCACGGCACATCACCACAGCGGTTGTACATGGCAGAAAACATTTCCAAGTAATAATAGTAAACTATATTTTTCTTTGACTTTACAACGAATATTCTTTTAATTGTACATTTTGACAAATGACAGAGCTTCCAACCTCAAGAGAGAAAAGGACATTGAGGTGCCAGGGTGGAACCTGTGTGGGGTTCAGGGTGGCGAAGCCAACGTATAATAACGTATAAAGCTATGGTAACTGTGATACAGTGCCCTGACATACAACAAAATCTAGTCAACTGTATTGATAGGATGTTCCAGAGAAGAAAAATACTGTTAAATATATGAACTCTTTATATTGCTATATTTAGTATATTTTACTTATTCAATATATTATATATCTGTAATGTGTATATATCTGTAATGAGTTGGTTATTAGGGTGTGGATTTGTGGATATGATTGCGGATATGGATGTGTGTGTGTGTACTTGTATGTATTGGTATGAGTGTGGCTGTAAGTATAAGTATTTGTATATGTGGGTTTGACTGCGTGGTGGGTGAATGTATTTTCGTTCATGACGGTACGACATGGGGATACGACCTGGGTGTGGACGTGTGTGTTTGTATGTGTTGGTATGACAGTGGATGTGGGTGTATGTATTTGAACGTGTAAGTATGAATGGCGAATGTGAAAACGAATGCAGAAAGATAATACCTGTGCACGTGTATCTCCGTGTTAGCGCCTCTGTGTTTACCAGTGATACTATGTGTGCACGTGTGTGTGTGTGCGCGCGCGCGCGTGCTTGCGCGTGTGTGTGTGTCATGTTTTATTTCAACTGTATAATTTTATGCATTTTGTTTTAATCATTTATCCATCCCACATATTGTAATGCTCTTTAAGTCTATTGTAGCCTTCTGGCGCAGCTCTATAAATTAATGCATACTAGTGTTGGGAATTGGTTTCAATCTCATAATTGATGATTGGTTCATTACAACCGATCAATCATCGAAAATAATTGGTTAGCGTCATTTATTAATTTTTCCTGGTTATGTTTGTTAATGCACAAAAGGTAAAGAAAAAAACACGTAGTTCTTTCGTTTTCTTTGCAAATTGCACAAAATGCAATTGCAAATTTCACATCTTTAAAGGATGACTAGCATGTTAGGAACATTAATTTCATGGAGTCTTTAAAATAAATTCAATCATGAATTGGAAGAGCTTGTAGTGCTAATGAAATCTAACAGACAAAACCAACCTTGTGAACAATATTGTTATTGCAAACAAGTTAGTGTTCCAAAATTGATTGTGTTCGATTATGAGATAACATGATCGATTGCTTGGTCGTTTTGTCATTGCGACCAATCTTCGATTATTTCAATTAATCGGACCACCACTAATGCATACATTATTTGTATATACAAGATGAGACTAAAATAAACTACTACTACTACTACTACTACTACTACTACTACTACTACTACTACTACTACTACTACTACTAACTATTGTAATTGCAAATTCCCTTCTCAGAAGACGATGTATTTAGACCTATTTGTGTGAGTTTAAGTGGTCCAAATGTGCATGAACCCAGTTTGGTGTGAGGTTTATTAGTTTATCGTGAGGGCGTGACAGGAGTAATGAAAGCCAAAGGTGTGAGACTTGGCAGGTATGCTCTAAATAGAAAGTTACTGACTACATATGGACCAGCCAATGGTCCTACACCGAACCGCGCTTCAAATGAGGAAGGATCAGAGAAAGTGTTTTCAATGTTGTGAAAATTCATACAAACATTGCTTACTTCTCATCAAACTTCAGTGGGTGGTCTTGTTTGATTTAGGTGGCTTTATTCATTCGCTGAAGCATTTGAAATCATAGCAATCGGGAAAGGGGCAATAATGCATGCCATTCCCGCAGATTCCTTAAACTGTGTGACAGATTAGATTTTACAGACGCATCAACTAATGTCCTTATCCTGGCATTAACTAGCAAAGTATTGGTCTTTTAACTATATAAACCCGAATTCCCCGAACGACATTAGAAGTGATATGCATAAAGGCGAGAATTTATGGATGTGAAAATAAAGAGGCTGACATCCATATATTCTCGCCTTTATATGTAACCGTTTAAAGCTACATTCATTGTCAATGTGATATTTAATACAGAAATTAATCACGTGATACCGCGCAGCCATGCTTTCATGCACATGAAAATGTAAAACGGCCATGTTAACAGTTCCTTTAAGAAACAAAGTCAAATTGAGTACCATTTACTCAGGTAATGGTGAGTTAGGGAAAATGTTGAATTACTTATTTTATCGTATTTAATTGTTTTGCCGTTTTGTTCGCCAGCTGCAGTGAATCTGAATCACTTAATACCAGTTGTTAGGGGTTTATTCATCTGATAAACTGGGCTCCGACTCTTTATAAATGCCATACGTTGGTTTGAATAAGCTGATATTGTAAGATAAAAGTGTCGCAAACATTTTAGCGCAATGGGAACCTGTAACCAGATTACACGAATCGCCTGCTCGCACCTGCTGAATGACCCGATTTTCCATACAGTTCATTAATGTATATTTTTAACAAACGTATAATCGAGTTTACACGATGCAAGTGGGTAACAGTTGTTCACACTCTTTTCGTTCCAGAATGATTCTTTTAGAAAGAACATGGCGTATCTTTTAGTTTTTGAGTAATATTATTGTGAGAAAGTATTTTCTGTGATATATCGTGCTTCCGTTGGTTGGAACATGGCGGATGGCTACTTGGGAATGCCGTCTTGAAATTTGGAGTTGTTGTTCAGATTTTGTTAACAGTCTCTTATTCCCAAGAGTGACAATACCCGTGCTTCAAAGACAATACGTGCATGTGCTTTGAACTGATCAACTGCATTAATTTCCTGGCGTTTCATAATCCGAAAATATAGTGAAAATATTCATGTGACCGGGCAACTAGAATCAAACATGGCGTCTGCCTTGAACGAGGAAAGCGTACAGAAGAAATTACAGAGTGTAACAAACGCCCAAGACAGCATACAAAGCCTGTCACTCTGGATCATACACCACAAGACACACCACAAGGAAATTGTGCGTTTGTGGTTGAACGTATTTAAAAAAGGTAAATCATAGTATGCACTTGCAACATTTCATGTCAAATGAGGACAGTTTGATTTGTTCATGTTTCATTCCATTTGTGCAGTCTAACAAAGTATGTTTGAAATATATTCAGGTTAAACGTCTTTGATATGTACTACTGCTCACAATACATGGACATTGATGACACAGCACAACTTGAATTATGAAATACATGGGTCAGTGTCTTCCGATTAAGACATATCGGGGATGAAGAACAAAAACACCCCTCCACTAATTATTGTCACAGTTTGCATTCAAAGTATTCTTGCACTGTGTGTCTGTGTGTGTGTATTTGACAGTGCTGTGAGAAATAATACAGCTGTATGTTATCTTAATAATTAAGCATGAACCGTATAATCTAGTGCTTGACGTTGTGAGCAACGTTCATGCCATTTTGATTACGCTGACAAATTATCTGCCAAATCACCTGACGCTGTCTCAAATAAGTCACCATGGGTCAACAAGCATAGACTGCATTGGAGCATTTCTAGCCCAACATCCTCAGTGCGATATTATAACAGGCCCATGTACAGATTATGGACACACATACACAGAATCACAATACATCATTGAACTGATAAAACCTTTCCTACATACGTCTTAGACTGTTATAGTCCATTTGATTTCATTTGAGACCGATGAATTGCTATTAAAAAAACTATCATTATTTTATTGTCACTAAGTTAAACAACTTTTTTATAAATGTGTGTCCAAAATTATTAGAGGAATCATCAGAGTTGGTCTGTCAATTTCATGTGACTGCAAAATTTAGTTTCTTTGCAGTTATTAGATTTTGTGTCAGTGAGCAATTCATCAAATCAAACAGACTGTAAAAGTAATTGATGTTACTGTTACTTTCAGCGAAAGCTGCTCATCGACTGACTCTGTTTTACTTGTGCAATGATGTTGTACAAAACTGTAAGAGGAAGAATGCCATCGTGTATCGAGAGAGTTTCAAGGATGTCATCAGAGCAGCTGCTATATTTGCAAGGTAAATATTTTTCTAGCAGTGGTTTTGTGTTTTGGTGGTAGATTCTTTGGCACTAAGAAGAGTCTTGCAACAATATCATGATGAATCCTTTTTTATTTGGTACATTGAACTGCGTGATTATGTCTATTCTTGAAATAGAGAAATCAGATGTGCTGCTAGCCTCTCACACGAAGAATTCGGAAGTCTAGATATTGATACCCGTGAAGGTCCGGGTTAGCATATTGGCCTTCAGTAACCCATGCTTATCGTAAGTGGTGACTAACAGGATCGGGTGGTCAGGCTCGCTGACTTGGTTGACACATGTCATCGGTTCCCAATTGCCGGGATTGATGCTCATGTTGTTGATTACTGGATTGTCTGGTCCAGACTCGATTATTTATAGACCGCTGCCATATAGCTGGAATATTGCTGAGTGTGGCGTAAAACTAAACTCGCTCACTCACTCTAGATAGTGAGTCTTCCTTTACATGGATACTTGTTGTGTTATCATGCAGAGAGGTAACATATCAGAGTAATCTATCTTATTTTGATCAGACTGAATACAGGAGTACTAGTTTTGCCATAAGTATTGGCCTCTATAATTTGTGTCTGATAATTGATATCATGTCAATTCCAAGTCAGCAGGAGTGGTTGGGTAGCCTAGTGGTTAAAGCGTTTGATCGTCACGCCAAAGACCCGGTTCGATTCCCCACATGGGTACAATGTGTGAAGCCCATTTCTGGTGCCCCCAGCCACGATATTTCTGGAGTATTGCTAAAAGCAGCATAAAACCAAAAAAGCTCACTCACTCACTCCAAATCAGCAATACTTTAACATTTAGTTATGACAGGCTCTCAGAAGATCATGATCAAAATATTTCATTGATGCACTTTCATGTCACTTCTAAATACATAAACACTCTCATTTTGCATGTAACTGTTACTAAGTTTATTTTTTGTTGTAATTGTTGACTAAAGCTGGCTTATTTCAGTATTACAAGTCTTCACTTGCTTCTACTTAAATACCACATATGTCATGGCAGAGGTGACAAGTTTGACAATTTGTTAGCTTTCTCTTGCAGCTGTTGGCTAGAATTTACTGTTGAGTTAAGATTATGTGAAAAATTATTCTTTTTCAGCGTGCAGATGATTGGTAAACTGATCACACAATCTAACTGATGTACTACTGCCTAAGATGAGGAAAATTACATTTTGTTTTGACTTTGAAAACCTGTGAATACTTCAAGCTGATTTACAGTGTAGTCACTACTTTCAATAGATCAATGAGGATTGAGATTACTTTACACAATTAGTACTATTAATGTACATTGTGTGGCCATCTGCTCTAAACATTGCTTTACTATCAGGCACGGTGTTGATGAGCTTATAAACAAAGTGGATCAAATTTATACATCAACATGTTACAGCCTCAACTAACACAAAATACTATAGTCTGTCATACAGATCCTGAAGCAAATATATCCAAGAATTCCCACGCAAGTCTAGAAAATGTGGCAAGTCTAGAAAATGTGGCAGGCCTAGATTTCCACAGCTTCAGTCTGAAAATGAAGGAAGTCTCAGGGCTTTTTCTTATATATTCTTTTTCACTGTGAGGCTTTTTTCTGTAAAATATGTTCATTTCAGAGACTAGTTGTTAGTCTAAACATACTACTACATCACAAATAATCCTTGTGGATTCATGGCTAATGGAGGAACCTAGAGTGTAAAAAACCTGTGAAATATTCTGTTGAAGATTTCATCCAAGAGTGTTAAGTAACCCCTTTTTCTGTTCACAGAGATAAGACTATCAAGGGGAAGGTAGAGAGGATCTTCAACATCTGGAAGGAACGCAGTGTGTTTGATGGGAAGTACATCTCTAGTCTACACGGCATCATGGGTGAGTAAGCTGGGACAATCACTGTCTAATGTATGAGTGAGTTAGTTTAGTTTTACCTCGCACTCGGCAATATTCCAGCTATCTGGCGGCAGTCTGTAAATAATCAAGTCTGGACCAGACTATCCAGTGCTCATTAGTCGCCTCTTACGACAAGCACGGGTTACTGACGATCAATTCAAACCTGGATCTTCATGGGTTCTAATGTATGAAGAGAATCAGGATAGAGAAATCCAGTGTTTTATCAACAACTGTTGATTTTGATTGCTCTAAATCACGCAACACTGAAATATTCTTTTTCATATATTCCTCCTTGGGTTACATATAAGCATTTAAATGTCCATTTAAAATCCCTACGACAGTTGTAACAATATTTGAATAAAATATTTACAAAACTAAAAACTTAAGTTTTTGTCTTGTGAGACCACACTTACAAGGCCCCACGGACCCCTACATCCAAGAGCAGGTAACTCTTGACTATAACCTCGCACCTCACTTTCCATGCTGTTGTTCTATCGACCAGACATGTGTCCCTTCTCAAGAGTTGCGCTGTTTTACAGCAATCTGGTCCGGGCGGGGGGTGATATCTGGGCCCAGGATCCCCCGTCCAAGCATTCGCATGAAAAGAAGATGCCTTCTGGGGCCTCCTCCTCGTAGTCGGCTTCTGAAAAAGCCAAGGTAGTCAAGGAGTCCTCTCTCTGCCTCCCCTGCACCTCCCGTTGCTGAAGCACCTGTGGTAACATTTGATGCATTATCAAGTTTGTTTCAGGAGCAGATGTCGTCTGTGAAATCCTTGATTGACGCGGTGCTGTCTGGGTTCGTAAGGAGCTCAGCACGCCTGTCATCAGGGACAGATCGGGAACATCTGGGGGGTTGGATGCAGCCCGAAGTTCAGGCTTGATCCGAGCTTGGGCTCAGGTGATAGTTTGTCTAGGGCGCCTCGCGTCGACCTTGCCTCGGGCTCAGGTTCATTGCAGGCGCCCGGCGCCGGCGATTCAAGTCTTGACCTGTCTTTATCTGGTGCCCCAACCGGTAGTTGCCCTGGTGCTGACCGGCTCAGGGGCTCCACGGCGCCCCGTGTGCAATCTGGGCTGCCAGGGAATCCTGTAGGGGCAGGCTCTTCCCTGGCGCCTAGGCGCCCAGGTGTGGGTTCCACCAGGGGGTAGGGCAACTCAAACCTTTTGGCTCTACTTGGCCTTTTGAGCCCTTTGTGTTCAGCATTAGTGGCTTCTCTCGGTGACCTCCCTCGGTTATGAGAGTCTGGTAGCCGAGGAGTGTGCAGATGTTGACATGGAGGAGGATAAGGGGAGAGAGGAGTCAGAAGTCGGGGTCACAGGTGGCTGCCCCAGCTGGCTGTACCTGTACAGGCGCCAGATCCCATGCTAGCGCGCCAGCTCTCTGATGCCCACTTTCATCTGGCTCGGGACAGCATTAAGAGCTGTGCCAGCCAGATGATGGGTGCAGTCATGGGCATGCGCAGGCTTTGGCTCTCTGTGGCAAGCTATTCACCGACCATGCAGCAAGCACTGCTTTCTCTGCCATTCACAGTGGGGTCTTCCCTGTTTCCTGGGGCATTGCAAGTAGTGTGTTAGGCCGCTGAGGCGGTGTCAACCTTCAAGGATTCTAAACCCTTGTTGGAACACCCCTCCACTTCTCGCCAATGGCCTTCCCCTCTTGCCTCCGCTTATCCTACCGCCCTGGCGAAGGGGCCTGCAAAGTGGACTGTCCCTTTGCAGAGCAAGCGGAGCAAGAGAGCACAAGGGCAGGCCTGCTCCATCGAAGCAGCCTTTTCGGGGCAAGGGGAAGCCAGCACCGGCTTCCAGTTGAATCTTCCCTAGAGCCCTTACTGCCCCCCGCACAAGTAGGCGGAGACTTGCCGACTGTGGTGGTGCATTGCCAAACGTCCCTGTCACTATTCCTTCGGGAGTGGGAAGTGGCCACATCAAATCCCTGGGTCCTGTCCACACTCAGGGATGGCCATTTGCCACAGTGGAGGCGAGATCCACCGTCCTTCTCTGTGGTTCGGCACATGCCCAGGAGAGAAGGCGGGCGTACTCCATGCCGAGGTGCAGTCTTTACTGGACATGGCAGCCATCGAGGTGGTTCTGGAAGGTCAGCAAGGAGAGGGGTTTTATTCCGCTTACTTCCTAGTGACCAAGAAGGACAGAGGGTCGGGATTGGCTCACGTCAATTTATCTCAAAGAGGCATACCTCCATGTTCCCATGCACCCGAGTTCAAGAAGTACCTACGGTTCTCCTTTGACGGGAAGTGCTACCAGTTTCGTGTGCTCCCCTTCGGCATCTCCACGGCGCCAAGGGTGTTCACCAAACTTATGTTAATCCCAGCTCAGTTAGCCAGGTCACAGGGCAGGTGTTGTAAGGCCAACAGTTGAGCAGAGATTCCACACTGCGTGTGATGGATATTCTCGTGAAACTGGGCTGGAATATCAACCTCAAGGAAAACGGAACTCGTTCCTACGCAGGATCTGGTGTTCTTGGAGGCAAGGTTCAACACGGAATGGAGGATTGTCTCCCTAGCTCCAGACAGTATCATCAAAGTCCAGAGAACTGTTCTACAGTTTCTCGAGTTGCCCCATGCGACAGCTCGAACATGGCTTCGGTTGCTAGGCAACATGGCAGCGATAGTGGATGTGGTTTGGCGTGCGCGTCTGAGGATGAGACCCATTCAGCAGGCGTTAAAGCAGCTGTGGTCCCACTCGCAGAGCTACGAGTCCATACTCAAGACGCCTGAGTGGTTGATTCCTCACTTGCGGTGGCGAGCTTTCTGGAATTTGTTCGTGGCCACGTGGTTCGTCTAGAAATGGACAACCAGACAGCTATGACATACATCCTACAGCAAGGCAGCACGGTGTCCCCGTCACTCCTTCAGGAGGCGTGGCAGTTTCTACTGTGGTGCGACCAGATTCAGGATTTGCGTGTTTACCTCCCGGGTGTAGACAACGTTCGTGCAGATGCTCTCTCATGGCGTATATTAGCCCCAAACGAGTGGATGCTCAATCGGGGGATATTCGGGATTATCTCCCAGTTGTTCGGGTCGTTCCAGTTGGATCTGTTTGCCTCTGGGGTGACGAACCAGATACCAGAGTTTTGTTTTCGGATTCTGGATTTCGGATCCAAGAGCGATAGCCAACAACACCTTTTAGCTCGATTGGACGGACAGGGTACTGTGGGCGTTCCCACCGATGCCACTGATTTCCAGGGTCCTGTCACAGCAATCCGCTGAACCAGCTCGACTACTTGTGCTCCTTGCAGCCCTTTGGTCGGCTCAAAGCTGGTTTCCGGTAATCTTCAGGTTTCTGACTCAGCCTCCTGTACTATTATCTTTTCGGCCGGACCTCCTATCCCAGAACAGAGGGCCCTACCTGAATACCAGGATTCAGTGGGTGGCTTGGCCGCTGTCCGGAATCGCCTCCAAGCGAGAGGAATTCCTGCACCAGTTGCAGACACAATTCTGGCTTCACAGAGGGATTCGACAAACGTTCAGTATGAGGATAGATGGGCATGTTATGCGGCTGGTGTGTCAGCAGGGGGATTCTCTATCCCTTTTCTGCAGATTTAGTCTCTGTGTTACAATTCCTCCAGTCTCAGTTGGAAGCCGGTCTAGCGGCTTCAACTGTTCGAGGATATTCAACGGCTATTTCGGCATTCCACATTCCTGTTGACGGTGCACTCTTGGGGCAGCACCCTCTGGTTCAGCGCTTTTTAGCAGGCGTGGACAGAATCTGGCGGATTAGTCCCCCATGGGACTTGTCAATCGTTCTTGATTGGCTGTCCGGTCGACTGTTTCACAATCTGTCGGCTCTTTCTCTCCAGCTGTTGACATGGAAGGCAGCTTTTCTTGTGGCGGTAACTTCGGGCAGGCGGGTAGGCGATATTCATGGAATGTCAGCCGACCCTGAAGCTAACTGTTTTTCACAAAGACAGAGTTAGCATTCGGTTGCCTGATACTTACCGCCCTAAGAGAGATAGTGCCTTTCATGTAATGGCGCCTATTGAGCTCCCAGCTTTCATGCAGCCTTCCCTGCCCGGTACCTCTCTACGGTGTGCTCACGTCTTAGATGTCTGTAAGACCCTTAAGGCTTATATCAAGCGAACAATGGGTATCCGTAAGGATAACCAGTTGTTTTGTTGTTATGGCGGGGGCAAGGCTGGTCTTCCGGCAAACAAGCAAACCATTTCTAGGTGGCTTGTCTCTGCCATTTGTATGGATTATACTCCCAAAGGCATACGCTGCGGCGCTGCCCATTGAGGAGATCTGCTCAGCGGCTATTTGGAGCCTACCGAGTACGTTCATCCGTCACTATCAACTTGACGGACACTCCAGCGAGCGTGCTCGGTTCGGTCAGTCAGTTCTCAGTGGGCAGGGGTCCACCTCTCTAGCTGTTTGAGCTTTCGAGGTTTTATGGCGAGAATCAATATATATGCCGTTTTAACTGGTGTTGGGTTATTTAAAAACTATTCTACCTTCCCCCTTTGGTGTCGGCTTTATGGTGGTGGTTTTTATCCCATGTACTTTGCATTCCTCCGTACTGCACTAGACCAATTGCCTTAGAAACCTTAGCTTGTTTAGGCAAATTTCTTCTTGGGTTTGTTGCTAGATTCCCTTACTTTCGCATTATAAAGCTAGTATGTTCGACCCCTGACCCTGGCTCATGCCTCCGCCCGATTGGCTGTGGTGGACACGTGACCCAGTAAGTGAGATTTTTCCGATATTTTTAGTTTGGGAATTCCTCTTGTCGTCGGGTATGTTCTATGAGACAGAATGCCGCTCCCGGACTCAGTCTTTAGGAGTTTGTCGTATACTTATATGTACCCCACGGAGGAATATATGAAAAAGAATCAAACAAACCTGTAGAGGTTGCAGATGCTTCGAATATATTCCTCCTTAGGGTACGACCACCCACCTCCACACATTCTGTCTGATTTTGCTCAGCATGGAAAGTGAGGTTATAGTCTAGAGTTACCTGCTCTTGGCTGTAGGGGTCCGTGGGGCCCTGTAGGGGTGGTCTCACAAGACAATGTAGTTTTTTGTTTTGTAAATATCTTATTCAAATATTGTTACAACTGTCGAAGGGATTGTAAATGGACATTTAAATGCTTATATGTACCCCAAGGAGGACTGTATTTAAAGAATCTGCAACCTCTACAGGTTTGTTCAAATTTCTGTGTATGTGAAAAGAATTCTTCATGGAATCATATGTAATAATATATTATACATGGCTGCAGGTACCCAGTCAGATTCCCATTCCCATTCTTCAAAACGCAAGACATCCTCCAAGCCAGCCTCTCCTGCAGTCACAGTGACCCCTGCTGCTGTTTCCACCCCTCCTGCAGGACCTAAACCTGCCATCTCACAGGTGGACCCCAAACTCATCGCTGATTTCAAGGTAGTTCCATTTTCTTGTATCATTAATTGCAGCACTGACACTTTAATCATTCTGCTGAAACACTTTAGGAATGTTTTTGTTGTAGAATGTTGGACGTTTAAAGGTTTCCTATTGGGTTTTAGTTTGTACTCCCAGCGTTTAACATTACAAATCAGATTATGACAAGGATCTTTTGACATTCATGCCTCATCACAATCCCTGGTACAATCAAGTCCAAAACACGGTCTCGATTCCCCATATGGGCACAAATTGCAACCCATTTTTAGTGTCCCCTGTTGTATATTGCTGAAATATTGCTCAAAGCAGCATAAAACCATACTCACCTGCTCATTCATAATGTTGATGTCAGTTCATTGATTGCTTCATCAGACCAATCAGGAGTTGAAAAACATTTTGGCTTTATACAGTCAGGCCTCGTTAATACGAACACTTCGGTTTCTGTAAAAAAACGTTCGGATAGTGAAACGTTCGTACTGCAGAAACCACAGTATATGCACCGAGTTACTTCCCCTTGATATCAAAGAAATCAAAACAAAACATCAAAGACAATCACTGGATTTATTACACATTGTTTCACTCACACATTTTACTTACGAAAGTAGTCTTTAATGGTGGGCTGCGTCAAAGGTTGTTTTAACGAATTGAGCATGTCCATTGCTTTATCTGCATTTTCGATGTCACCCTGGCACTCGTGAGTAATGTAATGATGTTGCCGAGGTACAGTCTCATGTCTGTTAAAGACGGAATGGTGACATTGTCTTCTGCTTCCTCTTCTTCACTTTCCAACTGATCATCTGTAGCTGTCACCATCTCTATGATGTTTTCTGAAGTCAGTGAATCACACGCTTCTTCGCTGGCATCGCATCGATGAAATCATCAGGCTTACATGTTTTCATCATCAGACGGGAGGCGCTGAAGTAGCCTTTTCAAGTCGGCAAGCACGATATCATCTTCGAGATCACCAGTTTCATCAATCTGGGATTCTTGACTTGGCAGAATTTCGACATGCTTGAAACAGTTCTTGATCGCCTGACAAGAAACATCTGCCCATGCAGATTTCACGAATCGCAAGGCTTCTCGTAAGTTTATGCACTGAGGTTTGTCGCCTTCTGCACATGCGATGAAATGTCTCACTAACGATCGCTTGTAATAAGCTTTAAATGTCCGAATAATACCAGCATCAAGTGGCTGAATCCTGGATGTTGTGTTGGGAGGAAGAAAATGAACTTTGACATTTGTCAATTTCACATGTTTGCAATTGTGGCTGGCTGCATTGTCCACGAGAAGTATCACGCTTATGGCCACGCGGACCTACACTGTCTGTCAAAGTTCTCAGCCAATCACTGAACATTTCAGAGGTCATCCACGCCTTCTTGTTAAAACGGTACCGAAAGCATAGATTTCTGGATTGAAATCTTTACCAAAGCAGCGTGGTCGCCGATATATTCCCTATCATGAAGGGTTTCACTTTGATGGTACCTGTTGCATTGCAGCATAATGCAACTGTCACTCTTTCTTTCGACTTCTTTACACCAGGTGTTTTCTTAGAGGCAAGTGTGTGATTGGGTCCGAGCTTATAAAACAAGCCGGTCTCATTAAGATTGAAGATGTCGCCTTCGCCGTAGTTTTCAAGACAGATTTCAATTCTTCTCTACCTTTAATTACTGCATTCTTATCAGCACTGGCAGCTTCCCCTGGTAATTTTGTTTCTTAATTTGATGACGAGACTTGAAGCGTAAAGCCAACCGCGAGAATAAGCAAAATCAGTGATTCCTAATTTTGAGCCCAATTCCATGCCTTTCTCAGTTAACATTTGGTCATTCACTGAAGCATTTTTTGTGTTCATTTCTGTCATCCAAACATAAAGTGCTTCCTCTAATTTGGCATGTTTAGCATTTCGCTCTCTTGTGAGAGATAGAGAATCTTCCTAAATATTTAGCCACTTGTCCTTACTTTTCCAAATGTCCGAAACAGTAGTTTTGCCGACAGAATGACCGAATTCTTCGCCAAAATGTTTACTTAAGAAATCGAAACTGGCCTTAGGATTTCTTTCTTTGTATAGGCAAATTTCCTCTTTTGAGACGCAGTAATTTCGAAGCTTACGCTTAGCAGGTTGGCAAGCCATAGTGAAAATGCATTGAATTGTGAAATGTTTACCCGCATATATTTATAGCGAAGATTTTAACAACACACATTGACACTTCTCACTCAATATATTTGGAGTAAAAGTTGTTAAAGTGTTAACTGGACTGGTTAAGCGCCAGATAAAGGGATCAAGGGATCAAAGGGATGAATCGCTAAGTCGCTAAACAAACCACGGTCACTTTGGGCGGGCCAGTCGGCAGCGCGGTCAACTTCAAGCGTTCGGATTAACGCAGCTGTTTACAACTTAATTAGTCCAATCCGTTCCGACTGACCAGCGTTCGGAGGCGGAAGCTGAATCATCGGACTAACGAGGTGTCAATTGTATACAATATATAGGGAGATGGTTTGGTGCCCAGTGAGTATCGTTCGGAAGTCGGGGGATTCGGATTAACGAGGACCGGATTACCGCGGCCTGACTGTATATTGCTCATGTCTTATCACCAGCTTTAGTGCTCATCATCGATTTTAAATCCCTACACATTGTATCGGCAGAGTATACCATAGATCGCTGCACGTATAGCAGCCCCAACATGAGGGTGACCTCTTTTGTAAACCTTAAATTACAATGCTATTGTATTTATCCTGGCTATAGAGAGACCCTGGTTGAATCACACACCCCAATATTTACAATTAAAATGTGTATTTTATATACAGTGCTTGATCCTGAAAGATTTGAAAGGGAATTGATGCTGGTTGTGTTGTAGCCATCAGTGCTCCTGGACAGGATGAGGACGTTCAACCTTATGGAGCAGGATGTTGTTCTCAGGCACAGGCAGATGGCGCATCTCAAACTGGATGTGTCCAGCCAAGAGGCTGTCAAGCAACTCAAAGGTAGGGCTGGATTCTACCAATGTGCTGCAGAGCTGCCAGAGGGGCCCAGTCTCCATCTCCATCTCCACCTTCCTCATCAGAAACTGTGATCAGAAATTTTTGCCCACTTTATTAAAAGGGGGTTCACACGGTAATAGAATGGTGGGTAATGTATCTGAATGAATTGAGAGAAGATACCAGGTTAATTGAGATCTGATGCAGTATATGTTGGTACATGTCTGTCAAAAATAGGCTTTCATGTGTCACCAAGTTGTTAGCATTAAAGTAGCTACATAATTCGGCCTATTTAATGTTTGGGTGGTAGGGTAGTCTAGTGGTTAGAGAGTTTACTTGTCACACCAAAACCTGGGATCAATTCCCCACATGGGTACAATGTGTGCAACTCATTTCTTGTGTCCCTCCCTCTGTTATATTGCTGGAATATTGCTAAAAGCTGTGTAAAACCACACTCACTCTTTACAGTGAGTGGGGCGGTGGGGTAGCCTAGTGGTTAAAGCGTTAGCTCGTCATGAACCCAGGTTCAATTCCCTACATGGATACAATGTGTGAAGCCCATTTCTGGTGTCACCCCATCGTGATATTGCTGGAATATTGCTAAAAGGGACGTAAAAACCATACTCACTCACTCTATCACTTTACAGTGGGTACCATTCTGCTTAAATGCCCCCATGTTCAACACACGCTGGACAATTTATGGATGACAAACTGAGTGACATGTTTCAGACAAGACACATGGGAAGGAGTTCTCGCATCAGTTTGAGGACTCGTGTTTGAAGCTGGAGGACTACCTGGAGAAGCTGGACACCCAGAATCAAAACAGGAAGACTCTCTTGGAATTCATGGAGACAGCTGAACTCTTCTATGATGAGCAATACAGAGAGGCCAAGATTGTTGCCAATGTGAGCAGTGTTCATTCAAGTCTCATAGAATCAGCTCTCATATTTGTGAAAGGGAGAACTTCAAATGCTATAAACTTGTCTAATTCAAACATGATCTTCATATTGGGATGTGTCACAGCTAGTTAGGTTTTCCTCATGCTTGTTATTGGAATATTAGAATGCTTGTTGTGAATGTATGAACATGTATGAATCAATGTGGTCCATTGTAGATGATTACTTTAATGAATGGTTCTTCTCATTCATTTAACTTTCTAATATGCTGGAACCCCTTGTAATTTCATGATCATATTGATCTAACCTTGTCTGTTTAGCTGAAGTGCTGGGATGAACAAACTAGAATATGTATCCCCTAGATGTAATTTCTTCAATAGCCTATTTGAAGAATCTGCTTTCTCAGAAAACGTAAGAGGAAACTGTACTAAATAATGTCTCTTCCTTCTCAGGCATACAAGAATTTTGGTACACGCCATTACCAACATGAGTAAGCGGGTTAGTGACCTAAAGAAAACCCTGCCCTACACGATCAGCCCTGTTCCTTCACCTGCCTTGGATGCCCCGTCACCTGGACAGACTCCCAGGGAGGACGACAACATAGAGGCTGTGGACATGGATCTGTCAGAGGATGATACAGGTTGGTAGTCTGGAGCTTCTCGGAGACAAACTTGCATGTAGAAATGAATGTAGTCAGTACAGATAAGGAGCATGTAGATTTCATCATTAACCAAGAAGATGGACAAGTTGATTTGTGAATCTTTTGACAGGGTGTATAGTGGCACTTATAAATGAATTCAGTTTATTCGTTATGTTAAATCTTCAGATCTGCTAGACTATGTTTTTTAGCATAACTTTTAAGGTAGAGGGTCAGTTTTGTAAGTGCTGTACAACGTTGACATAAATATTTCTGACATTTTGGAAAGATACTACTGAACCAAAAATAAGGGAATCGATGTAATGGTGGTGAAAGTGTACTGACGTCAAGTGTGTTTAGAGCGAGTGAATGTGTTCAGCATGTTGGGATTTATTGATCAACTTGGTTACATTGGTGCTCTGCAACATTCTACCTAAAGAACTACCCCAATCAGAGCGATGTTGGCAGGTGTTGGGTCTCTGGCATTCACACTCTCTGTACAAGAAGACTTGGACATTCCAATGTCTTTATACCTTCTCCTCTGGGATAAATGGTAATGACCTGTGCAAGATGTGGTTTGTTATTGTCATCTTGCAGTTCAAGAGTTTCTGCCATTAAGTCAAGATAATCAACGGCAGGATGCTAAATTTTATCAACAATCAGTGGTTAAATCAAATGGCTATTCACAATAACCAAATAAGTTAACCTGTAGTATGATACAGACACACACCATGATGCTTCCGCTTACATACAGATCATGGTAAGAAATTGTTGCTCTGGGTCTACTGCTTGGGTCTACATTGCCAACAGCCTTTTCTTCCATCAGCAAAAGGGGCGGTGGGGTAGCTTAATGGTTAAAGCATCGGCTCGTCACGCTGACGACCCTGGTTCGAATCCCCACATGGGCACAATGTGTGAAGCCCATTTATGGTGTCCCCTGCCGTGATATTACTGGAATATTGCTAAAAGCGGCGTAAAACACAACTCACTCACTCCATCAGCAAAGCCCTTCAAAGTCCCTGGTGTTGCCAAGTCCACTATTGTCTTTGTGGCCATTGGTAAGCTGTTAAAGTCACACCTTTGACAGGATAACTTGCTTCCCAGGCAGACAGCAGCAAGCTGGTTGAATCTGTTGTGTAGTGCAATTAATGTAATGAGACAATCTTGTCTAGGCGTTGCTTTTTTAGGCCCTGGTTGCATTGCTGAAGCATCTGTGTTGACTATTTGTCCCACAGTGAAGAATCTGAACCTTTTGATTGACCAAACATTCAGACAACTTATATCCCCCATCTATTGTACTTGAACCATCAATTTGCATCTTGCCTCTTCATTAAGAAACTTTTAGTTTAATTTTTAGTAGAATTGTATTAGTGATTGTGAGTTTGCCTATAGGCATGCACACTTTGGTTTCATGGGATGTCCATATATGATTTGGAATTTCATTGTGATTTCATGTTGGGTTAAGATGCAAGTCCACAGTATTGTTGAAGTATAACTCAATAATCCATCCACCTCATTAATTCCCTTATTATTTGTTGGTAGTATCTATTTCAACATTACTCAATGATCTTATTTAGCATTTTTTAAAAATTCTTTGTTATTCTTATGAGCTAGAAAATAAGAGATAAGGACATTAATTTAAACTGTAAATGAGATACTATTGAGAGGTAGGAAAGTTTGTTGAAGGAGCTAGTTTGTCCACCAGGACAGTGTGTGACTGGAGTTGTGTCTTTCAGCTTCGTCAGTGGGGATACATGCTCACACTACAACTACAAAGTCCATCTTAAATCCTATTGCAAGTGTAACACAGATTACAGTGAAAGGTAGACTTTGTGCCTACACTTATACCTTAATAATGCTTGTGTGGAATCGCTTTCCATTTTAACTGGCACTCAGTCAAGTCCTCATCCATTTAAGAGCTTACCATCTTTTGCTTAACTGATCATTGTCCATTTGAGCTTATATTTTGGATTTATTTATTGTTCAGGTGAACTTTCCAATCTGGCATCTGGTGAACTTTCCAATCAGCCAATCAGTGATCAGACTTCTAATTTTTAGTATGAGTGTGCAAAGTATTCTGTACAGGATATCTGCTTTCTGCATCTTCAGAACAATTTTATCAACAAGTATACTGACAAGGAATCAGTTGTCGGTGTTGCTTTTCTTTTATCGAGATCAGAATTTCTGAATTAATGTAGTAAAGAAATTTAATCCAGTTATTTTAGAAAGATGCTATCTTATTGGCTGAAGAACCCATGCATCCAATGTGCGAAATAGTCTCCAAATTTTGCTAGCCAGTCGAGCTAGCTATGCCTGAAAGTTACTACAAAATAATTCACTAGCCCGAAATTTGAATGTAGAAACAAAGCAAAAGATTAGAAAAATAAATAAGAATGAGATATTGTTGGCATGACACGGGTTTTATCATTAAGCTGCTAATATGATAACCATTTTTATCAGGCCATAATCTTGTGTAATTTAAAAGTGTATTCTAATTTAACAAGTCGAATAGAGTGATATATTTACAAAATGACCCCATGAAAATTCACTAGCCAGTGGGGCCAGTGACTATGGAGACTTACTGGCCCGACTGGAATATTACTAGCGACGGGCTAGCGGGCCAGTGGCTATTTCGCACACTGCATGCATCCTTCATTTTGCTGGCCTGCCTCATGGTTGCCATGAAGTGACCCTCATGGATTGTTTGTCAGATCCAGAAATAGAGAGCTATCATATTGGAGGAGGACATATTCACATGTGATCAAGAAATAATTTGAACAGAAAATAATTATAACAGATGTCTGAATGTGTGTTTGGTAGACACCTAGTTGCATATCTTCTTTACTCATTTTCATAGTTCCCTCTTAGCAGTATTGATATTGCCAGAAACAAATGTTGTCTGGAAAAGTAGCAGTGATACTTGTTTCTAAAATCAATTGAGCACAACAGTATTGGTTAACAGGGCTCCAAGTTCACATTTTGACTTATTGTTATTAGCTAAATGAAAATGAAAATTTCCACTATTAGAGATCACTAGCAATAAATATTTTGTAAATGGTCCCATAGACTCAAGCCGAGCGGTAAGTCACTCAGGGCTAAACTTGGCAATCATTATCAATAAATTCTTAAATAAATCAAAGTCGGAATTATTTATGATGAAAACTGGACTAACCGCCTTAATATAATTGAATTTTTACCTCACTCGCCAAAGGCTAAATGTTTCATATAACTTGTTGCATTTCTCAAATTTTACTCGCAAATGCGACCAATTCACTATTGGACAACTTGGAGCCATGGTTAATTGTGATTTCTCACATTTTATTTAATGTTTAATGTTATTTTGCATATATTGTTAATGTTGTTGTGGCGTTATCTACCATACCTAACAATAAAAAGTGATCATTGGTGGTTCAAATCAGTTTATGAAGTGTATTTGTTGGTTTGAGCCATAAAGTCCTTTAACATATTTTGAATTAATGAAAATTTAACCTGTTTTTTTAATGCATGTTACTAAAATTGGTTACAAATGTTTTTGGGTCTTTTGGGAACCTTCTTGCTCAAATCCAAAGGCATGTTCAGTTTTACAAAGTGCAAAGTTAGCCATGTTAAAGGCAGGGAATGGAGAAAGTGGTAGTGTTGAGATGGTGTTGAGTACCTCATTCTCTCACTGACTCGAGGGGTGGTGGGGTAGCCTAGTGGTTAAAGTTCGCTCATAACGCTCATAATGCTGAAGACCCGGGTTTGATTCCCCACATGGGTACAATGTGTGAAGTCCATTTCTGATGTCCCCCGCTGTGATATTGCTGGGATATTGCTAAAAGCGGCGTAAAACCAAACTCACTCACTCACTGAGTCGACATGAATAGATGCAATATATTTGGTTCAGCCATAAGGAGTATTTATTCATTCACTCAGTGATTTCACAGATATCTGGAAGCTTATGGATCTTCAGTTTGCCCCATTTATTCATGGAAATATTTTTATCAACTTTTGATCAGTTTTTATATAGTGTTTTGTTTTTCCTGACAAAAGTCTGAGCAAGAAATTCTCTTGATAGTCAGTTGTTACATATCCAGTACAGTAAAGATTGAACACTAAAAACTAGCACAACACTTATCCCACACCGGTACTGGACTGAACAAATTAAAGAACCTCCATTTCATTTCACCAAGGAACCTGTGCATGCATGTATGAGAAAAGTAATTTGACAATCATTTTGCCTCAGGGTTGAAAAGACCACAGTCTGTAGTGAAAAGTGCTTCACCGTGTAGAGCGGATACTGTAGCGAGTGTTTCGTTTGTTTATTGTGTTAAACTTGCTCAGTGAGCCACATGATGATTGTGCTGTGTCTATTTCAGGAGGGGATTCCCCAGGCACACCAGAACACCAGCCTGTCATGGCTGTCTATCAGCGTAAGTTGCTTCCTATAGTTGTTTTCTATATGAGTGACGTTTTATCAGAAAATTCTCTTCCCCACATGGATACAATGTGTGAAGCCCACTTCTGGTGTCCTCATGCTGTAATACCATACTCACTCACTCACTCACTCACTCACTCACTGAAGGAATCTCGTATAATTTACATTACTTCCATTAATCTGATGTCCATATCTGAAGGTTCTGAATGGTTGACTTCAACAACACACTGCAATTCAGGTGTGCCTAGAAATGAAGGCACTTGCCAAATGTGACATTATTTGACACATGATGTGTCCAAAAATTGTGCACAAGCTTGTGAGGCTGCTTGTACAAATCACAGACTTATACAGGAAAATTAACCATGTGAGAATATTAAATGAAACTGAAATATTCAACTGTGAGAAACAGATGGAATGTCTTTTACATGGTGGTGATATCTTTTAGACAATATTCTCATTTGCACAAGTCCATGACACCCCCAGAAAAGCCTGAATACATCTCTGCAGTAGAGCTCTTCCTTCATTTTTTGTATAAGCTGTTCAAAATCTTCTATGAAATTACATTTGATTGTTGTTCAGAATTGAGATAGTATGCGTTTTTTTGCTCTGTGGATTCATATCAGTTGTTGAAAAAAGGCTCTTTTATGATTTCAGCTCCCAGTAAGAAGGGAATGGGTGATGGCCTTGACAAAAGACTAGCTAACCTGATCCCTAGTCTACCAATGTCCCACAACTCGAAGAAGAATCTGCCTGAGTCACAAGATGTTTTCTCTCATGCTGCTCTTGCTGGGAGCAACAAGAACCTAACATCCCACAACATTCAGTCATACAGTGCCAAGAATGTGTTTAGTGGGGGCAGTGAGGGGGGTTCCACCCCTCTGAGTGATGAACGCTGCTCAACACCGGTGCAAGATGAGGTTCCCGAGGTGGAGCCCGAAGATGAGCAGGACAGTCTGCTGGAGCAAGTGAAGGAGGCATCTAACCCAATAGACATTCTCACTAAACTCATCAGTAAATCACAGAAGAGTGCTCCTTCTGCATCAGAGTCAAATTTTCTGCAAAGTTTATCACTGCTGACTAGCACTGTTAAGTCACAGGTGGAGAAAGCAAAGTTAGCAAAAATGAAAAAGCCTGAAGATAGCTCTGATGATGAAGAAGGGAGTCAAGATGAGACTGGTTTGCAGCCCAAATCATGGGCTGCATGGAAAGCCAAATCAAATCCTCCTGAGGAAACTAGTCGCACACCTCCCCGGCCTATCCCTTCCATTCAGTCCTCAAGGCCAGAGCAGCAGATATCTGGTCTTGTTTCTGAATCTGATGAGTCACTACCAGATCAAGGTGATCTGCAGGATAGTATCCCAGATCCAGTTCCACAACCATCAATGCAAGTTCCTCAAGGTCCACCGATACAGGTGGCTCAGGCTCCTCTGGGCCAAGGGATGCATCCAGGTCCTGTTAGTGCTCCTGTTCTACCTAGCAGCCTACCTCCAGGGCCTGTAATGGCCCCTGGTCATCCAGCTGCTCCAGCAGTCCAACATGGTCATCCTGGTCCAGGACAGCCACCAACTCAAGTCCAACCATCAGGACACCTCCAGGGACCTCCCATTCATCAGGGTCCACCACCAGGGCATCCCCAAGGGCCACCTCAAGGACATCATCAAGGACACCCCCATGGTCTACCACCTGGGCATCCCCATGGCCCTCATACTCCTACCCATGGCCCTCCACATACCCCTACCCATGGCCCTCCACATACCCCTACCCATGGCCCTCCACTTGGCCCTCCCCATGGCCCTCCACCAGCACATCCTCAAGGTCTTCCACCAGATCAGAGACCACCTCTGACATTACCTCCTGGTATACCCATGAGTCAGCCTCCAAGACCATTACCTGGACATCCCATGCATCCTGGAATGGGAGTGCAACCTTTAGCCCCTCCAATTCCTCCTCGACCTCCATCAAATCCCCCTGTGAGTTACATGCCTCCTCGTCTACACATCCCTCCCCCACATTTTTCCACAACTCCCACTTCAGTTTCATACAATCCCCTAATGACACCACCCCCAGGATACATGCCTCAGACTTCTCCTAGTCAGAAAGAAAACTGGCCCTCTTCTGACTCGACTCAAAGCTCTCCTAGTGCTCTTGTATCACTTGTAGGACCAGATGTACCCCCAATGAACCAAAGATCGTCACCAGCAGCTGAGATGCCAAATCCACCTTTCAATTCGCCTCTCCCGAAACCACCTAAAGGTATATTGAGAAACTCTCAGGCCCCAGTATTAAAAGAGGTGTCCCAAGCATCGGGTCAACTAGCAGACCTCACTTCTCCCACTCCTGGCTCAGGCCCTAAACCCCCATCAATACCCCCATCCCCATCAGACTCAAGACCACCTCCTCTGCATGGGCAGTCACCGCTGGTGCTACAGCCAGGGGAAGATCTAATAGAATTCACAGAGAAGCTAAAAAGAAAAACAGCCGAGTCTCAGCCAGAAGGGCGCCCCATTCAGCCTGTGTTGAGTCTTAACCCAAGACGGCCAAATCTAACAACAATTACTCCCTGTGAAGAAATGGACACTGACAATGGTACTGAGACTCAGACAAATGAGGAAAGTGACACTGAAAACTCTGAAGGAAACAAGTCGATTCAATCAATACAATCCATCTCAACACTTGGCAGTGTGGTTCGACGTGTTGATCATTCAGATCGAGACAAGGGGAAGCCATGCAGAAATGAGACGGAAGCCAGTGGAACCATTGCAACATGGAGGACATGGGTCACATTACGGGTCTGATTACAGAGATCCTTACTTTGACCGACACAGGAGTCAGCCGCACCACTACCCCCCTCACGACCCCTACAGAGACCCCTACAGAGACCCCTATGCTCGGTATCCCCCATACTATCGTAATGATCCCTACGGCCCCTCACCATCTAAGAGACCCTACCCAGATCCTTATGATCGAAGGAGACCTAATTATCGGTACTAACAAGTGGTGATTGAGCTGAGAAGTGGAATGTGTGCTTTGTGAATGGCATCTGTAAAGATTCTATACAGTGGTTTGAATGTTTTGTAACTTAGTTACATCCATGATACTCTGAATGTTTCCAAACTGGCATGGGTCGTGCATGACAGCAAAGAAAGGACAGCTGCTGTAAAGCAAATTCTGGGGGAAATACTATTCATGGCAGCATTTGAACTGAAATATGAAAATGTGATTGTGCTGTCATGTTTCTGCTTGTAGAAACCTCTTATTCCTCAATTCAAATGAAACTTGTATGCAATGGTTAATTCTCAATTTCCTTGACGTCCACAGCGAGTGAGGTCTTTATGACAATCTTAGGGCATGTTATCTCCTGACAATTACAGGTCAGTGCATCAGCTTATTTCAGTATCATGTTATGAAAAGTTGTGAGCATTTATCTGTTTCTGATGTATAGTGAAGTTGGACCTTTTAACTGTATATCTGTATGAAAATGAAATGAAATATTTTATTGGACTGAGAAAGGTGATTTATTTTTTGCCTGTGGGAATTCTTCAAGACCTTGGCTTAAGTTGCCTGTTGGGCATGTGTCCTAGTTTTTGTATATTTGTCAAAATGAATGTGTAGCTAATTGTGGGTTCAAAACATGCATAAGTGGAAATAGTTCTGTAACCGTATGGGTTCTATAATGATTACAATGGAAAATATCTTGAAAATGGCTCTTTGGGATTTATCGTGTTGAATTGCTGAGGAAGGGTTTTTTTAAAGAAGAAGCATGCAGTTTCAAATGCTGTTCAAACACTACTCTCTACGTCTTCATTCCTTGGAAACTGTTCCAGTAACAGCAGCAGAACCTTGCTGTTAATGCTTGTGCTGTCAATGCTTTTGGGGATAGTACCGGTACTCTCATTATACATATAAAGACTAATGTTGGCTTGGTAACCATGGATTCCTGAAGCTGATGTGTATCATTGCTTTGAAAGTGTAGCAAAATGTTCAAAAGTGGACTTAATAGAAATGCATGACCGTGTTTACAATTACCTGACAGTTTGTGTTCTATCACAGGCTATCGTGCATTTGTATTTCTGTTATTTATCTCAATTGTACTGTCTCTTTGAAAAAGGGCATTTTTAGATTTCAATGTTTCACTTGTTTTGTTTGTGATTTTTGCAACACATTATTTTCAATTGTGTCTTGGGGGACTGTTCTGCCAGGCAGGGGTGTCAGAATATATAGCACTATTTCAATGAGGCATGGGTGAATACTGTGTAGTTTGTGTACTGTGTATGAATGTTTGTTCAAAGTGTCCAATAAGGAAATGCATCATGCTATAATGATTGATTGTTGGTAGCAATTTTCTATGAAGTTTTAGGAGCATTTCCACATAAATGACCAAGCTGTTTTCATGCACTATGTTAATTGAAATAATTGTCTGTGGTCTATTTGTTTGTTAACAGTACTTAATTTAAATGAAAAACAAGCAATTATGATTCACAATATATTTCTAGGGTCTGCTTCTACTTTGAGTAAAGATAGATCGACAAAACAACAGAAAGGTATTCATTTCTAAGTTTCAGTATTCCTTTTGATTTTTAGTTTATAAAGGGACCATAAAGAAATATTTTTGTTATTTTGAACACATTGTTACTGCCCACAGTACATAGGCTTACCCATCTGTGTGGGAGAATAAGGTGGTGCTGACGTTCTGACACCCCTGATTAACTGCGTCAGTTTGCACAGACCGACAGTTCCAGTCTTAATTCAGTTGTATGCATGGCAGAATGTGAGAGTGAGATGTATTGGGAAGATGTACAGCTTGATGTATATTTCCAGGCAAAAATAAATAAGTCTGACTTTTTTAATTACTTTTCTTTTGCCATCATTGGGGATTGTGCATATCTTGATTCTCCCAGACAGATTATCGCATGCTGGTGTTTAATGTTTGCAATTAAACATCTTAAATGTCGTGATTCTTGGACAATGCTTCGGTGTTCCAAGAAATAATGTCAGTGCACTTACTTTTATATGAATTGTGTGAAGCCCATTTCTGGTGTCCCCCACCGTGTGAAATAGCTGGAATATTGCTTAAAGCGGCGTAAAACCATACTCACTCACTCACTCACTCACTACTTTTATATGATGCAGTTAAAAATTGGCATTGGCCCATGACTCAGCCAGTAGCTCATGTAGTGGTTGTTGTCTTGGAATGTAATTATTATGTTAATTTCAGCAACAGGCTCATAAAATTAATGCTTACTTAAAAAGACAAGACCTGTCATTCTACCATATATACATACGTTTATGAGTGTTTTGGGATGAAGTATGGGGTTGGTACAACAGTACATGTGATGGTTAGTCACTGATGCTGTACCTCTCCATCGGTGTTGAATGTCCTCCGAAACACAAGTGTCAGTGGAGCCAGCATTTGGAGTAAGCATACTGAGATGCTTTAGGATTTTGCCTGAATTTGAGTACCACCTCTGTTACAATAACACTTTCTATTTGAAACTTCATTGGCCAGTCATTTCATATCAGGTCATAATCTGAAAAACAGGTTTGTGTATGTGTTGCTCAGGGTAGGGATGAAATAACTTACATGTAAAGTCAAGGCCTCCATAGAGGTCATTCATAAATCATATTTACAATTTTCACCAAGAGTTTTACTGCTGCAAATGAAACGTTCTTAGATGGAAAGACAAATTTTTTAAGGTATGGTAACGATCGTAAGAACAGTAGGCCTGGGACATGCAAGTGAGCCACAACACAAGGGGGCTTTTACATGCAGAGTCGCACCTTGTGTATTGATGCAGCCCAAGCAGCTTAACCTCATTGAGACAACAAAACGTTGATGACTGTTTTGGAGATGATTATTCCACATCCGAGGAAGAATTTGGAAAATGTTCCTTAAGGGTTGTTGGGGGACGTCGTAAACTTGCTCCCTGCCATCCCAGCCGTGTTCAATGGGTGACATTAACAGTGTTCTGGTTAAGATCCTGGTGTACAACCCGAGCAATGTGTGGTCTCTCTGCGAACTTTCAGTTGCAAAAAACGGTAAACACCATTTGCAAAATATATATAAAATAGTAGGGGAACTTGAGTTTTGGGGGGTCACTATATGGCTAAAATACTGACGTTAAATTTTAACTCTCATTTTTTTAGATATATCGGAGTCAATCAGTGTTGATATGATAATAATGAATGTTTTGAGAAAGCATCAAAACTTGCACTTCCTTATAAACATAGTTGTTTGTACAATAATCCCTCGTGAAAGATGATTGGTGTATGACGTAACATTTGCATGTGTACGATTTTCATTTTCAAACAAACAACAAAAACGGCCAGAAACAAACACAAATAACTGTGTGAAGTAAGATGATCGTCAAAATTAATGAAAATTTCTTGAAAACCGTCAAAATCAAGAATTGTACCCCATGCATGTGTATGGGGCAACTGCGTTGTGCAGGTGGTGATAAAGAGAAATGGTAATGCGTTCATAAGATGTCTGTGTTTGAAAAGTAACGCTTATACTTCCTATCCAAATTGAAAGTTCAGGTTCTCTTACTTATTTTAAGAGTAAAATTGCCTTAACAGAAAGAACACTAATAACATTTTCAAGTTTGTCCCATTCACAGGCATCCTTGCTGATCACCTTTCAGAACACATGGCTTGATCTAACGTTGACCAGCATGCCTGTAGGCAATATGCCCTGCCATCAGCTCAGTGAAGAAGAAACATGACTCCATGGAGAAGAGAACTCATCTAGGCTCATGCGCACCCCATCACACTGCAGACGTCAATGTCGATATTCTGGTGTCAGAATTAGCAGTCAGGCTGGGCATCGTATATATGGTTCAACATGTTCAACATGAGAAAAGCAAGATTTATAGATGTCAACACTTCTTTATTGTGAATAACACGACGTTTCGGAGTGTATGCTTGCTCCTTCATCAGCAAGCATACTCTCCGAAACGTGTTATTCACAATAAAGAAGTGTTGACATCCATAAATCTTGCTTTTCTTATGCATTCCACTTCTAAATGCCCTTCAAAGATTTGATGTTCAACATGGTCAAGGCACTCAATGCAAGGCAGAATCAGTTATTCTTACCCTTGATCTTTCTCGCCTCAAATAACACCTCAGTGGTGGCTAACATCAGATTCAGACCTCTGAGTACTGATATACTGAGATCTACGCATATAATCCAGGGCCTCCTTTCACAAAGCACTAAGGTGATCGTAAGTCACTAAGGTAACCTTAGTGCAGTGTTAAAGAATGGGAGTTAAGGCTAATCTTAGTAAAGGTTGCTTCGTGAAAGGAGCCCCAGATCTGCCTACACTTGCAGGCCAGTAGGCACATCCAATACGAAGGACTATCTGTAGATGACCACCTTGTCCTCCACACACTTAGGAAATCATCTTTAGAAGGAGGTAAAAACCCTAAGTTAATAAAACCTGCAGTATTTTGAATTGATCTTTTAGAGGATCTCTCAACTGCATCTGCAATGTTACAAAAGGCAAACAAAACCATGTCCCTGTTAGCAGCAACGGCCAAGTGGTCGCGGGTTCAGAACTTCATGCTCTTTTCTTTTCTGGTCCCAACAAACAGAAAATTGGAGTTTGATTACCAATACGACCTTATAATTACTAGGGTTTGTGGTTAAGAACCAGGGCCCAATTTCCACAAAGCGACTGTAGTGCTACGACTGTTGTGAGATGCGTAATGTTACGATCAACTATAGTGCGTTTGGCTCAAAAGCGGACCGATGAATTGCAATCTTACTCAAAACTAATAAACATATAATACTCAATGAAACGCTGATCATAATCAAAATATCAGACCAACTCTGTGATTTGTTTGCAGAATTTATGTCATAAATTAAAAAAGTTGTTTAACAAACTATCATTAAAATATTGACACAGTTCACTATTTGTTACGAGGGAGGAGTGCAGAGAAAGGGACAGCCAGGTGTTCGAGAAGCACGTGCACAAGTGCCGACAAAGTTATTGGTTCATTAACCTGTGCACTCTCCTACCGAGAGTTCCATGCGGCAAGCCAGCATAGTACCTCTGCCACAGGCCAGAAAAATGTGACGATTCGTCACATCTTGCACCGTCCATTCAGCATAATGTACAGATTTTTTGAACTCTTTTATTTTTGACGAGTCTACACATCTAACTAAACATCTTTAATAGAATGGTTTAGTTTCACTGAGAAAATATCCTAAAACATGTAACACTATTTCGATTTGCGTAGCATAGGTTGTACGGCTCCACGTGCTGTCATCGATGCCGGCGGAGAGCAAACGATGCAGCCAGTTTGATATCTAAATATGTACTGTCATAGACCTAACTGTCGCAGTTGTGGAAGAATTTTTATGTAACAATGTAAAACATTATGAAGAGAGCGCCGAGCGCTCTAGTGAGTCCAGTCTCTTCTTATTATTACAATTATACATTACAAACAAAACAAGAGAAAAGTCCGGTCACGTGATATGCAAATTAGCCTGTGGCAGTGATGTTATGTTAAGTCATCGCTGTGCCAGAGTGTGTAACCTGTGCTGTGTCGTCTCCATCCTTTCTCGCACACCCGGCTGCCCCTTTCTCTGCACTCCTCCCTCGTAACAAATAGTGAACTGTGTCGATATTTTAATGATAGTTTGTTAAACTTTTTAATTTTTAGGACATAAATTCTGCAAACACCTCTCAGAGTTGGTCTGACGTTTCATTATGATCAGTGTTTCATTGAGTATTTTATGTTTATAAGTTTTCGAGTTAGATTGCAATTCATCGGTCCGCTTTTGAGCCAAACGGACTATAAGCGCTACCATTGTGAGAAACAGAGGTCTGGATATGTCTGTGGGACTGAACATACACAGCGTACGATTCCTGCCTTGACAAATGTTTGACTCTACTATTTCTACATCTGTACGATTCCTGCCTTGACAAATGTTTGACTCTACTATTTCTACATCTGTACGATGCCACGCAGCAGTGACAGCTGCATCATCCATTCAGGAAATATCTTTTCATCTCATGTAAAACAGCTTGGGTTAAGCATATAATCAAAGGACCAGCAGTGAGATGGCTCAAAAAGCTAAATGTACTGTGTGTTGCTTTGACTGCTCATTAAACTAGTGCATCGTCTAACCGTCTTGCGTCTCTGAATACCAGTAGAATAAATGCTATCCTGCTGTCAATGGACGTCCCAGAACAGTATTTATTGGACCTGCAATCTACAGGAATTTATAGCGTCTGTGTTATGACCACCACCTCGGCCCAGCAGTTTCAGCCTCGGACGGTAGTTGCCATCAAGTCAGTCATAACCAAGCTGCACCTTTGAGGGGAAATAGGGCAAGGGAAGTGTCATGTGGGACCACGGCGGATGAGGTTGCATTGATCAGGCCACACGGGGAACTGGACATGAAATATAAAGGTATAGTTCTGTGAAAGTTTGCCAAATATTTGCTTTTGTCTTTGGCATTATTCCGTTTGGTGTGACGTTTCTTTAAATTCGCACTATGAGGATCCGGGTTAGAATTGGTCTTCAGCAACCTATGCTTGTAGCATGCGACTAACGGGATCGGGTGGTCAGGTTCATCGAGTTCAACAAACCACGCAAACCCGTCAACACAGCTAATCCTGTAAGTCAAATACAAAGTAGTTATTAACTTACATAGTGTGGTTTAAAGATCCAAGAGATCCTCAAGTAAGCAGGGGATGTGTTTCCCTGCTGCTCGCATTCCTTAACCTGGCCACCAGTGAAGATCCGGGTTAAAATTTGTCTTCAGTGACCCATGCTTGTCATATAAGGCGATTAACGGGATCCGGGTGGTCGGGCTCGCTCACTTGGTTGACACATGTCATCGTATCCCAATTGCATAGATCGATCCTCATGTTGTTGATCACTGGATTGTTTAATCCAGACTCGATTTATTTACAAACCGCTCCCATATAGCTGTAATGTTGCTGAGTGCGGCGTTAAACAGCAAACCCAGTTGCGTAGATCGATGCTCATGATGTTGATCACTGGATTGTCTGGTCAAGACTTGATTATTTACAGACTGACGCCATACAGCTGGAATATTGTTGAGTGCGGCGTTAAACAACAAACCCAGTTGCGTAGATCGATGCTCATGATGTTGATCACTGGATTGTTTGATCCAGAGTCGATTATTTACAAACCGCTCCCATATAGCTGTAACGTTGCTGAGTGCGGCTTTAAACAACAAACCAACCAACCTTTAAATTTGGTAGACTATTACGGACCCAAGTTTAAACTGATGTCTGAACTCTGAGGTCACTTGGGTATATTCCGTCACTGGTGTGCAATTAGCTTGCATTGAGATTAATTAAAAGAATACTCTCACCTTATGAATAATCTTCCCCATCTCCACTACAATCTGCATCGAGGTTGCTAAAGTTCAAAAGAGGTTAGGCTTTTCCACCTTACTCATGTGGAAGAGAATTGTAGGGGAGATACTATTTGTACCTCCAATAGTCATGGATAGTTGACAGTAAAGAGCACGCAGTAAAGAGTGATAACAGCCGAAATACAGGAGTTTTGGCACTGATGGAGTAATTGTGTTCAACTGTCCACTCACTGTCGCCGACTCCAGCCGACTGGAGATTTGGCATCTTCAGAATTCCTCTTTTTTGGAAACGAAAAGAGAACATCTACCAAGCATTGTGGAATTTGGATGTTATTTCTGTTACGAAGGACCTTTTACACCGTCAGGAGGAAGCTTACAGAAGCTCGATCCAGACACCACAGCATCGTTGGCAAGAGTGTGTGGACCTCGGAGAAAATATATCCTACATACAAAAAATATCGGAACACCCTACAATTTGATAGTCATATATAAACTGAAACGTAGTGAGGTCATTTATACTCTAAGGTATATGCAACTTTTTGTGTGCTTAATGGGCACTTTAAACTGATTCTGTGAAGTCTGTCTTCCACATCCACTAGACTGTTGTGTTTGGGCGTTTGAATCAAACATGGTGCTGCATGGTGTGTCTCAGCATCCTTGTTTTTCGCTGTTTTTAACAATGTTTCATTTCACTCAAACTCAACGAATATTGAATTAGTTGCTTCACTGCATGTTCCAACATGTCGTTTAAAGTGCCCATTAAGCACACAAAAGGTTGCATTTACCTTAAAGTAAAAATGACCTCACCACGTTTCAGTTTATATATGTTCCCATAGTTTTTGTTTGTAGTATATTATGTTTGAAAACAATATGAAAAATCAATAAATCAATAAATTATTAATGTTAAGGCTGTGAAAAGTATCAAATATAGAACATGTACCATTTTAGTCAACAATTTGCTGTCACTGACCAGCCTAAACAGATACTTAGATAACCCTGAAAAGATGATAAGCTTAGAAAATATGCAATACCATCATCTGAGGTTATCACTCGTCTTATTCGAGGAGGGGCGGTGGGGTAATCTAGTGGTTAAAGCGTTAGCTCGTCACGCCGAAGACCCGGGTTCGAATCCCACATGGGTACAACGTGTGAAGCCTATTTCTGGTGTCCCCCGCCGTGATGTTGCTGGAATATTGCTAAAAGTGGCGTAAAGCCAAACTCAGTCAGTCAGTCAGTCTTACTCGAGGAGATTAACTCGCAAACGCTCGTGCATTCTCACAGATGCAAATGTCACCTGAGTTGGGAATAGTTTCAGAACATTGCTTTTGGTGTAATTTATATAGATATCCGATGACAGGGGTAGCAATTAAGGCATGTACTGGACTGCACTTGCATAGAGTGAGTGAGTATGGTTTTATGCCGCATTTAGCAATATTCCAGCAATATCACGAGGGAAACACCCAAAATGAATTTCACACATTGTAAACGTGTGGAGAATCTATCCCGGGTCTTCGGCGTGACGAGCGAACGCTTTAACCACTAGGCTACCCCACAGCCCCCTTGCATGGAAGAATGATGGAGTAGTTAAAAGCTATGAAACAGGATGAGTAGTGGATAGTTGTTTTTTTTAACCAAGCAGTTGTTCCCCGGATTATTTCTTTAAGCCAGCATATGACTCATCTGGTGAATCGGTGCTATCACACAACGGTATGACCGCTGGTGCGGCAAGGGTGATATCTACATCGTCACATTAGCGGTACTGATGTGTTTCAAGCAGGTGATTTTCAGCCTTATGGCATACATCTGGTGTGATTCTCGCTAAAAGATGCGTTGAGTTTCAATGTTTAGTTGTATTTCCAAGAGCTCTTTATCGGGTGTCCCAGGGGACCACAGTCGACAACGGCGTAAGACAACGTGACAATGTCGTGCCACCGGGACATATTCCTTTGTAGTTCACTGGTTTCCTATTCTGGCTGAATACCTCCAAAGTTGAAATTTCATTTCAGCCTGTTTGAAATAGACTTTGCATAGATCCGATATTCGTGCATAGTCGCATTCACTGACAGTTCAGGCTTAACACGTCAGTATCTGGTTTCCAAACGTTATGATAACTGTCATTATCCAGTACAATGGCGTTGGGCAGTGGTTGATGTTCCAAGAAGTGACTAAGTCTGTTTTCACATCACCTCTCATTTCCTTATGATAATCGCCAGTGTTATTTATCGCCTTGAAAACTGGCTCATCAAAGACCATATCTTTTTATATGGTCTCTGCTCATATCAATCAATAAGCACCAGATAACTAATTCAAGTGTGCAAAACATGACACGATTACCTGACGGTAAAGTGGTTACCTTTCGTTGGTCAAGAGGATTGATTCTTATTCACTCATGTTTCGGGGGCGGTGGGGTAGCCTAATGGTTAAAGCGTTGGCTCGTCACGCCGAAGACCCGGGTTCGAACATTGGCACAATTCTGGTGAAGCCCATTTCTGGTGTCCCCCGCCGTGATGTTGCTGGAATATTGCTAAAAGCTGCGTAAAACCAAACTCAGTCAGTCACTCATGTTTCGCCATGTACATGATTTGGAAGCCCTGAATACGATAAAGTGACCGCACAGACATGGTGAATCATTTCTTCTGGAAACTGGAAATCGCCACGTGCGGTGAGTCGAATTCGAGAATCGTCGAGGTCAATAGTTGGGAGTAACTTGTGCTCTTAAAGTTTGTACATAAACGACTAATCATTATACCAATGCGGTCTAATATCCCTTTACGTCTGGGTTTAGATTTTAAGACGACACCTTCTTACCTTTTTGTTTTGGAGTGAGAGGAATCGAACCGGGCCTTCGGCATGACGATCGAACGGTTTAACCACTGGGCTACCCCACCGCAGTTCGGAAGGGAGCGGTTTATGATTATTTTTATCTCCATCACAGTCCATCATAGTCAGCACGGAACATTTCGGCCACGTAACTCGTAGGCTGGATGGCGCATGCATGGAAGTGTTCTTAAACTGTTCATACCGGTGAAGATCCGGGTTAGATTTGGTCTTCAGTAACCCATGCTTGTCGTAAGAGGCGACTAACAGGATCGGGTGATCAGGCGCGCTGACTTGGTTGACACGTCATCGTATCCCAATTGCATAGATCGATTCTCATGGCGTTAAACAACAAACCCAGTTGCGTAGATCGATGCTCATGATGTTGATCACTGGATTGTCTAGTCCAGACTTGATTATTTACAGACTAACGCCATACAGCTGTTGTTATATCAGCCACAGGGGCGTGTCACGCTTAGAAACAGCGTTAGAAAGACATATAGGTACATAGACCCTACCCTAGTACTATATATAGGATCCGTCCTTACATCCCTTTCCTTTTATATAGTACTACGGTAGGGTCTATGTACCTATATGTCTTTATAACACTGTTTCTAGGCGTGACACGCCCCTGTGACTGAAAATGCATGGTAGTTGTCATGGTGTCTCAAGTCTACTGGATATAATGCTTCCGATTTTTCATGTTCTAATTTTTCTTATCACAATTAGCCCAAATGGCCGTAGGGTCATGCTGTATTTTGCAACAACGTAACTGTTCCCATCACAAACTCAATCTGCACATCTCATCAAAAACTTACACAAGTACAATTGTATCATGGTTGTATGTGTTCAATGACGGTTGTAATCTCTAAAGTCCTTTATTGGTTCAAATCATTGTGATGATATTGTTGATGTTGTAATTGTTGCCATCTTTGTTACAATTGAGTCCCAAACTACTGTCTCATGCAGAGTACCAGGTTAAAAAGGCACCTGAATTGGTCCCATTTGTGCCGGATTCAGTGGATCCATTGGAGCATCTGTAACACCTGGGGCTGGAGGAACCCAATTATAAGAGGCTGGATGGTTGAAGCTCTCTCTTCACTGCCTTTGCCTCACAACCATCGGGTTTGTTGTGAAAACAGTCACTGGTAAGGGATGCTGAGATGAAGGCAGAGACCTTGGAGATGGATTGTGGACACAATGTCATCTGTGTCGTAAATGGGCACCATAGGCCTTCATTTCAAACGTGTAATATGACGAGAAGCTTAATGAAAAGGTTTCCATCATACACAAAACACAATTGTTATTCTGCAAGCATTTCATTTATTGAGACCACAATGAACACTATTTTCCACAGTACGAGACAAAACAGAAACAAATCATGATTCTAAATCAACTTTTACATTCATTCTCTTTTTTATTGTAGAAAGCAACTGCAGAGTAAGCATAACAGAATACACCATACTTCAAAAGGAGGGATACTCATGACTGGGCAACAGCTTAAAAAAAGAACCATCTAATCTGACAATGACCCAAAGGAAATTAGCTAATAATGTGTAGGGACTTGCACGCTGAATACTAGGATACATGAAATAAAACCAATATACAATATCACAATAAGCGGTATGGATTATATATAAAGAGCATTTCATTGGAAAGCCAACATCTATAAAATATGCATCTACGGTGTTAATATATTATCGAGCATATCTTTCATCATTCACTTCCAACTTGGCAGCTTTGGCGCTTTCTACCCGCATTCTGATACCTTCATCTGCTGTTCCCTAGTAAAAGATGACATCAATACTTTCTACATGCAGGGATTATGAATGGATTTGACATTCAAGTACCACGACACATTCCTGATAAAAGCATAGCAAGGATCACTGATCTATCAGGACAGACGTATCTTCCAAGATTGGCTTCTTTACACAAGAAATGGTTTCAAATGTCATGGCAAATCCACCCAAATCCAGCAGCATGTGACTGGGCTAAGATGAATGAAAGCCAACTATTGCCTACTCTCTCCTCAGTATAGAAACAGAACAGACACAGTACAACTGATAGGGTTAATGTGCTTATGCATGCTCCCTTCATGATGCAATGTGGTGGTGATGATGATGATGTCAATATCATGTCTTATGCAGGTCTTACGTAGTTGATATCTATTTTACAGACAAAGTTCTTGCTCAACTCTATTCTACAGATTTCTCCGGGTTGATAATGGCTTCCTGTTTCCATTATACAAATTTGAATTTCTATGACAGTTTTCAGACTTCAGAATTGTAAACTTTTGAATTGTTCAGAAATGAAAACCTTAATGAATAAGAGCATCAGAGCTCATTGTGATTAAGGTCAAATTATACTTATATTGTTCCTATTCCTGAAACTGTTAATTCCACACTATATACTTAATAATACAACATCACAATCAAAGGTACTTTCTACATCACCAATGTAATACTTTCAATGTTTGAATAAACAGCTGATGGTAAAAAAACACTAAGTGCCTTTACTGTTGTAGAATATAACATGGTAGCAATGTTTCTTGACCATCAATTCCTTTTCAAACACAACAATTCAATACTATAACACTGAACTAACTCAACAACAGACACTAAATCAAAAGATGTTTCAGGGGCTTTTACATTGCAATTTACAACCAAGTTGTCACGTTTCGACATTTTACCAAGAGGTAAGCATTTGGTACTCTGATACAAGATGAGAATAGAAGACGAAACAATGCTTTGCTTGTGAAATACAAACTTGATTTGCTTGTCTTGGTCGGCAAACAACAATGTAAAGGAGCCCTCTCCATAGCTGTTGTATCACATGAACCTTTCTCTAAGGAGTGATTTCAGTCACCATTTCAGGCAACAATGCAACATGTGATTGTGATCACAGTCCTGTATACTACCTACAGGCTTTGAAGGGCTGCATAGATGATTTATGATGGGAGCCTTTGATAGGGAGATGAAATGCTCAAAGTTGCTTGCATTTCTTTTTTTACTGCTGCAAATGACAATTTCCCCAACAGACTGATGTCATGCATAAATGACAGGCATAGTATTTTATTACACCTATTAAGATTGTTACTGTTGTCTCTCTGAATGTACCTGAGCTTTCTTTGTCTAATGTTGATCTTCCCTCACTCCACAGGTATAAGTATTTTTTAGCTGCGTTTGATCCTCGCCATTTTCTGACTATACTGGGAAATTCCAACGTTCCTCAAATTCCTACCACTGCGTTTGAGTTATGGATTAAGAAATGGAAAAAAATAAAGAAGAAAAGAATCTGTTTCCTTGCAAACTGTCTAAACAGAACACTCTGATACCCTGTACCTAGTAACCCAGACCTGACGGAACTGCACACCAAGTCCCAAATCACTGATAGATTAGCTAGTTTTATAAACCATACAATTGGAAAAATCATGTGGATGTAACTGAAGCATTAAGACTGTAAGTCAATCGATAAAGAAAGTTACAAACGTCCCCAGAAGCCATTAGGTTTGGTCGACAATGACAAACCAGATTTTGCTCGATTCGTTTGGGCTGCCACCATAGGATGGCTCACACACAGACAAAAAATGTGGCTGTTACCAGGCAGTGTTGTTCCGTATTTAGAGTGACGATATTCAGATATTGCAGTGTCCACTTCTAGCCTTGGTGTCTCCACGCGCCCCGCTTCAACCTCTCAGCGCAGTCTCCACCTCATCGCCTCTTCCTCTCTCTCGCTGCTCTCCCCCTCCACGGCCGCCGTTGTGCTTGTTCGCAGTGATGACGACAGTGACGTTACAGCTGCGACTGACTGCGCCTTTCGACCGACTGGCGTATGAACGTGTACGTGCGGGTGGCGGGTTGAGGACATCAGACACTGCAGATGGTACCTGACTGACTCTTCGTCTGCTGGTCACATAGCAATACCCACCATGTTGGTGTCGACTCTTTGGCCTCTAGTTGAAGGGCCCCTGGGACAGCTGGGAGGCGTAGAACATACGGTCTCCCTGGTAAGTCGAGTCCTGCGACAACATGCCATCAGCCTGCGACTTGAAGTCCTCTGCTAAGAAGCTATCCTGAAATTAAAAAGACATTGTACTGTTAGACAACCAATCTTATACATGCGGTGAGGTGAGGTGAAATTGGGTTTAAGGTCATGCTTGAGAATATTTTGCTCATATGATGACGTGCATGCGTGTGTATGTCTATGTGCGGCTGCTTGTACTAGCCCAGACTGAAGCTGGTTTTATAGTGCTAGCTCACTGAGATACCATGCCGCAGTGAAGCATGAATACCCCACTCAGACAGTATACTGACTCCGAGCCGACCAGTCCTTGTTGTACCAATTAATGCCGAGCGCCAGGCAGGGACCAACAAGTACCATATGTTAACGTCTTTTGGTATGATGCGGCCGGGGATCGAACCCGTGACCTTCCGCTCTACGGGCGGACCCCTTCTAACCACTACACCACGGGGCGGTCTCTTATACATGAAGGAGAAAGTCCATGCATGTTTCAAGGTATATTCAGTATACACTCCCAAAATCATTTTCCTCATAATGCAGAAGCTGACTTTCAGAAATCTTTCCCCGTTTATGTGTATCACTACTTATAGCCATTCAAAGATTTCAATCTTTTCAACCAGCAGTTCTTTGGTGAAAATAATGTGGAGTCAAATCATTATTTGCTGGGAAGGGATTTAGTGCAGCTTTATACAATGGAGATCCTGTCTAAAAATAAGGAGAATTCCTCCAAGGAAATCTTTACAATACTTTGCTAAAATGCGAAAGTAAAGACATGTAATATTAGTCTCATCTTCATGTCACATGCATGTTATTCAGGGGACCCCTTTTCTCCTGACCACATTGTTCTCTCAGACAATAATCCTACAATCTATATGCAATGTCTTGAGGTGTGTTTCAATCAGAAGTATGTGTGCCCATCTACCCACCTGTGACAGCTCAGCCTGCGACAGCCCAGAGAGCCCTGGCTGACTCATCTGGAATGGCTGACTCATGGACAGATGACCCTGGGTCAGTGGGCCCTGCGAGAATGACTGTGATGCATCCTGCAAATAAGTACAGTACATGCCAAACATCATATTTCTACATCACGAAGCCTGGTACACATATCTCAGACATACCTTTGCACAAGCACATTTCAAAGAATTTGTTCATTCAAATTTAAAGATGTTTTTATTCAGATGAAACATTTCAAACATCATCATTATCGATACACCAGTTCTATAGCTTCAAGTTTTCCCAATACTTTCCCACTGACGAACTTTCCTAAGGTTATTTAACAAAACAATCAAAGCACTACAACTGTCGTAAGTCTATGTTAAAGTATGGGAGTTACGATCACCTTGGCACAACAAATTCTTTATGAAATAGACCCCAGAAGACAAATGCTAAAGAAGAACCCAGGTGTAATTTTTCTCAGTTTAGCAAGCAACAGGCAACTCAGCAAAACAAAGACCAAAGTGGCATCAATTTTCATAATCATTTTATACAGTGCTTTCTTCGAACAAAAACTCCAGCACTTTACAATGAGTGAAAATAATATTCTGAGCACTTTTAAAGTATTTTGTTTGAGAAATGGCAATTATTATAACTCCAGATAACCCAGGCTTAATTCAAGGATTGTTCAAGTATGAACCATGTACACAGATAGTTATTGTTGAACCAACAGCTGGTGTACACACCTGACTGGCCTGGCTCTGGGACCCAGACAAGTTGAACTGTGAGATGTTCTGCTGCATGTTGCTGTAGCGCGGCGGCTTCTGACGACGACCTTGGTTTTGGTTCTGACCCATCCGACGTGGGGGTGGCATGTTCTTGTTTCCAGCTGCAACACAAAGTCCACAATCTAAGCTGGGACATCAGTCAAATGCTTGATAGTCAGCAGGGATACATCTTCACTGATTAAAGTGACAACTTAAAAAGTATTTGCTCAACCCAATCAGGTGAAAAGCTTGATTAACTGGGTTTCAAAGGCTGAAAATTTCCTTGAGTATTCTCTTGGCAAGAATACTTTCCTTGTTTAGTTTCTTTCCTTTTGTGTTTTACACCTCTTTTAGCAATATTCCAGCAATATCACTGGAGGCGACACTAGAAATGGGCTTCAAATATTGTACTCATGTGGGGAATTGAACCTAGGCCTTTGGTGTGATGAGCGAACGCTTCAACCAGTAGGCTACCCCACCACACCATAAGTTACATCAATGTTCATCAGAACAAGTTTGATTTAGTTAACTAATCCACATTCTGCAAGCCATAATAAAATGTTTGTAAGTTTGTGGGCATTAAGTGTGAACCAAAGCTACCCAGCTTTCAGAAAGGAATATATAATGCATAATCCAGTAACTTCTGTATGAACTACCTTGTGGCATCGGTTGTGCCTGGAAGTGTTGGGGCACCTGTGGGAGGAACATGTTGACAGGGACCGGCAGACTCAGGGCAGCTCCAGTGTAGGCTCGCTCTGGTCCGATGAAGCTGAGCTGGTCGTGTGTCCTCACCACAGGCTCACGGTAGCCAACAGCTGGAACATGTCAATGCCAACATATAGAAAAAGCAACAAAGAGTCATCAGAAGTTGACTAATCCCCCCCCGGCCCCAACACATTTATAAGTACAAATCATCTGACAAGCTCAACTTGACTTTATTTAGACTAAGTCCAAATTGTTTCCATGGAAACCATAGAAAATATAAATGCCAAAAATCTGCAAATAGCAAAAGGCACCACTTTGGGATCTGTCTCATATATCTGCCAAGTTTTATTGATAGATAGTGAACGATTTTTTTAGTTATGCTTCGGAAACGAAATCCACCCCTTTATGAGGCTAAGTCCAAATTGTTGGGAAATTGTCATGGAAATCCAGAAAAATAAAAAAGCCAAAATTCTGTAAATAGCTAAAGGCACCACTTTGAACTTTTATTGATAGATATTGAGCAATTTATGACAATAACCATACCTTCCCATACAATCTGTGTACCATATATAAATTGTTTGCCAGTCATCTACATTATATGCTAAATGTTTCCAGTTCTCGTTCTGTCAGGAAATCACAAGGCTACTGATGTGGATGGTTATGATAAGCTATACACTTAGGATGGTGGGAGTAAATGTAAGGCATCTAATAATTAGCAGTCTGGCATCATTTTGGCTTCACTGTTACTTTCTGAGATGGAAAGCTACCAAGGAAGAACTGCCTGAATTCCATTATGAGCACATATTCAGCCATCGCAACATTGGATTTTGGAAATATTCAGTCATCGCGTTATATGACTTGTGTACAAGGGTACAAGTCATTACAATGTCTTAACATGGGGAAAGAACAGTGACCTAGTTTGTCCTTGACTACTCACATCGGTCATAGATGCTGCCTGGGATAAGCACCTCCCTTGCATCAAACATGGTGTTGCTCATGAACCTGCCTCCCTGTAAACAATGGAACCATGTTGTGTATACAAGCAATTAGGACATGAGTCTTAATATAAACACACTGATTGGATATTTCTCTAAAAGCTTTTTAATGTCAATGTGCAACCTATTTCCAAGAATAGCATGCAACACTGACATAATACAGCATCCAAACAGAGACCCAGGTGAGCCATTGTGCACTGCTGTCTTAACAAAACCTGGCTAAGTGAAAGTGAACCAAGGTTGGTTTGTATTGTTGTTTAACTTAACACTCAGCAATATTCCAGCTACATGGCGGCGGTCTGTAAATAATGGAGTCTGGACCAGACAATCCAGTGATCAACCTCATGAGCATCGCTCTAGACAATTGGGATGTGGTGAACTATATCAACCAAGTCAGTGAGCCTGACAAGCATGGGTCACCGAAGACAAATTTTAACCCGTATCCTAACAGGTGCCAAGGTGAAGGAATGCAAGCAGCAGGGAAACACATTATGTCCAGCTCCCTTGAGGATCTTTTGGATCTTTAGACTAGAGTATGTAAGTTCATGACTGTTTTACTTACAGGATTAGCAGTGTTGACGAGTTTGCGTGGTTTGCTGAACTGGATGAGGCTCTCCTTGAGGTTGTTCAGGGGACCTTCCACCAGACACTTCTGTTCCTTGAAGTATGTCAACAGGTGGTTCCACAGGGTTTGCTGTCAAACATGAGACTTACATTTAACACTCCTTTCTAGAGGTAATATTAACTTTCATGACTATTATTTTGAAATATAATCAATAAAACCAATACATGTTGCCTTCACAACTGAAAAATATGTCAACAGAACATGTCAAGCAAAGACAGCATTCAATGATTATATGATATAAAGTAACAAAGTAACAGTTTACCTTTGATAACACTTTGGGGTTTCCAACAATAATGATGCCGTATCTGAAACAAATAAATATACAACATACAAAGGAGAAACACAGATAGGTATACTTAATATATAGTTACTGTTTATTGTTTCAAATCAGATCTTAGTGCTCACTCATGCTATGCATGAGCACTTCCAATTATAGGTAACGTCAGAACAATATTTGTGAACTTCGACCAAACAATGAAATGAACGAAAATAAGTCAATATTTTAGCCCATAAAAAAGCAGTTTCTGAATGTCCTGGGTACCAGATTCCTCAAGTTAGCAAGCCAATATAACAAAATGAAACACAGTTTGGTCCTACCTGGCTCTTGTAAGAGCAACATTGAGACGCCTTGGGTCATTCAAGAATCCAATTCCTTGGTGTTCATTGGATCGGACACAAGACAGCACAATGAAATCCTTCTCTCGGCCCTGGAAAGCATCAACGCTTGCCACCTCAATTTCCTGAAAAAAAAAGAAACAAATGAAAAAACATCTGAATTATCATGTCTTTATCTATACGTAGCTTGCAGTCAGCTGAATATCTGTTTGGAAATAAACACACATTTTCAGGTCTGTGAAGAATTCCAAACTCTCAATCCAATTTAACAACATTTTTCAGCCAGTGAGATGATTGCCATTTTGCTTTTCAAAGCACTTAGATTCCTGTGTTGAAGCAAACCTGCTGTGATATTGGAACTACCTGGTAGAGTTTCTTGTTGAGTGCTCCACTGTACTGCATGTACTGGACAAGATATGCCCGCTGGCCTTCGTATGGTGTGATGATACCGATCTGCTCAGGCTTGATGCCAGACCGCAGAAATCGTGTTGTCAGTTTTTCTACATTGGCAGCCTCAGTTCTGGGGGAATGAATGATATACATTACTAAAATGTACGAGAACCAACAGGAAGACATATTTTCTGGTTGTTTGACCCTAGTAAGGAATCCTTTGGTACCTCGCCAGATTGTATACTGGTCATTCCTTGTAACTTGCTGGCTATTCGATAATTATATAAGTCACTCCAGCATTCTATTGCTTGCATACAATGTAACAGGTGAGTGAATGTGGAGCATGTTAATGACCTGTTGAGGTAGGAAGTTCCAGAGCTGGAAATCTCTTCCTGGCCAGATGTACAGTAGAAGAACATTGGCTTGTCTGGTTGAGGGTAGGGGAAATCCAGGTTCTTCCTGCTACGTTCCGCTGGAAGAGAATAATTGGCTCGAGTCAAGATAAACACATTCTACAAGAACAACCAAAACTACAGAATCTGTAGAAGCTGCTCCACTAAAACAATTTGTTTTTGTTTGTTTTTATCTCACTTGTTGAGATACACTTGAGAGAAACAAGGCAAATCTTAGATGAAGTTAACATCCCTATCTATCATGATACACCGGAAAAGTCAAAACAAAACTGCTCATCAGAACAAAGATATGCAGAAAATGTTTGCTGACCTAATGTAGCCATATATGAGTATCACAAAGGATTGGGTGAGTTTTGAGCTTCTAAAACAGACTGTAGGTACTAGTTTGCCCTCATACAGGCTGTGGCTTCTAATTTGCTCTCACACAGGCTGTGGGTACATGAGTGAATGTCCTCACACAGGCTATGGCTGCTTCAAAGAGTAACCTAATGAAGGCTGTAGCTACATGAATTAGTGCCCTGAAGAAGGCTGTAGCTACATGAATGAGTACCTTCATGCAGTGATGTCAAGTCAAACTCCTCATGCAGGCTGGGGCTGCATGAGTGAATACTGTGGCTATAGAACTACACTTACCTGCTGTGACTCCATTCTGCAGTGAGCCCTCATAGAAGATGTTGGAGGGGAAGGCGCTGAGTGCGGGATGCATACGGTACTGGACCTGCAGCCTGATGGGTCTGATGCCCAGGACAACCAGTCTCTCAAACAGGGACTGAGACAGACCTGCCCGTGCTGCTTTCTTGCACATCACGACAGGCCCCAGCTGGCAGTGGTCACCTACCAGGATCAGCTGAACAGACAAAAGTACAGCTGCAGCTGTATTGCAAGATATGGTGGGATTGATGATCCTGTCACCAAATAGATCGTTCACCCCTTAGACTGACTGACTGAGTTTGGTTTTACGCCGCTTTTAGCAATATTCCAGCAACATCACGGCGGGGTACACCAGAATATGGGCTTCACACATTGTACCCATGTGGGGATCACCCTTTAGAAGGTATGGTCTTCAACAACCAATGCTAATATCTGGAGTAATGCTGAATGCCTAGTTAAACAACCAACCAATGTATTTGGTGATGAGCAAGATGGTTTAGTTGTACAAACAAATACTGTAGAATAAATCTTTAAACATTAAATTCTTGGTACATCCCAAAAATATTTACATATATTACTCTTCCATCTAGCATTCAGCTGTTGTGCCACTGTGTGACTCACCTGTCTACATCCCAGTATGACGGGGATCATACACTCCGGCTCCGTGGCTTGTGTGCTCTCATCGATCAGCACAGATCGGAACTGCATCTTGGCAAGGCGAGGATCCCCAGCTCCAACACATGTGCAGCAAATCACATCAGCAGCCTGAGGGGAAGCAAGCAATGAGGAGATAACAAAAGGTCTAACAGCTACGAATGTGACATTCCTGCTTATCAACGGTAAAAGAATCTGTATCGAAAAGTCACACTCACAAAATAAAAGAAGTTGTTACCCATAAAGTTTGTTCAAAATTGTACTTCCCAACTTCTAAAATGCCACTCAAAGTAGTAACTAATCTTCAGCAGTTAATCTTTATGATGCTTGTCAATCAGTTATTCCATCATGTTTGGTGGAATGAACAATGGCCATGTCCATTGTATATTAGACAGAACCTCCATGATGTGCATATAACAATTCAGGGGCTAACCATTACCCTACTTAGTCGGAGATAATGGCAAGGATATACATGAGGCACAAACTATGTCCAGAATAAGACTTCAAGTGTGAACCAGGCCCTGGATCATAGATTTCCTTTCGAGCAAGCGAGCGTGTTCAGTTTTACGCCACACTTGCAATGTGGCGGGGTTCTGTAAATAATCGAGTCTGGACCAGACAATCCAGTGATCAACAGCAAGAGCATCGATCTACGCAACTGGGATACAATGACATGTGTGAACAGTCAGAGAGTCAGACCGCCCCATCCAGTTAGTCGCCTCTTACAACAAACCTGGGTTACTGAAGATCAATTCTAACCCAGATCTTCACGGGTGATCTCCTTAATGTCATGTTAAGGCCAGAGTGCCCTTATTTCAATACAGAATGCTACAAGAATTCTTGTTTGTTACCAACTTTACAAAAATAAGGAATTTCGTGAGTTTTATAGAATCAGTATCTAATGAGAATGGGTGTAATAAATGACAGTTTTACACTTATAAACATCGCTGAAGTTACCTGCAGTAGCTCCTTCTCACACTGTTTCTTCAGGGCACGATACCTCTTCTCATCCTGGGAGGACAACTCTCCTGTCTCATCCTTCAGCTGCTGCAGCTTCTGCAACTCTGGCACACTGTAAACAGAAGACACTGCTTTGTTAAGTATTATGATGAAATATTTCAGTTTGGCATTTTGCTATGGCTTTTTCATCAAAATGCAATGAATTTTTAAAGACTTAGAATTCCAGACTGGAAGTGTTAATCCAGACAGTGAATCTTTCCGAGACTTGATGATGTAACGGCCATGATGACATTCAAGTACTCAGTGATTCAGTGTGCATTAACCACAATGTTGCAGGCTTTCAATTATTACACTTCCTCCTAGGGTAGCTTCTTTCCTGAAACTTTACAACAATTAACACTTTGTTTGCTGATGCCGTCTTACCTCTCCATGTTCCTGATCTGATTGTGCAGTGCAAGGAAGGATACAGGCGAGTCGATGGCTTCCCTACTCTTTGCACAAAGTCGCACAACCTACAAAGAAATTAAATGTATAACAAGCATTGCCACTAAGGTGACATAATCCCATGCCGCAAATTATCAAATCAAACTTAAAATGTAATGAAAGTGAAGGTCGTAATTTAAGATGAAGTTAAATGTCAACAAAAACATGACCAGTCAACATCTCTTGATATCTTGATCTGTAGTTGTTCAAAAGCACACATATTTTCAAGACTTACTTTGACCTTGACATGAACGTCTTAATGTATGAAATATGCAAAAATAGTAATAAAGAAATTTCAAGGGAAGTCTTAAAAGTCAATGAAGAAAATCCAGTGAACTGTTCATGAGATATCTTGCTGACAATCTTAACAGGCAGTCTAACATGCTGAAATCTTCAAAGTGTCGCCATGACCTTGAAAATTAAGTGAAGGTCACCAAAATCGACTGGGCTCTTTGCCTTCCCTAGATAAAGCTTGGTGTTGAATATGAAGAAAATCCAGTTAACGGTTCTTGAGATATCTTGCTGACAAGCTTAACATGCTGAAATCTTCAAAGCGTCACCATGATCTTGAAAATTAAGTGAAGGTCACCAAAATCAACTGGGCCCTTTGCCTTCCCTAGATAAAGCTTGGTGTTGAATATGAAGAAAATCCAGGGAACGGTTCTTGAGATATCTTGCTGACAAGCTTAACATGCTGAAATCTTCAAAGTGTCGCCATGACCTTGAAAATTAAGTGAAGGTCACCAAAATCGACTGGGCCTTGCACCTTCCCCAGATGAAGCTTGGTGTCAAATATGAAGAAAGTCCAGTAAATGGTTCTTGAGATATCTCGCTGACAAGCTTAACATTCAGCTTAACTCTTTCAACACCAGTCAACCAGAGGCATTTACTGCCATGACACCGTGTTCCCAGAGACTCTGAGGTCATAGATGAAGCCTATGTTTATGAAGGAAATTATAAGCTTGTAAAACGTTATTGCTACTACATCCCATACACCATTTAAAAGATCTAATCCTACTGTTGATAAATATGAAGTTTATTTTTATAATATTATTCAAATAATACAACTACAACTTAAATAAATTTATATTTGAATGAAAATGCAAGCTTACATTTATAACGTCCAGATAAACCACGAAAGGAGCAAAAACTATGGCGATTTTTTTCCATTTGTGACATGTCATAACATGCCCGTGCCTTTTTCTTTTATATTTTCATTTTTACGTAATCAGAAAATTATTATAAACAGATTTCTTAAACAATATGTATGGTCGCCTATTTCCCGATATCTGTGGCTTTCCGCCCGGTAAAATGACATAACTGAAAATACCTCCGTTTTCGAAGCTTTGTATGAATAACATGCGCGGCAAATCGTTTGAAAGCTCTGAACATCAACAATATCACTGTACCCTTGCCAAGAGTATTTTCACAGATGTAAGAAGCGATTTTATTGGATAAAGATTGGTTTCTAATGACGCTTTTTCGCCACAGTCTGCTATAAGGGTCGTGATTGGTCAAAATCAGACACGTGACCTAAGGCAGCCAATCATATTACGGCAATGGATATCGTCCTCGTAAACGAAAACTTTTAGATTTCGACAAAAGTTTTGGGTAAAATAATGCTATTCTGAACATATTAAGCAAGAAATCGCTACCTATCGTAAATTATGGAACTTATTGGACGATCGTCGTAGGGTTATGACTCTGTGACAAAATGCTTCATGTATGTATTTTCAAGATTAAACATCGTGTCCGGCGCTGAAGATTGAGGCGGCGAGCGAGATGTCACTTGTCAGTGACTTGACTTGCATTACATGATCGCACAAAAAGATGGAAATAGTAATTTTATATGCACGCTTTGACAACTTTTATGAATGCTGTTGTTGATTTTATTCATTAGTTTTTCAATTTATTTAATAATTTCCTCGAAACATCGTTACTTTGCTCTTTGACAATGTTATTGTGGACCCGCTGCCGAAGCATGTGTCCGAGAATCGTTGTTTTCAATAACATTGCGAAAAATAGTTTATAATTTTAATTCTGCTGATAATATATGATAAATTGAAATTTAATAAGTGTTTTCAGACATTGTGAAATGTGATAGATTTGATATATGAATCAGTCAGGTAGGTTCCTAAAATTATGTCTAATTTTGACGTGACTACTGCCTGGCCGATTAATCGGCCTCCGGCGTCTGGGGACTCATAATGTTGTGGCCGATTATTCGGCCTGCGGTGTTGAATGGGTTAACATGCTGAAATCTTCAAAGCGTCACCATGACCTTGAAAATTAAGTGAAGGTCACCAAAATCGACTGGGCCCTGCGCCTTCCCTAGATAAAGCTTGGTGTTAAATATGAAGAAAATCCAGTTAACGGTTCTTGAGATATCTGGCTGACAAGCTTAACATGCTGAAATCTTCAAAGCGTCACCATGATCTTGAAAATTAAGTGAAGGTCACCAAAATCAACTGGGCCCTTTGCCTTCCCTAGATAAAGCTTGGTGTTGAATATGAAGAAAATCCAGGGAACGGTTCTTGAGATATCTCGCTGACAAGCTTAACATGCAGCTTAACATGCTGAAATCTTCAAAGTGTCGCCATGACCTTGAAAATTAAGTGAAGGTCACCAAAATCGACTAGGCCCTGCTCTTTTCCTACATAAAGCTTGGTGTTGAATTTGAAGAAAATCCAGTGAGCGGTTCCTGGGATATCTCGCTGACAAGGGTAAAACGTTAAAGTCCCCTTGTGACCTTGAAATGAAGGTCAATGTCACCAAACCTGACTGGGACCTTTCTTTTACTGTGATGAACCTAGGTACCACATATAAAAAGAATCCAGTCAACAGTTCTTAAGATATTCCAATTCGTGTATGTATGGACGGACGGAGCCTCATACTATATCCCCAGCTTCGTGCTAAACGCGTGGCGGGCAATAATTAGTCCTGTGATGTTTGGATGTTAACATAACAGTGGTGGTAATGTCAGAGGTTCAAATAATACAAACTGTATATAAAACTGATAGATTTAATAAAACATCACTCTGATAATGCAAGAATGTCCTCAATAGTCAGTGGCTGAAAGTAGTAACATGGCATTCGATAGACATGCATATTTAGTCGAGTCCGATAACTTACTTTATTGACTTGAGTTACTTAAAACCTTTTGGTAAATGCCCAAAGCGGTACTACCTGAACATAAGCCATGATAAGTTGAATCTACTTTTGTCTCTTTAACATAAATAAAACAACTATGGACTTAATGTCAGGCCAATACCTGTTTTCACTGACCCAGAAAAAAGCACTGTCAGTAAACACAAGCACTAACCTCATACAGAGTTATAACTGTATCTATCATTGAGGTCATCTTCAATGGTTTTGAAAAGCATACAAAGATACACTGGACACACCTTGAGTCCTGTGCGATGGATCTTTTCAGTCAGCTGATCCACAGCAATGTTGGAAGGTGCACACACCAGGACAGGACCATTGTTTTGCTTTACAAGATGGTACACAATTGTAGCTGATGTCACAGTCTTACCAGTTCCAGGGGGCCCCTGAAAATACACATCATACAAGATGTCATCAGTGAATGACTCAACCTGAACTACATTTATGAAGTGAAAATATCTTAGGGTATTATCACCCTAACAAATAATTACAACTTTTCTACAAGATTACTGTGTAACTATGAGTGAGAACGGTACAACAGGTTTGCTTGTTGTCAAGTGAAGCTCTACCTGGATAAGGCTTGTAGGTCTCTGCAATACAGTCTTCACAGCATACACCTGAGAGTGGTTCAGCTCAGGCAGGCCTGGGGCAGAGAAGCCCTTCGGCAGCTGACACTTGAGTACCACATCCTCCACCTCATGGCCAAGTAGCTTGTGGTAGATGTAGCCCCACACTGACGTCTCATCTACGGCAAAAGTCTTCAGTGCTGCCTGCATCCTGCACAGGACACACAAATTTTATTTAAGCTGCAACAAAACAACTCAAACACAGAATTCAGCTACAGTTGAGATGTTTATAATGTCTTTTGAGCGAGGATGGTTCTATGCTGTTTTTAACAATAATCGAGCAATATCACGGCAGGGGACACCAGAAACGGGCTTAACGAATTCCACCCATGTTGGGCATCGAACCTGGGTCTTCGGCATGACGAGCGGATGCTTTAACCATTGGGCTACCCCACCGTCTCTAATGTCTTTTGAAATTCAGCTACTGTTAAGATGTTTATAATGTTGACCATTAGGACACCTCATTGCCATTAATGTCTTTTGAAATCAGCTTATCTTTGTTACATCTATATCAGGGAAACAATACACACAAGTGTTTGCCACTGATATGGCAATGTCCCCCGTTGCTAAAGAATGGAATATCTATGAAGATAAGATAAGGTCAAGTTCACCCAAATAAACTGGTGTCTGCATAAACCCCCAATGTATGCTGTCACTAAATTTGAAGACATTGGATACAACAGTCCATGAGATGTCGCGTTAAGAAGAGTTTGAAAAGTGTTGTGGTGACCTGGAAGATAAGGTCAAGGTCACCAAAATAAACTGGTGTCTGCGTAATCCCCCATTATAGCTAAAATACATGGAATTATCATGAAACGGCCCTCTCGTTATCAGAAATTTGCGGTCCGCTGCAAATGATATTGGACCGCTCAACCTTAACGACGGGCCACTATCAGTTCTGTTGTCAAGTGACGTCATAGTTCAACATAAGTGGCTTTCGACTGGCAGATGTTCTGGGTCAAACAAGTCAAAGCAACCCAAATTCCCGCTTTAAATAGCTGTACTATTGGCTTTCTTGCTGGTGCTAACCTTAACAATTGCACTATTAAGACTGTTGATGGACCAAAACCGAACACTGTCATAGCTTGACATGTTGCAGGCTATGGTCTTGTCAAAGGCCAAGGTCGAGTATCGTCACTTTCAGTTGTGACGTCACTTGAATTGTTCGATGATGTAATTGCATTCGGGCAGTCAACCCCGTCAGAAGTTGATTTGGGTAAACTTACAGTCAAATTCCTTCATTGTTTCCTTTTTCTTTTCAACACAAATTCCATGTAGTTTAGCAATAATAACGGTAATGCTATTTTTGAGGGCATTATCATTTGCAGAAGCCCGAGGTCTTTATCAACTGCCCTCCTTCGTCGGGCAGTTAATGGAAAACCTCGGGCTTCTGCAAATGATAATGCCCTCAAAAATAGCATTACCCTTATAATGTAGGCTGTCACCAAATTTGAAGACATTGGGTACAACAGTCCATGAGATATCGCATTAACAAGAGTTAAAAGCGTGCAAAGTGTCGTGGTGACCTTGAAAATAAGATCATGGTCACCCAAATCAATTGGTGTCTGCGTAATCCCCCAATGTAGGCTGTCACCAAATTTGAAGACATTGGGTACAACAGTCCATGAGATGTTGTGTAATAAGAATTTGAAAAGTGTCGTGGTTATCTTGAATATAAGATCAAGGTCACCAAAATAAACTGGTGTCTGCGTAATCCCTTAACATAAGCTGTCACCAAATTTGAAGACATTGGGTACAACAGTTCATGAGATATCGCGTTAACAAGAGTTTGAAAAGTGGTCAGTGTCGTGGTGACCTTGAAGATAAGGTCAAGGTCACCCAAATCAACTGGTGTCTGGGTAATCACCCAATGCAGGCTGTCACCAAATTTGAAGACATTGGGTACAACAGTTCATGAGATATCGCGTTAACAAGAATCGGGACGTACGTACGCTGCTGAATACATAGTCCCCCATTGCTCGTTGCGGCGGGGGACAAGCACTAGCCACAATGTTACCTGTCAAAAGATGTTGACTTCCACACAAAATCCACTACAAAGTTATGAGTACACTCTGTTGGTACACCTGCATTGCTCTTGAGTTCGATTGCAACTTCATCGCTGTAATCTGAAGTCAATGTAAGGAAATGCTCGCACAGAATGGGGTTACCTCTTTCGAACAACTCTAAACACCCGGGTTGCTGAACACAAGTCATCAGTATGCAAACAAAATGATAAGTCAGCTATATCGGAGCACAAGGCAAATAACCCAAGTCATGTAATCATGTGGAATGATATTAGGGTGATTTCGAGAAATAACAATGACTGGCGTCGGAGAAAACTACAGGAAGCTGTCGAGATAAGGAGACATAAACCAGCAATTAATCGTGATCAAGGTGTATACCTGCCAAGTGCGTGGGACCTCTTGATTAACTTTTGATGAACTTTTGATGAACTTTAGATACAAGAAAAAACGAGTCTACTATTCTTTTTGGAAAGCCTGCTATCAAGTAACCTTTGTGTAATTAGCAGTTGTTGTGTATTGACAATTCAACTTTCAACTCTATTATTTAGCATGAATTTCATCATTATGTAACTAACTCACTTATACAGTACTCTCCCTAGTGTACTGTGATGTCACTTGCATTGTGACGTCATAACTCAGTAATGACGTCATAGTGACGACGTCATAGTCCTAACTGACAGTTCACCTGATGAAGGGACCTGGAATGGTCTCGAAACGTTGTGAGAGAAATTTAAAAAGAAGTTTAATCCATAAAAAATATCTTGGACATCAATGTACAACTTCTAAATGCCACTGAAAGACAACTCTAAACTACTTTCGAAGAGAAAGGATTCAACAGAAAGAATGTTCATCTATTGCCTACTTGAAAAAGCAGTCTGATCTATACTTTTTGGTAAACAGAACTTTTCCCCTTTGGATTACTTGCCCATGCTAATGTATATTTTCTGTGGTTTACTTTGGGGTCCCTGAAATCATTTCAAATTTCCATAACTGCTTTGTTTTAATACAAGGATACTGTCTGGAATCTTGATGACGTGGCCAACACCAGACCATGGTTTGTGCAACTCTCCGATGTAACGTAGTCGCAACTCATCTCCATGCATCAGTTTCATCTCTGAAAGATGGAGGGGAAACATACATGACGACCATCTCAAAAAACACTAAATGTATCCCACTGAAGCAGAATCAACTTTAACATGACTATTAAATCACAATGACCACCTCTGAGTTTAACAGCTAATCATTTTGGAAGCAAATATTTACAGAAATGTTCTTCTTTCTCAATCAGGTATTGTAGTCACTATAAATAGTGCAATCATTATTAAAACAAATGTCCACTGTTCAATGTATATGTTGGTATACAGTTTGGACACAACACAATGAAATCAACTTGATTTCAAGCTTTAGGGATTACAGTAAGCTTGAAATCTGGTGCTCTTTTATAGTTGACTGCGACCTGGTATTTTCACGACAACAATGAGTAGGGATGTTGTAATTGTGCCACACAGTATAGAACTAAAGATTGGAGGCTTGGTTGTGTTTGCCCCATTTTGTATGAGACATTCCAATGCTTGTTTTACATGCAAGTAAACCATAATGATTTGGAACATGGACAAACACAATATACCATTTCAGCTCCAAATTCAATTCAGCATGGCCAAATCTGTAACCAGTTCTACTTAGAAAATGCAGTATTTTCCAAGCCAAAAGCATACAATCTGGATCAAGCAACATCAGTTGAAATCGGATTATCTCACCATCATTGGCGGAGGACAAGTGAAAGTATGCAATCCTCTTCTTGTTGAGGCCGACATCCCAGCGAGCCACAATGTTATCTTGTGTCTGGGACTCCTTCAGCTTCTTGTCATAGTCAGCTTCATGCTTCACCAGGGGACCAAAGATGTTCTGATACTGGTATGCATCATCATACCTGCAAAGATTATGTTTTCATTATTTATCATAACCTTAATTGAGTTGTTTTCTTGAACACAAAACTGAAGAAACCTGCAAATCAGAAACCACATACGGTTTATCTACTAAATATTAGAAAGCAAACAGAATTTGTTTCATTTGTTTGAAATAGGCAACTTTGTAGTTAGCATAAGCATGTCATCATCAGGCAGGTAACACAGAATCCTTATCATTCAGACATCATAAGCATTTAGGAAGATCAGATTTTATCTAGAGTATCCATGTTACAGACAAGGCAAAAATACAAGGCAAGATGTTCTGTTTGGAATACTTTTTAACAATTTATATCAATTTACAGTAGAATGAAAACTCAAACTATATAAAGCCTTTCTTGGTGGATGACTTAGTACTATTATGCATTCATATCAGATCTGTGGTCCCCACTGTTATCTAGCAATAAGGATGAAAGAGTTTCAAGGTGTATATATCATCACAACTCACCTGAGAAGTACCTGCTGTGGCTCTTCATCTACTCCTGGTTTCTCAAGATCTTCTAGTTTTGCATCTGGGTTTTCCTGAGACAAATACACAACCAGTTATCCCAGGCAATCAGATAATTAAACTGTTATGGTACCAATATTCTTACTTCTAGGAAGACCTCTCCTAGAAACTTGTCCACAGACTTTCGTTAAGCATGTGGATGTAAAATTCATTTATCAGCTTTGGTTTCAGATTTCAGTATTTGGCTGCCTTTGATAAAGACATATTTGTGATGTCATCAAGCTGACTTCAGGATTATGTTTTATTGAGACATTACATCATGAAATCCCTGGGAAGACTTCTATTGTATGTAGCTGAATGTGGGCAAATGGGGCATACCTTCCATAGCTCCTCCAGCTTGTTGATCTGCTGAGCCGAGATCTGCCTGGCCCGCATCTGATCCTGGTCAGAGGGTACTTTCACCAGCCAGGACAGGAACTGCCGGTCTTGTATCAGTGGTTGCCACTGACTGGGATCCCTGCAACACAGCAAACATATCTTCATGCAGTCTATTCATATTGCAACAATAATCTTCAAAACTATAAAAAAACCCACAAAAACAAAGCGGTAACTATGTAATTTTGACGGGAAAAGGGAGGCAACTCATGGGTGAGTGATTTTTTAAGTCTACTTCAAGGGAACTACAAGGGATTCAAGTGTTCCACTACCATTCGCATAGAAGGAGATAAGCAAAACAAGCATGAGTCAGGATAAGGCTAATAAAAACGTTTTTAAAACTATTTAACCTTTCATCAACACCTAGTCAGAAAGAATATATTTCCACTGCACTAACATAAGATATATTGCTGTGTAACCAACCAGTTCATGTCCTTGAGATTGCTGAGGGTAGCACAGGGATGACGACACAGCAGGACAACGACCGAGTCTGCCTTGGCTGGGATGAAGCCAAGCAGAAAGACGTTCCGACAACCACAGTTGTAACACTCAAGCACCGTCTCTCCCAGTGGGCCATCCTTGTGAAGAGTCACTTCCTTTGCCTTTGCTCGGGACCAAATGGTTGATGATGTGGCTGAAATGTTTGTAAGATATCACATTTTACCTAATGTCTTTGACTTTACATAATGTTCATCACATCAATCCAAGGACTTGTGATCAACAATTGTGTCAGCGATGTACAACCTACCTTCCTGATGTATTGCCACGGCCATTACAGAACCACTTCTTCGTTGTGTTGCAGAACACCACACAGGCGGGGGTCGTGAATTCCACAATAACTGAAACAGAAACACATAAATAATGGACATGCATATAAGGCATGTGACAGTCAAACATGTTTGTCCAGTTCAAGAGTTTGAAGTTGTGACTAGGGCTGCAACAATTCGCCCAGATCTAGATTCGATTTTCGATATTGGACCCTATATTCGATCATTTTCAATTCGATTCTTCATACAAGTAAAACATCAGATTGCATTTAACTCTCAGTCTTTTTTTTCGTGTGAAATCCCTCCTCAATTTGGCGATGTCTACTAATAACAATTCTCATTGGATAATTAGCCCGGCATCAACCAATAACATTTCGCCTTGTTTCAGTGCTCGAAACTGCTCTAGTTGGGAGTCAAAATTACGTTCTGGCTGTGTTGAAATAAGTTAAATAGGTATTCAAATATCGAATGATGGCTATCGAAAATCTAAAATAAGGTGTCAGATTCGATTTTTGATGAATTGAACCGAATCGTTGCAGCCCTAGTTGAGACATTTCAGCCTTATCTTGGAAGATAGGTAGATTCAAATATTAGATACCACAGCAGTTAAACTCAAGGGCACCAGGACACTGTTAATTTCCACTATCGCAGACACAATCATGTACATTTGCAAAAACATGTCAAATGACAATCCTTGTTGTAGCCCTAGAATTTTCAGTGTGTTCAGAAGTAAAAAAAATGACACTTCAAATCCTTCAAGAAGTAACTTTAAGGAGTTCCAATACCAAAATCCAAAGGTAGAAAATATGATTACACTCAGACCACGTTAGTCCGGACTCCGATAATCCGATTCCCGCGATATCCGAACGGTAGCAAGCTGTAACCAATCTTGTTTACTATGTAAACTCATTAACCGTTTATTCATTAATCTGGTGCTTCACTCTCCGGATCCGGACATTAATTAGCGGTAACAGATTAGCTAATTACACTCGATTTTGCTTCATTAATCTGGCGTTACATCAAAAAGGTTCGCATAATCCGGTTACCTCCTGAGCACCATTGAGTTCGCTGATCTTCATCGGTAAACTTCAATGGTAGTTGGTAAGTGAGGTGACACTTCTGAGTTGAACATGTCGTTAGTTTGTGATCCTAATCAATTAATAGGTCTCACTTGTGGAAATACAGCTGGCACCATCAAAATTATACTGTTTGTCATCGGCAAATCCAGACGTCCCAGATGTTTTGGAAGAGACTTTAACCCAGAATTGTATGTTCTCTATCATTTCAACTACAAAGTGTGGATGACATCAGACATGTTTTGTGATTGGCTGATAACTTTTGACAGACAGATACGATCGCGTTCATTTCCTGCCTCCCAACACCACTGTCATTGGTGATGTCAACCTGAGTGAGTTTCTGAGTTTTGATTGTTATACAAACTGTAATAAAGTCATTTGATACGTGTACATGTACATATGTTCTTATGTTCTTGTCTCGGTAGTCAAAGGGAAGGAACTCTACTGTAGTGGTGTACATTATGGTTCGTTTCAGTAGTCCGTACGTTTCACTATCTGAACATTTTTATGAAAAACGAAAGTGTTCGGATTAACGTGGCCTGACTGTACTCTTTGACCCCAAACAAACAGTTCACAGTGCCTGTGTGTAAAAGGCGGTCAAAGTTGAGGGAATCATGGGGTCCTTCTGATGTTATCTTACACTGTTGTTTTTTACACTGCTTATTTAACATAATCATTCAAAATTCCACAAGAACCCCTTGATTCACATGCAAACAAATACAAAATACACTGACAGAAGTTAACATTACTACCAAACAAACTAAGTGCTGACTTACGCGGCATGCATATTTTGGAAGATCTTTCATATAAAACTGTTCCTCTTCTTCCTCCTCAAAGTTGAGCTCACCCACACCCTGGGTGATGCCCGTGATTCCTCCATCAATCCCATTCTGCAGTGGTCCATCGATACCATTCACCTGAGATAGAAAAGTACACAGCTGCACTATATGGGTAAAAGGTAGACAGCTCGCTTCACATCAACATACTAACAATTTACATTCTTATATTTTCAAAAACAAGTAACCCGATACTGTATAACAATTAAAAACAAGATATCGCAAACAGTTAACACTTCAAACTTTTTATCATTTAACATAAATATTTAATTCAGAAGCTTTAAGATGATAAAAGACAAGAGCAGCATAACTTACGCTTGACGTCAAGCGTAATTTATGCAGTTTTACTTAAACTACTGTTTCCACATTCAGCTAAGAACAACTTAGTTGGTAACTGAACATGGAGTCTTCTCCACATGTTACAACATGTCCAAGTAAGTTACAAATTTATGGTTCTATAATCCAGAGTTTGAAACCAAGGTGACAACTTGGATCCTTGAAGCTTGGCCTGCAGTATTTGTTTATCATGTTTACAAGAACCCCCAAATATTCTTAATTTGACAATGGGATCAAAATTCCAAACACTGCTCAGTTATTCTGAAGGGGTAATCATGGGTGTAAATGAACATTTGCATACTGCTATATGAACCATCATATTTGATACATCAACTTGCTACTGTGATGTCACAACAAATATGATAAAGAAAACCACAAATGTGAATACTGGAATAACACTTTGTGTCAAGAGGAAATGGTAGAAACTTGAGTCAAGTAAATATATTTCCCTTTGGAAAGTTTAGCCAATAAAAGCCATTGTGTTCACAGGGTTTAAGGAAATATACTCAATGTAATGTTTAATGTTACACACTGGAAAGAAGTGGGCTTTGTAGCCATATATTTCTGTCTACTGACAATTAATGAAATGGTGACTGAGTGAATGAACATTGCTTAACCTGCTATCAGCAGTATGTTTTCTTTCTAAAAAACATCACTGTCAAAATAATATCTCAGGGACTGCCCAGCCCCTATGCTCCTGAATATGGGAATTATCTTCACTGCCTGTCTTATGCATATAATAAGGGTTCATTTTTATTAAATAATAAAGAAAGAAAAAAAAATTCATGGAAGACAATTAATCCATTGACGTGCTTGTAAACGTGCATTACACAACACTGTGTTATTACCAAGTCAGCCATTCGTACTGTTTCAGCCATTCATTGTGAAAAGATCAATTAACAGTTTTTCAGTCGAACACTGGCTGGTACTTGTATCAGGTTCTATGTTACTTATCATGAGAATCGGTTTACTTGGTTGCATTACATCGACCAAACATGAAAATTAACGCGAGCATGTTTCAACACAGGTTGTATCAAATACACATGATTTCTGCATCAAGGCAATCCCTGATCTATATTCAAGATGGAGATAATGCATCGATGGACTGATCAGTTTGAGAAGAAATAACATTATCGTGGCTAACTGGTTAGTGAAATGACTCATCACAACTCAAGTATTGTATCCTGTCTCAAGCCTATTGTTACACTTACATGTCTGGGAGCCCATAAAAAATATCATTACAACCAAATACACTTTTCAACAGCTGTTCAATAACATCAGGGTGTTTTCTCTTCCTGTTCAGATATAAGTCTGTAGCAACTATCAGTAAAACATCGTTAGTTAGAATTAAAGAATTCCTAATTCATCATGTTCTTGTTATTATATACTAATCATTATTAATCAATATTATGGCTTTGTAGCAATTTTTATTTCCCTGAGTAATATGACCATTAAAAAGGTAGAGGCTTTCATGCTTATTTTGAAATTAACACATTAATTGATATGTTAAAATATAAATGTTTACATTACCTGTGAATTTTGGAGAAATAAATTATCTTAATGATTTCTTTCCAACTTGCCCTTCAAGGCTCTAGTACAAACACCTGTACACCACTGTAATATGCTGAAAGACAGATACTTCCACACCTGACAAAACACAGAAGCTCTGCAGGAGGTAGTAATATAAAGGTATTCTACCCAGCATGTGATTACATTCAATCCAATGTGACTATGTTCCACAACACCAAACAATAAGTGTCTACACACATCAAATCAAGCATTTTTTTCTTTAAACAGTTTACTAGCCAAAGTCAAACAAAAGAAACTGACGCCATATTATACCAAAGAGATTATTACTGGAACGTGTCTATCACAATACTTTACATAACAACCTACTTTGAAAAGTCCTTGTAAGACATGAAACATGTTCCTTCACGATATCAATTCACAAACAAATGAAGTTTTAAAAAGAATAAATAGGTATGATTTTTTTGTTGTCACTGAAATGTCTTATCCATTATGTCTTAGAGTCTGATTGCATATCAATTGAGGCTTCTATGGCAACATGCATTTTCATCCATGTCAGGAGTTAAAGCAACAACAAGGTTAAACAATGCATACCACTTGGTGACAGTGACTTGTCACAACACAGTATGGTAGGTTTCAAGTCTGGTATTGCTGATTTAAATTTGTTCTAATCTAAATTCACAACACTTCTATGTGAGAACAGCATTTGTGTTTGTAGACGCTTGGATTGCTAAGTGTGGATGCGAAAATTAGCATGATTACTGGGAAGTAACAGAGTTGTTATTTTCATGTATGGCACTAATCATTGCTTTCTATAAATCATCACAAGTGAGTGGTCAAAATTGGTTTTATTGCTGTTTCCAACATGACAATGAACACTGCCTGCCTGCCAGCACCTTCCCCCATCACTCACACCAGTTGTGAAACATGGATGCATTAAAAATGTGCCAAATTGAGTAATGCAGGTCTTAGACATTTACCACCATGGTGATACCTGCGAGCATGGGTATTCTGCTGTCCATGGAGATGTACAAAGAAGGTCAGGATTGGGACTGAACCCACAAACAGAAGGTTCTGGTAGACTAAGGAATGTAGACTGTATACAGTGAATTGATAACCATGTACAGTAGAACACGGATATAACGAACTCCAAGGGACCAAGAAATTTAGTTCGCTATATCCGGTGTTCGTTATTTACATTTGACCGCCATCTTGGATTGTAGAGATGTAGAGACACGTATATGCTGAGGCTACAAATTTTTATTTTTGTACATTGATATAATATTAAAATTCTGAATTTATCATTCACAGACATTAGCTAGAACATGTTTGTTTTGTTAAACACATTAATGACCATCGAACAACGTTGATTCGCCGCCAACAAGGTTGATGTATACCACTAAGTGGCTCAGCTGACACTGAGCTGACACTGAGTGAGTTCACTAATCACGTCGTTAATTGGGCTTGGGGGTAGTAAATCAGTTCGCTATAGCCGTTAATTCGCTACTCACGAGTTCGTTATTCGCGTATAATTTTAATGATATTATAAAGGATTGTTGACGGGACTTTTAAATTTGTTCGCTATATCCGTTTGTACGCTATATCCGTGTTCGCTATATCCGTGTTCTACTGTAGTTAGATAGCAAAGGGATGTAAAATTCAGTGGACAATCAGGTCATCACATCCCTTTATAGTGTGAGAACTGGCAACTGCCGCCAAGGTTAATTTACATTGTGACAAAGTCTGTCAACAGGTCAAGTCAGGTAGAGAGTTTCATACTGTCCAATCTAATATATGTTATATTTGGGATTATACTTTCTTACTAAAGTACAGATTCTAGTACTTTTGTGAGAAAAGATTTTGAGAAAAGTGTAATCCCAAATATAACATGTTACATTTGACCACTTTCTAAATGGCATTGTACACTCTCTAATCTATACCAAAACACTTTGTGTGAGACATTATTCTCACAGAGTGTTCATTTAAGTTGCTGTCCAACCAGTGAAAACAAAATGGCAGCCACTTGTTGAATTACCACATGCCCTGTCTATTTTCCTTTTTGGGTATACTCATAGTCATAAGTGCTCTAATTCTTAAAAACTCTTGCCACTTGCCACATTCATTAAACTCTTAGTTATAAGAGGGTAGGGAGCGTGGAAAAAAAAAGCTATTAAAAAAGCCAAAATACAAAATCAAAATCAGATAAGCTGCGTATCTGCCTAAATTATGTAAATATTTATGTGAAAACTCAATTCCTATTAAGTCTATTGCGTACAAGTACGCTTGAAGTTTTGTAAATACTCAATAAATGTGATCTTACATGCGTACACACAAAATGTCAAATCTTAGAATGCGTACCGGTGGATAGATAAAATAACTGAGGAGGTTCTATTTCAGGGCATGAACTTGACAACTTGCAGTCTTTCTTATCATTTCTTATATTACTGATCAAATATAAATAACAAACAGTAACATTTAAACTTTATTATATTTTTACAATTAATGGAAAATGGCAAAATACCCAATTGAGTTTGAGTGAGGTGAGTACAATTTATTTGGTTACTCAAAAGAAAATTAAGATACCCAAACGAGATGAACACAAGCGAGTACATAACTCAATGGCCCAAAAAGTTATCTGTAGCTCTGCAAAATGCCTGTTTCACATTGTCCAATGTGTCAGATACCCGCAGTGGGTACATCAACATCAAAAACTTCAACACAAAGTTCCTTGCATTGACACTTTAGCCCTATCGACCTAATCTAGCAATGAAAAGGAAAATGTCACAGCTGGTTGGAAACAAGTTTGTATCATTTCAAATACACACTATTCCTTTTAGTTACAATGGTAGGTTATATTTATGATCAATTTGTATTTGAAACCATACACCCAAATGCAGCAATTTATTGATGATTATTGTATTGTAGCTTCAGTATCTTGGAGTTAAAACATGTTTTCCATGGTTCCAAGATCATCGTCTATGAGTCAGGATATATTCAAGAAATAAAATCCATAAAAAAATGTTAGTAGTGACATTCTGCTCTCTTGGTTCCAATAAATTTAGAACAAAAGGTGATAAAACCTCAACAACCTACATGGATGTCAAAAATATTTATTACGTTAATAAGCCTTGATGAACATTAAAAAGGTCTATCCAGCTAAAGCTGATAATGTGAGGTCTCTTATCTTGGCTGTGGCAAGTATCTCACAATACATAGTGAGTTCACCTACTTTATGAATAACTTGGAATGACTGAAAATGTTTGTATCCTGAAGATAAACAGACAGGGCTTGTCGCTAGAGTTAAGTACAACGGAAATTTTCATACCATGGTATAGTGCAGTATACAGTTTGTTTTAGAGATTTTGACTTACTCCAAAGTAGTCTGCCATGTTGGTTTCTACCAACAACAATCCCTTATCCATCCTTTGGTTTTATATTTTCGTCTGGATAACATAGCAGTTGTTGTGCATGTGTAGTAACAGGGGTGGAAATAACTTTAAAATTGCTAGTGTACTCCGGAACAGTGGCACATGTAAAATCACTTGCACTGATAATTTTTCCACTGTACCGGCCGTTTTCTTGTTGAGATTTTTAAATAAACAACATAAATAACATTGGAAAGTCAACTGGACATCGGTACAGTGTGATATACAAATTTGCTTGCCCGACAGAACAAAAACACTGGACTCGGACGTCGGGCAATGGGTTATTTCCACCCCTGAGACGCCATATACCATTTCAGCGGTATGAACCCAAGTATGAATCATTGTATTATGGTCATATTTCATTTATGTACCATGAAATTTATTTATTTTTAAAACCGCATTAACAGTAGGTGTAGATTTTGTGACAAACGTTGAGTGCTCACAAATAATCAGAAATACCAGTTCACCACATAATACTGTGGTATGTATTGTGTGGCTTTTAAAACCAAGGTATACCAGTATACTAGTTTACCATCACACCTCTATTTGTGGCTTTCTACCAGAGTCTACAGGGCGTAGCCCTTTGAAGTTTGATTCATAATTTGGCATGTTTAGTAGCTTGCTTTATGTATCAGTGATACATTTTTCTGTAGAAATGAATGAAACTTGTTTCTGTCTGCGCCAATAAGTCTGAGTCTAGTAAATCCTGTTTGGTCTAGTAAGATCAGCTAATAATATGTTACCAAACGACATAAAATGCATTCAGAGTAAAACTTCTGGGCAGTGGATTGATAGCATTGGCACAGACTTATATTTCATTGTTCACTTTCCAAATGTTGTCAGGTTCATGGAAAATTTGCATATCAATGACTTATATAAACAACCAAACACAATACTGACTAAGTGCTGTAACAGAAATGACTGTCTAAAATACACTATGTCTAGCAAGTTGAAAACAAGGGAAGGAGATTTATGCTGCAATCAGTAATATTCAAGTTACATCATGGTCTGTAACCAGTGGGTAAAAGCATGAGCAACTATCCACATTGGTTCATGCACAATCCTGACAATATTAGGCGGGTTGTAGTTAGATTGGACACCATAAAAAGTGTGTGGCAACTGTGGAAAATTTAAAATAGATCCAGTTAATCTCTTTTAATAAACTTTCAAACCATGACAACACTAATAAACAAACAGGAACCCATACTGAATTACCAACCCAACTTGATAGAGAAAATAGGTCATAACGAAAATAGAGCTGATAAGCAGTAACTGTTCGCGAATCATTTACAAAAAAAATCGGATTTATGTCTACTTTTGTTTTTGAACAATTGGAAACAACAGAATAAAATGGTATGACTAATACTTTAGCAAATATGTGGGCGTGCTACTTCGCAAACCCGTTTCTTAAAACGTGATTGACCCGGACTTGCACCTGAGAATGGGAAATACACGTGGTTGCGAATATTCTCTAAATTTACCTGGCCTTGGCTCTGACTCTGTCCCCCATCAAGCTGAGAGGCTTGAGTTTGAGACTGGGTCTGGGACGGAAGGGTAAAATCTGTGAAGTCGAAGTCGGATCCTTGTGTATCTGCGCCCAGAAGGTCGGTTTCTTCGGTATCCAGGAAAGTCAAAGTTTGCGAGCTGGGTCCATACGCATCTACGCTCATTTCTGTTATTACAAATACCACACAGGACTACGCTGATAATTAAACACCTCAATTGTCTATCTTCCGCTTGTCACATGTTAAGGTCAACGGTAAAAACTGGAAGGTTGTGTAAAACTGAAAAATTCGTTGAAATGCAACCCTTCACGCCATTTCGTTCTCTAGCAGCTGACGTCAGGAAGTAAGCGAAAATGATGACGAAGTTCACATTAGCGCGAAATCCGATTACGTTTAACTCACAAGGGAGTTAACTCACCAAGCACACGTGAACTTCAGTTGGTTCAAGACTGAAAGTTGGTGAACACATTCAGTTTCAGTTTCATTAACAATCTGTGGCGTCTAAACGGGTATGATGTATAGGTTTCGATCAGTTATATCATTGTGTATTGCAGTTTTGTATAGTTCACCACATGTCATCATGTTCACTGCTGTAGATGTAAATAGTTTTGAGAAGACTGATATGAAGTTCTTACCTCAGATTGAAAATATCTTGCAAACCTGCTGCAGTAAAGTTATTTTGGATTCATTTGTCATAACTTTTAGAGAAATTCAGTGCTGAGATCTACTTATCAGGTTATGTATTAATTTGACTGATTGTAATGGTGATGTTTTTGTCACTGGACTGACAATAGCCAGAATCAAATTATATGTATATTGAAAAATGTCTTGCATAGATTGATACTAAACAGTATCAGCAGTGTATATATGCCAACGATTTAACAATTTTACAGTATTCATTAATGTATTTACATGAACATTTAGGTTAATACTGAAAATGATTGGTAAAGCTGACCCAACCAAAGTGAATTGTATGTATGACACTCTCGATTTAGCATGAATGTTTATATTGATGCATTTCTAAGCTAAGTTTTTTTGTTATATCATTTCATGACTCCTTAGAACAGGAAAGTGTTGGAATATCAGCCAAAGCTATATTAACCAGCAGTTGAAGAAGACAGTAACATCTTGGTTGATTATAGATATGGGGATTTAATGACTTTGAAGTTTGAGTTTACTTTTACACTTTAGCAATATTCTGGCAATTTCCCGGCAGGGGACAGAAGAAATGGGCTTTATGCATTGTACCCATGTGGGGAATCGAACCTGGGTCTTCTATGTGATGAGCGGACACTTTAGCCGCTACCCCAGCGCCCCTTCAAGTTGGAACACTTGAAACTAAGAATCAGTTTACTAATGCTTGTATCTATGGACAACAAACTGAAATAGAAAAGTTTGTTTGAACAGTAATGCCACTATTGTGAATGCCTTCAGCCTAAGTGAGTAAGTGAGTTTAGTTTTGCACAGCTTTTAGCAATATTCCAGCAATATCAAGGCGGGGGACTCCAAGAAATGGGCTTCTCACATTATACCCATGTAGGGAATTGAACTCGGGTCTTCGCCGTGACCGCCATATAGCTGGAATATTGCTGAGTGCGGCGTAAAACTTAACTAAAAAACTAAACTCTTCGGCGTGACAAGCGAACGCTTCAACCACTAGGCTACCCCACTGCTCCTTCAGCCTTAAGTGAATACCTAAACATTTGTAAAGAAAATCATACATGTAAAGTTCAGTTAAAAAAGTACCCTGAAAGTTCAGCTTCCGTACATTCAGGCTAAAACACACAAAGATGCTAGTTTAGTAGCTGTATTATTAGCAACACTGTTGTCAGTTAATCATGCAGGAAACAAATGGCTTCAAACACTGTATTTCAGATTGTTGAATTTCTTTTAGAAGCGAACAACTCTTAGCACTAAAAGGGCTGTGGGGTAGCCCAGTGGTAAAAGCATTCACTTGTCATGCTGAAGACCCGGGTTTGATCCCCCACATGGGTAAAATATATGAAGCCCATTTCTGGTGTCCCATGCCATGATATTGCTGGAATATTGCTAAATGCGGTGTGAAATCCAACTCACTCACTCATAGCACTAAACTGTATGAACTGATTCTTCATTCTGATCTGTTTACGTTCCAGACTTTCAGTATGGGTGTTTCCTGAGGATGGTTCTCACACAAAGTGTGAAGCATGTTGACTGTTTCCTCCGTTTTGCCTCCAAGATAAAAAGTGACGTCACAAGGTTAAGCAGTTTAATCTCAGAAACTCTCAACAACATCTCCTTGTTGGTAGTAATGTATAGGCCAGCAGCCATTTTGCATCCTGATTTCATTGCACAGCTTCAAAGAAGTGGACAGTATCCACCCAACCTTTTTGTCCCAATCCTCAACTTCCCCTTCCAACCCCAGATCTTAGCCAACCCTGCTGGCTTCATCAATCCAGCCTCCGTGCCCATCCAGAGGAATGAAGCTGCAGATTTGAGAGAGAAGATACGCACTGATATACTACGGAAACTCAAGCACGAAGGAAGTGAAAGTCCACAGCTACTGTCACCTGACTTTGCATCTGACAGCTTAGATGGTGTTACAATGTTTAGGAGTGCAAGGAATGATAATGCTGTACATAGCAGGTAAATTTCCTGTCTTTTTAAAAAAAAATATACAGAGGATATTATATGAGTGCCCATGTCATACTATGTTTACAACATGAGTGCCTAAATGTTGGTATATCTCGAGCGAGAGCGAGGGATATACCAACATTTAGGCACGAGTGTCGTAAACATAGTATGATAAGGGCACGGATATAATATTCTGTTTATTACCGAAGTCGTCAAATTGAGGAAAATTGCATGTAGAACGCAATGTCATAGAAGAAACGTGACGTCATAGCATTGTTCATGATGTCACGTCACCATGACAAAGTGATATTTTGTATGAAAAATACGAACCCCGATATTTTCGCCCTCGTAGGTAATAATAATATGTATGTAACATATGTCTGTCCTTCGTTCAGGGTGGTGGGGTAGCCAAGTAGTTAAAGCGTTCGCTCGTCATGCTGAAGACCCGAGTTCGATTCCCTACATGGGTACAATCTGTGAAGCCCATTTCTGGTGTCCCCCGCTGTGATATTGCGCCAATATTGTTAAAAAGCGGTGTAAAACTAAACTCACTCACTCACTCACTGTCCTTCGTTCACTCTGTGATATAGATCTGACTGTTATATTAGGCTTGCATACATATATAGCCCTCTGTGTGTTAGCCTTCAGGATATATATATAACTGTGTGTTACTCATCTGTTTGTGTGAAGCTGACTGTTTGTTTTCCATATTTACAGAGCTGAAAGTTTGTAAGCCTCGTCTGTATACCGAGCTGAATGTATGTACATATGGAAAAGTGAATATATACTCGTCACATCCTTACATACATACTTTGTATTATTTCCAGGTCTAACAGCAGTAAGGAGAACCCAGGTATGAAGCGACCCCGGAGTGGGTCACGCTTTGAGACGCCAAAGAAACCCCGCATGGGAAAGCCTGAAGAGAAGGGTTTCCCTACAGGAATCCAGTGGTCCATTCCTCAGACTATTGCTCCTACAGGTACAGAGAGGGTAGGTACAAGTTTATAACCTTTGGCTACATAGGTCTCCATTACCCTCATCAAAATGGTAGCTTTTGTACTTGTGGCGTAGTGAATGAGTGAGTTTAGTTTTACGCCGCTTTTAGCAATATTCCAGCAATATCACGGCGGGGGACGCAACAAATGGGCTTCACACGTTGTACCCATGTGGGGAATCGAACTCGGGTCTTCGGCGTGACGAGCGACTGACTGACTGACTGACTGAGGTTGGTTTTACTCCGCTTTTAGCAATATTCCAGCAATATCACGGCGGGGGACACCAGAAATGGGCTTCACACATTGTACCCATGTGGGGATTCGAACCCGGGTCTTCAGCGTGACGAGCAAACGCTTTAACCACTGGGCTACCCCATCGCCACTGTGGCCTAGTGAGTGAAACACTAGACTACATTGATGCTGGTATAGGCATGCTAAATACATAGTGTTTTCCTAATGCAGGATATTAACCATCCTAAAACACACAAGTATGATAACCTATTTATCATACAATGTCATTCTTACTTTATAATTTAAAAAATAAATGCGATTTCAATTGCCACAAATCATGAAACCTAAACTTCATGGAATGTGCACAGATATCTATGATGTCACAAATATGTGCGTGGTAATACATTACGTCACAAGCTCGGTGACACAATTTTCCACTGATCTCTCAATTGACTGCGTTGGGTCATCTAGTTCCCAGTAATTTTTTATGTTAAAGCATGTATTGTTGTCAACAAATCTTAGCTTATGTTTTAGAAATAACAAACTCGTGTGGAATTTCAGAAACCTTCAATTAACCTTTTGAACAGCAAATTGTCAACTGACAAAGTGTCAAACATTTAGTTCATTCGAGATTTTCCACTCCATCTATCATTACCAGACATGAATTTTCTTGGGTCAAAGCACAAACAGTACGTCAACCACGGCTGTCAATCCGGACACGATCGCCGATAGATGGGCGTGACATAATGTTTGTTTACACTGTGAAAGTAATACCTAATATTTTCATATGACCTCTCTAATTTGCATTGATATCCGTATATGACCCCAACCGATACAAAAAATATCCATTGGCTTTTTCTTACAAAGAACGCTGTCCATTGTATGATAAATCACAGTATCTTTAAGAACTTCTTTATCAACAAGTACATTAAGGCTAGCAACATACATATTGTGTGCATTTCCTGAGATTATTCAAAAGTATGTTGGAAACTGAAAATTGTCGAATAATGTTTCAGACTTATCTTCAAGTTTATAAATCAGACGAAACCTTTCCCCTCAGCCCTCAAGTTTCTTTCTCCCCATCATGTTTTCATTCTCTACTAAACACAGGCAGTCATGTTGTATTCTTAACATAAGTGATTACCGGGTACTTGTTTGTAAGGTTGCAGGATGTGTGTTTGTAAAATATATTTCTTATCTCTTGTTCCATCATGAAATCAGTGAAATCTGTGACACACTATATTGTTAGTAGCTTTTTGATAATATTATGTCAGTGATGATGTCTGGCCCTGTTGCCCCAACTGCAAAACATGGACACAAAATATAAAGGCATGTTATAATGCAAATAGAGCAGAAAACAATGATTTTTCCTTATCCTGAATCATGCCAAATGCTTGTCTCCTTCTTGCGAGTGATAGTGGAACACTTGAAATCCCTTGAAGTTCACTTCTAAAAAGCGGAAAATCATCACTCACCCGATGACCAGCGATGTCTTGTCACTCTCTCCTTCTTCGCCCTTGAGGACGGTTGTGAGAGCACCTGGGTCCCTATACGGCACATATCCTTTTCTATTTAGGACCTTTACATCAAAATTATTGCTGTATACGGTTTTTAGGATTATATTCTACTATATGGTTTGAAATTTGATCTAAATTATACGTTGTTTGACATGTTTTTTCATCGTGTTTACATTTGATGAAAACTTCGTTGTAGGTACCGGCTGTCTGCGGCTGACCCACATTTATTATGTCCTGATTGCACTACTTCATGTTCTTTCAGCTCTCGCTGTAAACATTGTCTAAATTTAACCACTTTTGAATTTAATAACTACCTTTTTTTCCATTCATAGACGTGCAAAGGACTGGGTAAGAAGGTATTCACAAGTCATGTCTAAATCGAGTGATTGCGCTGATAACCGTGTGTTAACTACTACTGCCGATGTTCATAATTCCAGTGAATTGCTGAGCGTTTTACGGGGACAGGTCGCTGTTCCAGTGATGAACTCTGGAGCCAAATTAGAGATCGTCGTCAACGGAGCTGACCTCACCGCAGATGAAGAAGACCAGATTGTCTTCAACGCAGAAGAAGGAGGCTTCGTCGAAGTCTCTACACAGCTCTACGCAGAAGACGAGATCCTTCTCTGCCGAGATTGTACCTCCGGAAGAAGCAGACGTGTATGATGATTCCCCCATCCTCATACCTGAAGTCACAGTCGCCAGCAAGAAGACAAAGCCTGCTTCTACAGCTACATCGGCAACTTTATCAGCGAAGACATTGACAGAAGACATTCTATCAACGCAGACATCGGGTACTAGAGATAGCAGCAGCGTCAGCTCTTTACAAGTGCAGCGTGCCTTAGAAGACGCCTCATAGTTGTCAGAAGCATCATCATCCCTGCAGCAGTCTCTTCAGACATCGCAGAACTTCAACCCGGGACTGTTCATGCAACAGTTTACAGACCAGATGATGTCGATGATGGAACATCGCTTCACGCAGGAGAAAGCTGCTACGAAGACCACTACGATGACTACTAGCCTGCGTGAAGATTCAGCAGTCTCTCCAACGCCCTTGGAAGAAGAGGGAAGCCTGTGTAAAGGCTCACACACCCGATGATCTTCCCCATCTGAAGTTAGGAGCCTGGACAACGCTACCATCCTCAGCTCAGTCTTAGACGTCCCTGAAGGAGCCGCTAAGAATTCTCCACGCAGAAGCAGATCGAAGCGTTCTCCCGAACCCTACAGACGTAGTAGATACGGGTCGTCATCACCATTGGACTCAGACGCACATTGGGAACCTGCACGCAGGCACTCCACATCTTACAGAGAGGAAACTTGTACGACGACAAGTGGCAGAGATTTGAACAGTATGCAACGAGGAAAGGCTTTACAGCAGTAAAAGCAACCCATCCTCAAGTGGCGGAATACCTGTGTCATCTGCAACAGACGAGACACTTAAAAGGTTCAACACTCTCAACGTACCTGGCTGCTCTCAGCACAGTTATCACCATGAAGACGGATGTCAAGCTGACCAAAGTACCAGAGATACTGGCACTACTACGCTCGTTCAAGTTGGAAGACCAACAGAAGAAATTCAAGGCTTCTGTCTGGGATCTCAACATAGTTCTACAACATCTCACCAGTGATGCCTACGAGCCTCTAGAACGGACATCCTTTGAACTACTGACACAGAAAACGCTGTTCCTGATTGCCCTAGCAACAGCAGCACGGATGTCAGAAATACATGCTTTGGACTTTGAACAAACACGATTTGAATGACATGAGGACTGACAGACAGTTCCACATCCCTGTCAGAGCATTGAAAGTCTACCTACAAAGGACAAAAACAAGGAGACGAAAATTCAAGCGCCTATTCATCCCCTTATCCACTGAGACGCCCACAGAAGTCTCACGGACAACGATATCAATATGGATGAGAGCCGTTATACTAAGGGCCTATAAAGCAGCAGGACTTGAGCCTCCACGAGCCTCCAATCCCCATGAAGTCAGAGCCCTGGCGTCTACACTTGATCTGCATGGAAACTACTTGATTACAACAATAATGGAGGGCTGCTTTTGGAAATCGGACACGGTGTTTGCCAACCACTACCTCAGAGACATTGCCACCGAAGACGTCTCAGGCATTCACCAGTTTGGACCACTTGTTGTAGCACAACAACTAACGGTTCCACAAAGGCGCTGAGAAAAATCTCACCCTTTTATCACGTGACTTGTGAAAACCAATGCTCTGGAAAGCAAATGGTTAAAGTCCATGCACACGTCTACAGTCCATTTGAGACAAAATGATACCGATGAATTGCAATCTAACACAAAAACAAATAGACATAAAAGAATCAAACCAACGCGGACTGCAATAAACACAACAGACCAACTCTAGAAAAATTTGCATAATTTGGGTCACAAAAATATAAAAGTTGTTTAAGAAACTGTCATCATTTATTTGTGTGTTTTCCCAGTTTGTTACAAGGGCGCATTGGCAACTAAAGTAACAGCGCGAAAAGCGAGATGCACATGCATTAGTGACGTCGGAGACATGTGATTACTGCTGATTGACAAAGTGAGAGAAAATGAAAGTCTATAATTTACAAAGTCTATGATTTCTTCAAGGATGAAAATGACAGGGGGTGACCCAAGTATGCAATTACTAAGTACATACAACGCACTGCCTGTGCAGCTGGGGTACGTGTGTCATCTCGCCAGCTCAAAAATTTGTTGAGGACCCGTTAACGCATGTGCATCTCGCTTTTCACGCTGTTCCTTTAGTTGCCAATGCGCCCTTGTAACAAACTGGGAAAACGCACAAATAAATGATGACAGTCTCGTAAACAACTTTTTTTTGTGACACAAATTATGCATTTTTTCTAGAGTTGGTCTGTTGTTTTTATTGCAGTCCGCGTTGGTTTGATGTCTATTTGTTTTTGTGTTAGCTTGCAATTCATCGGTATCATTTTGTTTCAAACGGACTGTAGGACAGGCTAGCATGAGTGATAGACCCTGTACTTGTATGGATATACTCGTACATGAAGAAGGGTCGCATCTCCACTTGATGCGCGCATCAAGAGATGGAGTTGCAAAAGATAACTAATGGAACATTAGTATATCTAAAATCCACACGAAAATGTCAGGAGAAGTTTCTGAAGAAATCTGACAACTTGTGGTTCCCCCCAGACTCAACAGAGGAAGTTGAAAGAACAGAATCATCAGCAGTGCCGTCATAAGTTCCCATGGGGGGTAATTCAGGACGTAAATCAACAGCCAGAGAATCCAGAAGTGGCCTGACCCACCACTGATTCCAACAGATTCTGCAAGCATTTAGCATGAGTCATGATAAGGAAAATATGTAATTTTCTGACTAAAATTGATATTTTATACTTATCCTGACTCATGAGGTCAGCCCTCCCAGCCTCCCCTCTCATGGCACTTTGGATTTCCCTGTAAGTCCGGGTGTCGAGCATACATACAGAGTGACAAAACATGGCTGGTCATGTGACGAAAAGGGTGCCATAGGAGGCAAGGGAGGCTACTCGTGGGTGAGTGAGTGATGATTTTACGTCTGCTTTTTAGAAGGAAACTTCAAGGGATTTCAAGTGTTCCACTATCATTCACAGGAAGAAGGAGACAAGCATTTAGCATGAGTCAGAATAAGTATAAAATATTAATTTTAGTCAGAAAATTACATTATTAACCTGATAGGAAGGTAATTTTGAAGTTTTGTTCATATATTGATCTAAAATATGAAAGATGTTCATCGTTATAATTCTGTAAATACAGACTCTTGGGTGATGAGAAGGCAGTTTATGGTTCAAGGACAAATACTCTGATTGGTTACCAATGGCAACGAGTTGGGACTTAGGTGTATAAGATGCGAGTTTTAGGGTCTGTTTTATATGATCAACAGCATGTTGCTGTTACAAGATAAATGTAGTAATATCCTGAAAATCCAATTGTTCCAGATATCGGAGTCTATATGGCAGTATTTCCTGCAGACTCAGCAGACCGAGGACATCTATCAGGCTAAAGTACGACTGAGAAATGCTCTTTATGCTGTGTTTCAGGGCGTCTTTCCTTGTAAGTATGGGCGAGAGTATATTTGTGAAGTGCCCTTTATGTTGTGTTTCAGGGCGCCTTTCCTTGTAAACAGGTATGGGTGTTTGTGAGAGCAGTGCCCTTTATGTTGTGTTTCAGGGCGCCTTTCCATGTAAACCGGTATGGATGTTTGTGAGAGCAGAGCCCTTTATGTTGTTTTTCAGGGCCTTTCCTTGTAAACAGGTATTGGTGTTTGTGAGAGCAGTGCCCTTTATGTTGTGTTTCAGGGCGCCTTTCCATGTAAACCGGTATGGATGTTTGGGAGAGCAGAGCCCTTTATGTTGTGTTTCCAGGTAAACCTATTCCATGTAAATGTAAACCAGTATGGATGTTTGTGGGAACAGTGCCCTTTATGTTTTGTTTCAGGGCGCTTTCCATGTAAACCAGTATGGATGTTTGTGGGAGCAGTGCCCTTTATGTTTTATTTCAGGGCGTCTTTCCATGTAAACCGGTATGGATGTTTGTGGGAGCAGTGCCCTTTATGTTTTATTTCAGGGCGTCTTTCCATGTAAACCGGTATGGATGTTTGTGGGAGCAGTGCCCTTTATGTTGTGTTTCAGGGCGTCTTTCCATGTAAACCAGTATGGATGTTTGTGGAGAGCAGTGCCCTTTATGTTGTGTTTCAGGGCATCTTTTGATTTAAATATGGGTGTTTGTGAGAGAACACATCTTGTATGCTGTGTTTCATGGCGTCTTTCTATGTAATCTGGTATAGGTCCTTGTGAGAGAAATGCCCTTATACTGTCTTTTGGATGTAAGTATGGTTATTTATGAGAGAAGTGACTTGTATGTTGTGTTTCAGGGTGTCTTTTAATGTAAGTATGGGTGTTTGTGAGAGTACATGTGAGGAATGACCTGTGTTTTGTGTTTCAGACTTTATTCCCTGTAAAGTATGGCTGAATATGAGAGTGTCATCACACATGAGGGAATGTTTGAGTTCCGTGATTTATCCTTGGCCTGATTTCATATAGAGCACACAGTGTATACAAAGCTTTTTATCCCCCCAACGCGTTTTGCGGGGGGTATTAAAATGGACACATTTGTCTTTTCCGGAGCAGAACTCTAAAACCGTTCACTATTTCTTCACCAAACTGGGCACATAGATAGATCTGGTGGTGTACTGGTGCCTTTTGGTAGTTTTGGAATCTGAATAAAATATTTTTGGCATTTCCATGGCAACAAGTTCGACTTAGCCTGAAATTGGTGGTTGTGCTCTTTTCCGGAGCTGAACTCTATAACCGTTCACTATTTCTTCACCAAAGTTGACACATAGATTGGTCTGTCGGTATACTGGTTCCTTTTTGGTAGTTTTGGAATTCTGAATAAAATATTTTTTGGCATTTCCATGGCAACAAGTTTGACTAAAACAGAAATTAGTGGTAGTGCACTTTTCCGGAGCAGAACTCTAAAACAGTTCAATGTTTCTTCACCAAACTTGGCACATACATAGATCTGGTGGTGTACTGGTGCCTTTTGGTAGTTTGGGATTTCTGAATAAAATATTTTTGGCATTTCCATGGCAACTAGTTTGACATAGACTGAAATTGGTGATGGTGCTCCTTTCTGGAGCAGAACTTTTAAAACCTTTCAATACTCTCCTTCCACTTTTCTATATACACACCTAAATATTTGACATAATCATAACTCGTAGACATAATCATGAAGAGTATTTTGCCATTGCGGGGGATTTTGATGACTTTGTCTTCTTGTTAGTTCTGAAAATGCTGAGAAATGTTTTGTATGTTGTTTCAGGAGTCTTTTCTAAATCTATTGTTTTTGTTTGAGATGTTGGAATTCTTATCATGGATGCTGTTCTGTCATTAATGTTTGGTGAAATAATTGCATATATGAAAACGAATAAGGAAAAAATATGTGTTTTAGCAAACTGAACTTACATTAAGTTCCACTGGACATGACACAATCTCTTCACACTGATCCTGGGTGTTTGTGAGAGCAGAGCCCTTTGTGTTGTGTTTCAGGGCGTCTTCACACCGATCCTGGGTGTGTGTGAGAGCAGAGCCCTTTGTGTTGTGTTTCACACCCGATCCTGGGTATTTGTGAGGCGAGCCCTTTGTGTTGTGTTTCTTCACACCGATCCTGGGTGTTTGTGAGAGCAGAGCCCTTTGTGTTGTGTTTCAGGGCGTCTTCACATCCTGGGTGTGTGTGATCAGGGCGGATCCTAGGTGTTTGTGAGAGCAGAGCCCTTTGTGTTGTGTTTCAGGGCGTCTTCACACCGATCCTGGGTGTGTGTGAGAGCAGAGCCCTTTGTGTTGTGTTTCAGGGCGTCTTCACACCGATCCTGGGTGTTTGTGAGAGCAGAGCCCTTTGTGTTGTGTTTCAGGGCGTCTTCACACTGATCCTGAGTTGAAATATCAGATTCACCCTGTGTTTCATCTGTGGAAATGTTTCACCAAAGTGGATAATGTATGATCTATGGGACTTAACACTTTCTATACAGTGTCAGCAAACTAAATTTTCAAACTTATCCTATCTCACGGTATGCACTTCTCTCTCTTGATTCAACATTGAGTGGAACGATGTCACTTTTTCCCTAGGCCTCTCTTGTCCATCCGCCCAAGCACGCCATACTACCCCCATTATAAGACAGCTTCCTAGTTGTCATGCTCCACTAGCTATCCACGTGACTATCCCTGAATCATCATTCTCCTTCTTGTCGCACATGAGTGAACGTGTTTTGCTTTACTGAACGTTTTCAACATTAGTCTACAACATGGGAAAGGCTAACCAGCCAAACAAGAGGAAGAAATGTTCGCAGTGTAATAAGGTGTTCTCTGCGTTTTGTGTTGACTGTGTGGGATGGGACTCTCGTTGCGATAAATGCAAGGATCTTACCTTTGAGTTGTTTGGTGATTACACTAGGGCTTCGCTCGTCGTGTTGCTGACAGAGCTCGTTATGCAGCTTCGCTAGACGGACCCAGTCCCACCAAGAAAGGCAAGTTTAAGCGTCCTACTTTGTATGCTCGTTGTTCACAGTCCCCTCCCTCGAATGAAGAGGATTTCATGAGAGCATCATTTGACTCTTATTTATCTGAAGACCATCAGAATCTGCTTGGCTCTCAACATTCTAGCCCGAGTCCTTCGTCTTCAACCACGTCCCGGGTAGTGGTTGTCGAGGGTGCTACCACGCCTCAGGATACTTCTGCACAGCGGGACCGCCGAACTATGCTCTCTGTCTCTCACTCCCCGGACCAGTTATCACTGCAACCTGGCTTATCTGTTTCGGACAAGAATCAGCTGATCTCTACGCCTGACTGCCCAGAGCGCATGCGCCGTAGCCGTTCTCGCTCTCGTCGTCGTCCAGTAGTGACAGCAATCAGTCTACCTCGCCCAAACGCTTGTTAGTGGTTGCTTCCCTGTCTACTTCCTATTTGGCGAATAGAAGTGTTGTCTCTTGCGTCCAGCTACCTCGGTCTCCTACTTCGCCAAAGCCTGCCAGTTCGTCGAATCACAGTTCACCGGATCACGCTTTGTCTGTTCTAACCCCTCCACCTCGACTTTCACGTTTGCCTTTACCGAAACAGCACTTGTCGAACCAGTTAGACCGGTTCTCTATGAAATTGCTTTGTCCGAACTGGTCTGCATCGAAACGGCAGTCAACTATCAACATTCATCGGATCGGTCGTCTTCCAAACAGGTTTCACCAAAGGGACTTCATTGAAACAACGTTTGCCGAAACAGCTGACTTCACCGAAACTGCATATGGTGAATTGCCTTTCGCCAAAATGGCTTTCTTCCAAGTGGTATTCAGCGGAACACCCTTCTTCAGGTCATCTGTCTCTGAGTACTTCCCTGAACTCTGTCAGATCTTACAGTCATGTCTCCTCAGCAAGGACGCGGCTTTCACTGAGTTGTTTGGACCAGTCTCCTATTATTCTTCAGATTTGTTCACAGGATAGACCTGGTACGTCAACTTCACCGCCAAGACACCACTCTTCGACTTGTTCGTATTCAACTAAACACACGCCTTCCTCTACTTTGTTGAGACCAGTTCTTTGCTCAAAGTCACCTCCTCGGACTTCGTCTTCTAGTCATCATGGGACTTCCAGTTCTGCACACTCGACCCGTCAACCTAGATCTCCAACATGATCGACTGCTGCCTATAGATCACAGCATGCTACGACTTCTGACGGGGTTCCTGCCTCCTCGCGTCTCTATACTCGGATTGTACCAGATTCCTGGACTCCAGCGCAGGAAACTACTCCTCCCCCAGATCTGGCTGCGATGTTGAGTGCTATTACTACTGCATGGAATCAGCAACAGTCTGCTCAATCGACGGGGAGTGCTCCTCCCCTTAGACCACCTGTTGCGGTGCCAAGTCCTGGTGTTCCGGCGGATCCTCCGGCACATTCGGTTGTTGATTCACCAGAGGGAAGTCAGGATTTTGTCGACGAACCTCAAGTCTTAGCCTGGATAGAGAAACTCCGCCTCCCTGTGTCACAGAATACGGACGACTTAACGCATTCCTTCTCCATGAGACAACGGGACTTGGTGTCTATTACCTTTCCACCATAACCTTGTATTGCTCATCTAGCTACCTTCCTTGGATCATGCCTGTAAAAGCCTTAAGAGGATTAAGGATGGCCTGTCTTCGCCTAGATTGTCCTTAGCGGCTCACTCCTATGGGTTCCAGTCGTTGTCTACTGCCTCTTCGGTGGATGAAGATGTCCAAACACTTTGCGGGAAGTGGACTTGCTCAGCCTTTTTAGTTGAGGACAGAGAACTGTCTCACATGGACACAGCTATTCGTCGCTCCAAGTTTCCATGATACAGAGACGGGCTCCGCGGTTTGTGCCATCTCATCCGGAACTTCGTCGGGGTTTTCATGGCCATTCGTCCCGAGCTAGAGGTAGCAAGTCCTCCCATGGCACATCTTCACGACGTCCTCCCAAGTGAGACCCCGGGGTTGGGAGTAGGGTCCCCAAGCAGTGACTCTTCGAAACAAGGGTACAACTGGGAACTCCCTCCTCCAGCCGTCCCTATTTATGACTCTCCAGTGAGCGGGAGATTAGGGAAGTTTCGCTCCCAATTGGACCTTCCTAGACGATCCCTTTGTGACCGACCTCCTCGCCAAAGGCTATCAACTTCCAGTCATCAGACGCCCGCCTCTGACAGTGCATTCGCTACATCACAGTTATCCGGCGGACCAGATCCATTTTCTTCGCTCCACCATAGCAAATTGTCCAGTCCAGTCTCTCGGTCCGGTGCCCAGCACTCTGGAGTTCTAATCCACCATCTTTTTGGTTCCCAAGAAAAACTCCACAAACCTAAGACTCATTTTCAACATGGAACTTTTCAATGCCCACTATCTCCAGCGCCCGCCTCACTCCCAAATGGTATCAATCGTCCTTCTTCCTACCATCCTGAAGAAAGGGAATTTTCTTGTCAGCCTAGACCTTCAAGATGCATATCATCAAGTGCCCATTCATTAGGACTTGCGGAAATTCCTGCGGTTCGTGTTCCAAGGGATCCATTATCAATGGACTGTCCTGCCTTTTGGAATTTCCAAGGCCCCATGGCTGTTTACCAGGATCACCTAAGCTCCAGGTTTCTTCATCTCCACCGGGTCATGTTGGAAAGTTACATAGACGACTGCATTCAACTTCTGAAATTCTGAAAATTCAACTTCTAGTTCCGTTAGCACTGTCGCAGCCCAAGACTTTACGGCAGTGGCGGGGACAATTGCAACTACGTCCTTTGCAACGCTTCCTGCGACCGCATCTTGTCTCAGAGAATCTCAAGGAGTTGATTCGTCTTCCTGAACCCTTTCGTCCTCTTCTAGGAACTCGAGTTCTTGGCGGTTCTTCTCAGCCGTCTCCCACAGAGTGGCAATTGAACCCACAGATCTTTCGGGAACTGATCTTCCCATTATCAAGGCCCCAAGTCGACCTATTCGCCACACGGTTCAATCATCAGCTCCAGAAGTTTGTCTCACCGATACCAGACCAACTAGCATGGGATCTTGATGCCCTGGCGATTTCGTGGGAGGAGCTCAATGCTTACGCCTTCCTTCCTCCATCTCTTCTGCCCAGAGTAAATCAGAAACTCCAGTCGACCAGACAGATTCAACTGCTTTTGGGCGTGCCTTACTGGCTTGTCAAGAGTTGGTTTGTCGATCTCGCACAGCTCTCAGACCTCAACCCAGTTCCTCTTCCCGATTGGGATGACCTACTGTTACACCCTCACTTTCGGATCGGCGCCGTATCCCTTCAAGCACTTTGTCTCTGCACGTATGGCGCATCTGCAGAAGTCCTTAATCGCCAAGGGGTTTTCTCGGAGTGGCTTTGGCCATCACTTCTGCTCACCGACTTCTACCCGCTCACTTTATGATGAGAAGTGGAAGTGTTTTGAGGGATATTGAAAGTCCAGAGGCATTTCCCATTTCTACTTCACCTCAAATCGTCGCTGAATTTCTTCAGCATTTGCAGTTGTCTAAGAAGCTAAAAGTTTCCACTTTGGCCACTTACCTTGCTGCGATCAACTCGGTCCTGGCTACCACCACAGGCTCGAAGGTCTCTACGGTTCCTGAGCTTCAGTATTTGTTCCGGTCCTTCAAGTTGGCTGATCAGTCTACGAAGTTTAGACCTCCTGCATGGGATTTATCTGTGGTGTGTCATTTGGCCTTGACGGACTATGAATCCCTAGCTCAGAAGGACTTTGAGAAGATCGCCTTCAAGACCTTCTCCCTTGTGGCTTTGGCTACAGCTGCTCGGATTTCTGAACTCCACACTTTGGATGTTAACAGAGTCCAGTTCGAACGATAGAAGCATGGCAAAGTCTTCCTCGGTCTTCGCTGGGATTTCATAGCGAAGAATCAGATGCCGGGACAACCCGATCATACTTTTACCATCCCACCGTTGTCCACGATCCTTGGGCCGCATGACAATGAAGACCTGCAGCTTTGCCTTGTTAGGGCTTTGAAGATCTTCCTTGCTGCATCTCAAGATCGCCGCCCGCGCTCATCATCCAGGGCGGAAGTGTCTCCGCACCATATTATCCTTCTGTATGATGGCCACCATCTTATGGGCTTATACCTCGCTGGGTTGTCCAGCTTCATCATGCAGGGCGTTAGCGTCTACTATGGCTCTGCATAGTAACTGTTCTCTCCACGCCATTATGGAAGGATGCTTTTGGCGATCTGACTCGGTCTTCTCCTCCCACTACCTTGGGGCCTCTCAGTCAAGGACGTCCAAGGCCTGTACCAGTTTTGGACCCCTTGTTCTCGCACAACAGGTGTCTACGACCCAACAACGCAGATAGGGGACGGTTTCCCTGTATTTTCCTGAATATAAGTCTGAACTTGATGTCTGCCTTATGTTTTGATTGCTTATGGGTTAGAACTACTTCACTTAGTTTTATACTATGACACGGAGAGACTACCGCCTCGGTGGTTGGACGAATCTGGAGCACGATGTGGAAGGGTTTGACATTTCCATGTTTCCTGACCTCTACTTTTCAAAGCAATCACTTCAGTGAAGTGTGTCACTCCCGAATTCCAGTGGATTTCGTTGCGTTCCGACTCCAAAGTTGCCAGGCTCATCCTTTGACTAAGCTTATGTAAAGGAGTGAGTGTCAATTTGATGTTGACTGGAACTGAACGTTATAACTGCGAGTTTTCCGAGTTGTGCTTCTCTTTCACCCGCCCCTGGTCGGTGTCTGTGGGGTTCTTCTCGAAGCAGGGGCTAGCCCGATTATTGTCTATGACTTTAATTTACGGGGGTACCTTGAAAATTGTGGCAAAGTAACATCCTTTCTCACTGAGCTACGTCCTTCTTCGGAGGTTGCGGCCGAACACCACATCGCTCGGGAGCACCCATCTCCCTGGGTTAGCAAGCCAAGGAGTTCTCACAAGCATAGGATGTGCGCTAGTCGTAACAGGCCTCCTTTGTGCATCGCTATCTATGGTTGTTTCCAGTCTACACAGTTATACTGTTCGCACTGTCAAGACATAGGGTATCTGCCTCCTGCAGTCCAGCCGTGGGATAAATGCATACCGTGAGATAGTATAAGTTTAAAAATTTGAAAATTTGAAATATAAATTGTATATTTATATGCTTATCCCATCTCACGCGACGGATTCCTGCCCATCCTCCCCAATATGCAGATTCTCCAAGATTGATATTATCCAGTGGCTCCAAGAATGAGAATGATGATTCAGAGATAGTCACGTGGGCTAGCTAGTGGTGCATGCCGCATGCTTTGCATGACAACTATGAAGCTGTCTTACAATGAGGGTAGTATGGAGTGCTTGGGTGGATGGACAAGAGAGGGAAAAAAGTTACGTCGTTCCACTCAGTGTCGAATCAAGAGAGAGAAGTGCATACCGTGAGATAGGATAAGTGTATAAATATACAATTTATATTTAAAATTTTCAAATTGCTTGGTTGAAACTTAAAACTTTTCCAAGCAGCATTTAGCTCTGTGGCTCGATCATTCACTTCCAACCCTCATTCACTCACTCCATGTCCTTGAGAAGTTTTGTGGTGTAATCCAGGAAAAACTCAGCTGTGATTAATGAATATAGCAGCATCAATTAAGATGTTTATGTGGGTTTTTTTCAGTTTGTGGTCTGTACATTGTTGGGTCATCCATGAATGGTTTTGGCACAAGAAACAGTGACATGGACCTCTGCCTGATGCTATCAATACATTCTGTAGGTAGATCACACTTCTTCAAAACCTTGTTTCTATCTCTGCCTCTCTGATGAAGGAGCAAGCATACACTCCGAAACGCCATGTTATTCACAATAAAGAAGTAGACATCCATAAATCTTGCTTTTCTTTTTTGCACTCCACTTCTAAATGCCCTTCAAAGGCATGAGATATTGTTAAACAAAAACTAATAATAAAGATATGTTTTCAAATGATACAAATTGTAAAGAAGAAAGTAGTCTTTACGTTTTGGTTTGGCTGTTTTCCAGATTGACCAGAGGAAAGAAGCTACAGAGATATTGTTCCTGCTGCAGAAGTCTTTAAGGAATTGTTGTAAGTGACTTTAATACCTGTATAGGTGTTAGTTTGGTAGTGCTGTAAAATATCACACATGAAATTGAAGAAAATGTCACACCTTCTTCTGTGATGTTCCTCAATCTGTAGGGGTGGTGGGGTAGCCTAGTGGTTAAAGCGTTCGCTCGTCATGCCGAAGACCCAAGTTCGAGTTCCCATTTCTGTTGTCCCCACCGTAGTATTGCTGGAATATTGCCAAAAGTGACATAAAACTAAACTCTCACAACATCAATCACTGGATTGCCTGACTCAGTTATTTACATCGTATTTGACAGAAGCATGAAATTGTCAATTTATTATGTAAAGTTTGATTATGTTATTTAACTTCGATATTTATCATTGATATTCTGGGGGTTTTCCCCCCTGGAAGAACAGAAAACCTTAAAAACAATATATAAAACTGTTTTGTGGTGCGCCAATGGGAACATTAATACAAGTAAACAACACTGAAGCAATCACGGCAGAGATCAATTGCTTGCTTCATGATGTAACCCCTCACAACATCATTGCCTACAGATTCTCTATTGCTTTCACACCCTCATATATTGCTTTCATATGTGCTAAATGCTTTAAAAGCGCCTGCTGATTACCTGAGCTTTGGCATTTTCTCGCCCTGCTCACACTAACTGACTTAGATAAGCCAAGGGAGGCAAGTTCCAAGTGCAGTATCTCAGGCTCATATAAATACTGGAGTATATTTTCACAGTAGTGAAAATACTGGTTTATATTGTTATGACACCTAGATATGACTTTTTGATGAGAAAAAGACGTTTTATGGTTTTCTTATAACTGCGTTTGTCAAGTCATTTTTATGATAACTGTGTGCCATGTTTTCTTGCAGTCTTTGTTAAAAAGTGCCAAGTCATCCGAGCTGCTGTTCCCATTCTTCGATTCTGGGATAAATGCAGGTGATTTCTACATCGTCATGAGTTTCTATAAATAATATAAATAATAATGTCTGTACTTACATTGTGCCAGTGTATGAAATATGTCCCAAACCCAGCCAGACATCAGGGCTGGTAACTTCAAAATGTTACCAGCACAAGATGGATTTAACCAGACCAGACCAAAACCAAAATATGGTGAATTTACTCAGATATATGGAACATCTCAAATTTTTACCAGACCATCTAGTAAATATCTATTAGAAATCTAGCCAGTACTGGGCGGTCGTACGGGCTTTATTTCATACACTGATTGTGATTAACACCATACACTTGGTGTATGCTTAAATGCTCAACACATTATGGACTCTTTATTTTGATGAGAAAAATAGCTATGTGATTTTGTGTGACCTCAGTAAATATTTGAGTTATATTTTCAAAAGATTAATATGGATGTTTTAAGCAGTGAAATAATGCATGTTTCTATATTATAATAGTAATGTTTTCAACTGAAGGTAATGTCCTGAGTTCTAACATTTTAGACTTTGTTTCGTCCATGGTTGTGTTTCTCCCTGTAGAAGACATGATTGCTCAGTGTTTACTCTTACTATTCAGGGACTTTGAGTGTGATCTGAACATCAACAATGCTGTTGGAATCAGGAATACACATTTACTCAGATATTATGCAACAAGTAAGTTCACTTTATGAAGAACAATTATACTTTCATCTATGTATTCTGTTAAACAATAATGATTGAAAAGTGAGTTCTGGATAAGCTGAAATGCATAATGTATGTTATAATCAGCAGTGGGCCTTTGTAGCCTGGAAGCCGCTCTTCCGGGTGATTATTGATTGAGTATTGACATAAATCATTATGGTTACAATGCATTCTTTAATTGATTCACTTCCCCAATTTTCGAAAATGTGAGGTGAAGGTATTTTGTTTTTGTTTTTTAGAATCACAAGGAGGTTGTGGTAGTAGTAGGGGTGGAATTGTTCCAAGTATCTGTGTAAAAATTGCCCTTTAAAGGATTAAGTGCAGTAGCTATATTTCTATGCTGCTCTCTGTAACCTATTTGGATAATGACTTGTAGCAACACTGACCTATGGACTGTCATACGTTTCTGCAAATACCTCTGAAGTTCTGAGTTAGAAATGTTCTTCAGCAACACATGATCGTCGTAAGAGGCAACTAACAGGATCGGGTGGTCAGGGTCACTGACTTGGCTGACACATGTCATTGTATCCCAGTTGCGTAGATTGATGCTCATGCTGTTTATCACTGGATTGTCTGGTCCAGACCCGATTATTTCCAAACCGCAATATAGCTAAAATATTGCTGAGTGTGACATTAAACAACAAACCAACCAACCAACTTTTCTGCAACACACTTTATATATGCCTTGGATTATTTGTGGGATTATGATTAACACATTTAATGGCAGAGATGATAGTTTAGGGTGTCTTGAATTGAATGTTTTAGGAAAAGTGGAACAGCTCATAGTTACCGGTATATGTAGCAAGAAGTCAATATAAATGTATATAGGGAGCAGCGCAGATATATGTTTATTGCAGCTATTGATACATGTGACTGACATGATTGTTTGGTATGTACTGTAGTTTATTTCATCAAGTGAATAAAGAAATAAACTCAAAGTGAATATCTTCACCTGAAGGGAGAACATGATATGATGTGAGTTCATTGAGAGGTGGGCAGGGTAGAAAATCTCAAAGTTCATTTACCATGGTCTAATCAGCATTCATCTTTAGTATCTGGAAATCTAATAGGTGGAGGATTTGAATCTAGTAATTAACTGAATTTCACTCAAAATATGTTTCCCAACTGCAGCAGTATTTTCAGTATCCTTGCATGTGAACCAACGTTTCTTTTTGTCTTATACTGTGTCTTTAAAACATCATTCATCTCAATGACATTAAAGAATATGATGTATATTTGCAGTGGACTGGCGGGTACGCCCCTTAATGCTGTACATCAAGTTCTGGGCCAGATTCCATGACATTAATGATGCAAGGAAGAAGACGATATCCAGCTACTCGCTAGGTCTCATGTTGATACACTACTTACAGGGTGAGTTGTTAACCTACAACTGGAGATATGAAATACCTCATGAAATGTTCTAGCTCAATTTTGTTTGAACTGTTTGGACCTCATGTCTTTCCGTTTCATTAATTCAGGTCTTGGTAAACGTCATAGCTTCTTGTGTACTTAAGTCTTTCTACAACCCAGTTGTACTTCTGTTCAAAGATGTTTGCTGGTATGTGTGAAGACAATGTTTAAATTAAAATCTAAATGATATTCTGTGAAGAAAAACCAAAAACAAATGCTGCACTAACTACAGTGTCAAATTCTCACTTTGACAATTTGACTCGTATCCTATCACTGTTGACGACACCTCTTATTATGAGTGATACTTTGACTTTAAAATGTGTGGTTAATTGATACACTGAAGTTTGAGTTGGACATTGAATGCAAAAGCATATGAGCAGATATCCTTAATAAGGAGATTTGGACTTGATGTTTCAGTTGGCTGTAACCCCCCAGTTCTGCCCTGTCTGCAGACACAGTTCCCTGTAAGTGGTACCTGGTCAACATATACGTTTTCTTTGCATTCAAAAAATATCTGAGAAGAACACCTCTTTGAAAAAAAAGAATAGATTAAACGAACTTGACTGTCAAGCTGACTATACTTTCAGTAAACTGATGTTTCTTCTCTAGGTGGTGTTTGTTCATTTCTGTTTGGTCTCAGTTTGGGAGTGGTGGACGGTGAATATGCCCTGGTCTGAAAAATCTCTGCATGATCATGAATGTGACTGTACATATTTCTTCTTGGCAGAAAACTTTCAAACCTGATGCAGATATCCGGGAACTGAAACTGAATGAGAAACTGCCTTTGGCCGAGACGCAGAACAAAGATTCTCTTGGAGATCTTTTCCTTGGCTTTCTAGAATACTATTCCTTCAAATTTAAGTAAGCATGAAAATGTAGATCATCCTAACCTCAAAAAGTGTTCATGCAGTCTATTGTATACTAACGGCTCACCCTTTGGATGCTTAGGGACCGTTCATAATTTATGGCTAGGTGGGGGGTGATGATGATTTTTTTTGTGTGTGTGTGTGTTGGGGGGGAGGGGAGACATTTGTTCGGGGGAGGGGTGTCAGCAATTTTGTACATATGTACGGGAGGGGTATATGTGTGTCAGCAATTTTGTACATAGAGAATACTGCACGAGGTCTCATTACATATGAATTATATGAAACGAGTGTAATTCCTATGGTATCTGACCGAGCGAAGGAAGGTCACGAGTTTCGTATAATTCGTATGTTATGAGACTGAGTGTGGTATTTTATTATTACCCACGTCTTACATGCATTAAATTGACCAAATAGCAGGGTTTTTTCCCCGCCGCAACCTATTCAGCCGAGTCCGTCCGTACATGTTTCCCGATTCTTGTTAACGCGATATCTCACGAACTGTTGTACCCAATGTCTTCAAATTTGGTGACAGCCTACATTGGGGGATTATGAAGACACCAGTCGATTTGGGTGACATTGACCTTATTTTCAAGGTCACACTTTTTAAACTCTTGTTAACGCAATATCTCTTGAACTATTGTGCCCAATGTCTTCAAATTTGGTGACAGCCTACACTGGGGGATTGCGTAGACACCAGTTGATTTGGGTGACATTGACCTTATTTTCAAGGTCACCCCACTACTTTGACAACTTTTCAAACTCTTGTTAACGCGGTATCCCTTGAACTATTGTCCCCAATGCCTTCAAATTTTAGACAGCCTACAGTGGGGGATTACGCAGACACCAGTCAATTTTGGTGACCATGACCTTATTTTCAAGGTCACACTTTTTAAACTCTTGTTAATGCAATATCTCTTGAACTATTGCGCCCAATGTCTTCAAATTTGGTGACAGCCTACACTGGGGGATTGCGCAGACACCAGTCGATATTGGTAACCTTGACCTTATCTTCAAGGTCACCACGCCACTTTGACCACTTTTTAAACTCTTGTTAACGCGAAATATCATGAACTGTTGTACCCAATGTCTTCGCATTTGGTGACAGCCTACATTAGGGGATTACGCAGACACCAGTTGATTTGGGGTGACCTTGACCTTATCTTAAGGTCACCACGCCACTTTGACCACTTTTTGAACTGTTGTTAACGCGATATCTCATGAACTGTTGTACCCAATGTCTTCAAATTTGGTGACAGCCTACACTGGGGGATTACGCAGAAAACTGTTGATTTTGGTGACCTTGACCTCATTTTCAAGGTCAATTGTACATGCTTCATAAAAATCATCATCACCACACACACACACACACACACACACACACACACAAGCCATATATTATGAACAGTCCTTTAGACAAGTCACTTTAATATTTTATCAAACATTTCTGAGCAACATTTGGGCTAAAGTTGGATTTATGATTTCTCATGTCCTTATTATTTAATTATAGTTGTTGTGTGCTTGATCTGGAGATTGTATATATCTTGTTTCCAGTTTTGATGCAGATGCTATAAGTATTCGACAAGGTGCACGGGTGCCGAGGAGCGTCATGATGAAACAGACAGCAGACAACCAGAGGCAGTGGAAATGTCTCTGTATTGAAGGTGTCATTGCTATAGCTGCCTTTTGATTCCCATGTACAAACAATAATATCCCTCTCGGCAATCTGTTTGTAAGAACAAACAAAAACAGTAATCGTATCAGCTGGAATTTTTAATATTTTTTTGTTTCAACAGGAATCTTGAAATGTTTAATGGGTGAGATATTTTAGAAATATTTTTAGAAATACCTAGATCCATGTTCATTAAATGTCCTTTGCTGTAGTCTTGATGTAAGTTTGTTTATGAAGTACTCATTACGATTTCAGAGCCGTTTGACAGGTCAAACACAGCAAGGTCTGTGTATGACGAGTTCACCTTTCAAAGAGTCCAGCGTGTTTTCAAGAACAGCTTCTTCAGATTACGAAAGACAAATGACATTGAGTCTATCACCAGTGTCCCATTCTGAGCATCATCATCAGCAGCAGCAGACCATAACTGCTGATACAGACAGATGGCTACAGGCCATCGCTACACCTTCCAAACTCAGGGTTCTTCATGGACGCAGCACATCCTTGTAGTGACAAGGGGAGGAAACTCTCCCCTGTATTATTACTCTACTGACATTACTCAGTGTTGACCCAGTTGTTTTGGTGAAGATTCATGACTGATTCAATGTCAGTATTGCTTTCTGGTAGCTTTTCAGTGAAGCCAACAAAAGCCCCCGGACATGCTTCAAGTTAGGTGTGGAATAATATTTATGTGTGTGCATAATTTTGGAAATGAGTACCAAATGGACATTAATGACAACTGAAAAGGATCTAAAATTTGTGTTGATACTTGACATAGGAAACGTGCTGTTCTGGTCTTGAACTGATGACCGGTCCTACTCCAGTCAATGTGTAGTGCCGCTGTCATGATAGGATGACACGAGTCATATTAGACTGATCTCAGGGTACTAGTTGTATCAGTGTATCAGAGCCTCTTGTGTACCACTTGAACTTGCAGTGTACTTCATCTGCCTCATCTGTGGCCCCAAGTGATCAAGGCCTCTTGTGTACCACTTGAACTTGCAATCCTGCCTCATCTGTGACCCCAAGTGATGAGTCTTGTTTGGAAATTACAAGAGAAGGGCGGAGTATTCCTACAGATCCTCTGGCTGCTGAAATCTCTGTGAATGTGTGTAAACCTTTCAGTTTGTGTGGACAGTGTGCATGATATCCAGTGTGTAGCTAAGAATATACAAAGAGTGAATCACTGTGAACACTAGAGAATTGTCAGTGTTTCGTGTACATGGCCTTAATATTTTCATGAGCACCGGAGAGAGGAATTTTCGGTATGTTGTGTACATGGACTGTGTGACTCTTCATGGGGTTTTTCATCAGCTGGTTCTGGACAAGAGATAAAGCAGGTGTTTGGCTACTTATATTCAGAAATGTCAGGGATCTTCCTGTTCAAAATAATAAATTCATTACACTGTTTACACCACTACATTTGATTATTTCAGCATGACATTCATTGTCTCAACTGTTGATGTTTCATACAAATGCATCATATCAACATGAGGACTTTTCCCTGTCTGTCTCTGGACAATCTAAATGTCAGTCAGTGCTTATTCACAGTATCAATCTATTTCAATAATGTACTCCAACTACACAGGGTGTGAATTTTTCTGTGGCTATGATGAACAACAACCATGACATGGTGGCAACTAGAATCATAGGAAATGGCAGTAGCATCTAGGTTATTGCTTAATTTAAGATGTGTGTCCGGAAATATAGGAACATGTTCAAAGTGGAGTATGTGAACAAACGCATTGTTTACTATCTGAAGCAACTATATAAGGTACTAGTACTTTGTATTTTCTGAAAACTGCTAAATGTGACATGCTATTTTGTGTTTATACCTTCTCAGTGGTCGAGGAATTGATGTAAATTGAGTCAACTGCTGGGTCTCTGATTGTATTTCTAGTGATTTCTTGGAAGATCACCAACTGTCTGACCCATGCAGTATCTGTTTAAAGTTTACTTAATAATAATGATTATCAGAACCTTGTTTACATATTCATCTATGATCTTAAGTCAATATCAGTGCAATGATTTGCAGTTTTCTTTAATGAAAGGTGTCCATACCCTGATACCAGTTTTGCTAGGGTGTTGATAACAGAGGGAAACCATTCTCCCTCACTCACTCTCTCTCTCGCGTTCAATTACCACAGATGTCAAACATCATTTTGACTGTCACTGATCTCACTTTTGAATAAAATGAATAACAAAGAATTGATATAAGTTAAATACACCGATGGATGCACTGGTCTACTTAAACTTTCTGTATTTAGTAAGCAGTGTCATAATTCTTTAGCTGATGGCTAGGGGCATTAATCAAGGAGCCTTTATTTTCCCATTTCCATGAAAAGTATCAGTTTGTTTTCATCTGATAATGTTTGTGGGTTTGTTTTTTCTTTGTGAAGTGCTTGTAAAACTATCCTTTTGAACCATCTTCTTTGTTTGTTGTTCAACACTGGCCTTAGCAATATTCCAGCTAAATGACAGTAGTCTGTAAATGTCTGGACCTGGCAATCCAGTGATTAACATCATGAGCATAAATCTTCTCACTTGGGATAAGATGACATGCATGACCCAAGTCAACAGCCATGACAGCTTGAAACTGCATCTGAAACTGTCCCTAACACTATTGTATTGCCAGTAGTGGGGCACCTTATCAATCGATACTTGGATACAGAACTACTTCAGGGGAATTCCTAATGTCTAAAAAAGTGTCAAATAGGGATGGTTTCGTAACAAATTTCATTTATGGGCATATTATGTCAAGCATATCTGTTTTGAAGTTACTAAAGAATATATTCTACTTTCCAAAAGAAGTTGTACACTGTTGTGTGTCAAATTGCTGTAATCCCTATCATCGGCAGCTCATCTGGTCTTTGTGTGACCCAAACACTCAACCAAAGCTTTAAGCATAACAGAGTTTGCTGATGTGAAGCACCAGCTTCAGCAGCTGATGAACATCAACAAACACAACTTCAGTCCTTAAATCTTTCATCAGTACATTTGCAAGTTGTACAGAAATTCTGTAACAGTAAATATACAGCCATTATATATGATCACTCATTCTCATCAAAATGTTTATTGAACAGAACTGAAGTGTGTAGTCTGCTCTCTTGATCCATAATTGCTAGAACCATGAATATTGTCTCGGGAATATTGTCTGAAGTACAAGGTGCCACTTAAGTCAAAGTCATTAGATAAAGCTCAACTTGCAGCCCTGTCTTAGTAGCATCATTCTTCATGCCAGTCAGGTTTTGTTGACTTCATTAATGATCGTAGAACAATGTAAGAAGAAAACAAAGAACTGTCTCTCAACATCTGGGCCTAGATTTTGAAGCTCTCTTAGCGCTAAGATAGTCGTAAGTTAATGTTAATGTATGACACTTACGACTATCTTAGTGCTAAGAAAGCTACGAAAATCTAGGCCCTGAAGACTTACGGATTGCTAATCTCATCTGGGAGAAGTTGAATCAAAGGCAATGATAGACAATTACTGATTTATTCTCCAATCTTATCTCGTGATATATGAATACAAATAGTATATGAAGACAACTGCAGTGTTCCCTAATGTGTTGGTCTAATGTCACTTAACAAGCTATGTCACAGACAGCTAAATCTGTCATGCTTGAAACTGACCTCAGGGAACTTAAATATTAAAAAGACAAAAAAAAAAGTATGAAATCGTCTCATTGTAAAAATCGTTGTGATGTTCATGTTTTCATAGTTTATGAATTGACTGTTTTAGGACAATTTTACATTGTGAAAGTAATATATGCTTTTTAAGATCATTAACTTTCATTGGATTAATGAAAATGTAAATACATTTTGTTTCAGACCAACACATTGATGTACATTAAAGTGTCAGACATTGTGATATGTAAGATGAATTATGTGAAATAAAACACATTTACAAATAATGATAAGTTCTATTTTTCTGTAATGAAGACATCTCAGTTTATACTGTTACATGCACTGCATCAACATTATAGTGTCCAAATATCCTAGCCATGATGAACTCTCCAGCCTGGATTCCCTTGTCTACAGGCAGCAACAAATAGTTGTAATCACATAGACATTGAAAACATGTGTTTCTGGTGATTTGATGTGTGAGATGCATCATCATCATCATCATCATCATCATCATCATCATCATCATCATCATCATCATCATGAGCCTTTGAGATTGACATCCCATGATCGAGGGGAAAAATACCAGCGCTATGAGCAAGCACTAGTTGCCTGGATATGTGCTCTATATAAATATCGTATAATAATAATAATCATCATCATCTGTATATATGGACATGTATTTAGTGTTGTATAACTTATAAAATTATATGTAATGGGTATACAAATTATATGCAACATATTTATTGACAATACAATAAGCTATATAGCTATGACATGTATAGATCAACATACAGTTAGCATGGTAAGTGTTCTAAAACTCTTACACGTTGACACAGAATACATGTTAGTTGTTACATACTGACATACAATAGAAGGATAATGTATGTACATACTTGAAACAACAGACACAGAGCCTGTATTGATAGACATAGCCTTGCAATTCCCTGCTGTATATTAACCCAAGAGACTAGAAGGACACGAAGTGCCATTTTCAACTGCTTCTGTGGAGGCATACATAATTCTGTGAGCACTAAATAGCTGGCCTAAATAAACAAAATAATATAAGATGTTGCAAATGAGGAGCGTATTCAAAGGGTTGTATTTGAAGGTAAAAGGAATTCTGTAAACCTGTGTTCTAGAGACTATTGCTGGTATCATGTACTAAAAAAATGTTTATTGGAAGTAAAAAGGGAGGGTTTGGGCTTCATCACACCAGTAGTTGTCTGCCATACAGACCCTGAACAAACATATCCAATGCAGCCCATGCAAGTCTAGAATATGTGGCAATTCTAGATCACCACAGTTTCTGAAAATGAAGAAAGTCTCTGGGCTCCTTTTCATTTTGTAATTTATAATTATAATTAAAAACTGTTTTTGGCGACTGGTGTAATATATTATGGGTTGGTGGGTTGTTGATGAATTTTGGTGAAGCCCTCTTTTGCTGTATCATCTTTTCATGAAACGACGTTTATCTCAACACCCCATATCCCCCATGACAAATTACATGCATCCCTGTATATTAATGGCCATGCATGCCATTTCATCTGCTGATTCACACTAAGACGATTCCAGTCTGGTAAAACAATTTGATCAATATTATTCTACGGAGTTGCTCTATTTGCAACACATACTGCAGGGATACACTTGTAAACAATTGTTCCAGGTCAACATGAAATATTATATTCATGTCAGCGTAGAAAGTTTCGCGAAACATCCTTAACAGAATTCCATTATGTTTGAATTTCGTCTTTCACATTATCCGGTTGGGTCCGATGATACCTGCCCTAACGAACAAGTTCCGCATTTTAAGCACTTCCGGTAATTTTAGTTATGGTGATCGAAAGATTTCGATGGAACACTTTGCTCTTCGTGTTGTTGACAGTGTTTTTCGATGGCTTGGACACAAGTATCGGCGGTTTGTATTCTCAGTATTTGGCAATTGTTGTTTAAAGAAAACCCGGGTTTGCTGAGGTAAATTGTTTGTTTATAGGGTTGCAGCGAATCCACTATGAGCAATGAGGCGAATATTGACAGTAACGAATACGATTTTTGGGTAATGAATGCAATAATTCTCAGCAAACGATGTATTTGTCTTTATATTCTGTAAAACAATAACAAAATAATTCTTTGACGTGTTTTGACCTTGCTGACAGTATTAATTTTTCTCGACATTGACCAATGACAACATTGCTGTCAAATTTATTACATAGGACTAGGAGTGTTGGCTATTATCATGATTATGCTGTTAGGTTTGGATATGTTTCACTTTGCATATCAGGTTTTAACAATCAACACAAAAAACATAGTATAACCACTCATTATTAAAATAATCATCAATATTCAATTCTAGTGGTCATGATTAAGAAATTAAATTAATAAAGGAATATGCTCTGATTAATCGAATACACGAGTGAATCGGGCAAAATAGCTTAACCCGATACATATAGGCTACTATCTCAAAGTTTGGTCCAGGCACAGTTTGTCACAGTCATGTCATTTTGAAGATTCATTAATACAACAGTATATATGTGTCAACATCTCAGCTTGCTGGTTGCAATGTTATCAAATCCACTAATTGGTTCAGGCTGTCAGCTTTGGCTCAGGCTTCAGTGGTATGGTTATGAATTCACCTGTAGTTGCTTACCCAAACTTTACACAACTAGCCTCAGATACTAAACGATCCGTACCCATACTGATTTCAGTGATTTGTACCTTACAAAAGGGGCTAACTCATACCTAAAATTCTTGTCAGATTTTTGTACCTGTGTTGGGGCATTTGTATTGGGTAACCAAACGTTTGTGACTCGTACCAAATTTGGGATGATTCGTTCCCAAGTTAGGATTATCTGTACCCATTTTAATTATTGGCCCAAACCAGATTGCATTAACTGGTATCGACTTTGTTGAAAAGATAATTTACTCATCACATATTCCTGCACTTTATTCTCATCACTATTCATATCCTTGTAAAGTGTTTATGGACCTTTAAGAAACATATGTTGTTAACTTTCTAATCACATGAATAACTTAAAAACATCTCACCACATATTAAAGATAACTTCATTCAAGAATTTACAAAATCTTTGTGATGTAACACCCCTCTTACAGCCCAAATAAGGACATTTCCAACATTCATTCATGATACATTTTGTTTGTTCATTCTGTGCTGTGGTCTAATTTGCCCAATATCTGGGAGTTCAGTCATCAAGTGGCTTGGTCACAAGGAGGCACAATTTCAATGATTTGTAATCTGTGACCTCTCTCTTCTGACATTTTGACCAGAATTGGCATAGCTTTTCTTGATGTGACAAACAAACTTTTCAAATCATATCTATTTTCATTTGGTATGGGTTCACATCCAGTTGTTAGGTACAAGTAGGTACAGGTTGTCCAAGATCCTGCCAACAAGGTTTGGGTGCAGATTGTCAAGTTCCCCTAGCCTCAAGGCTTGAGAAGCACACAAGATCTGTGAAATATCAGCCATAAGTATGCAAACCTGTACTTGTGGTGGTGTGTAGTCTTGTGTATAGAGCATAGGTCACAAATCAGGTGAAATTAAGCAACGTTGGTCATAGAGTGTTCTTGGATGGGTGACTGTGTTTGACAGCTTGACCATGTTGACTCCTGAGAGTTTCTAGGACTTCTCTCCAGCCCAACAACAAAGCATGCACCTATGTAGTCACACTTTAGGCAAGTGAGTTTGTTCAAAATTGCCTCTGTTCACCCAGCAGAAAATGGGTACCCAGTAGTATAAGTCACATGACTATTAACCTGCTAGTGTCTCACAGGCAGCTTGGATTCATATGGAGTAATAATGTCCCTGTGGCATGGATTTCTGTGTTATATAAGTGGAAAATTATTATCATAAATGACATAAGGCTGCAGGTGACAACATAACCATAACCTATGGAGTAGCCATGGAGTAGACAAAACAATGACCTCAGTGAAGAAACTATAGCATTTTGACATTTAATTGTGACATAACATTAAATTATTTCCATCCCCATTCAGAGTTTGATATTTATGGATTGAATTATATTTATTTGACTGCTTTACCATGTTTATCCAGGTCAAAACACGCCTGTAACACATAGCAGCAGCATTGACCTACCAGCTTCAGGTTCTACTGATCCAAGCCAGTCTACAGAGACTAGAAATTTACAGGGTGCAGAAAATCCTCATGATATGTGCCCAAGTGGTGTGGACTGCCATAACCTGGGAGGAGCATGCATTAAGTGTAACTTCTCCACATGTGAATATGGGAAGACCTATACGGCAGAGTGCACCGCCGTTGAGAACATCACATGCAATGTAAGTTGTTTATGGACCATTTATGAATACGTTTACCTCATATGAATACACTTACCTCAACCATCTCAGATAAAATCCCTTTCTCATACTTCCTCCAGTTCTTTTGGGCGATGGGGTAGCCTTGTGGTTAAGGTGTTTGCTTGTCACGCTGAAGACCCGGGTTCGATTCCCCACATGGGCACATAGTGTGAAGCCCATTCTGGTGTCCCGGCCATGATATTACTGGAATATTGCTAAAAGTGGCGCAAAACCCTACTTACTCACTCACTCATACAAAATCCAAATAAATAAAACACACAAGGTCTCAAGAATTGTTTGGTAACATCTTTGAATATTACTGAGTGTGGTGTAAAATTAAACTTGCTCACTCACTCACTCATTGTCCTTAGAGTGGAAGTTACTGTGATTTCCATAAAAAAGGTGGCTTTATGTAGCACTGGTAGCTGTGAAACAGGAAAAAAGTCATGGTTGTACACCTCAGAATTTGCCACAAATATTCAGGTACAGATACTAGCTGAGGTGAAATTAATGTATTGCTGGCAGTTTGACAGCTGTTGTTTATAAGTGCTACAAATGTGACTTGGGTTGTCTGTCTGTCTGTCTCATTTCAATTTCTGTTGATGTAACAAAGACAAAATGCAGGTTTAGTCATATTCATGAAGAACATGTGCTCTCAATAGTCAAGGAGATTTCCAGGTTTCAAATCCCATGTGATCATGTGTTTCATCCTATTTGATTTTCAACTTTGTATACATAGGGAGCCCGAACGTTCCAGCGAAAGTACCTTTGTCGTTACTGCTACCAACTGGACCCCTGGTTGTACAAGTGTAATGCCACAGCCTGCCCTATCAACACCCCTCGCAAGACCTGGCCAGCAAGACCATTCTATACTGCTCTGTGTACAGCCAAGGATGACATTCTTTGTCTAGGTAGGTTGGCGTTTGTTTGTTGTTTAATGCTGCACTCGGCAATATTCCAACTATATTGCGGTGGTCTGTAAATAATCAAGTCTAGACCAGACAATCCAGTGATCAACATCATGAGCATTGATCTATGCTGTTGGGATACAATGATATGTAAAATCATCATTTGTGTGAATGTAGTAAAACAATAATAACTGTATTGTGTGTAGCATTGACTGTGATGCTTTTTGATGATCTTGACTTCATATAGGAAATGGTACAAACTTTCTTATCTTGGCTACAGGCAACAGGAGGTTTTATCGCCAGCAGGACTGTAACTGGACAAGTGGATACAAGTGGTCCACTGCACTTATCTTAAGGTACAGATTGTGATCTAAGAGGAGATAACTCTTTATAAATTACTTGAATGAGAATTGACACTCTTAAGTCAGGTTAGATTGTTTGGATGCTAATTAGAACAAGTAAAGCAATCTGTGGCACACAGTGTTATTACAGCATAAAACTGCACATACTTATTTAGATTATCAGTATACATTAAACAATGGTTATAACAAATTCAATGTGACCACATAGTATTTTAGTACATTATAATCATAGTTCATTTCATACATTTTGACTAAACATACAGTAAATGGCCGAACCAACAACAGCATGTTTTTTAGAAACATAGTTTACTGTATATTAGAATATCAGTGGACTAAGTTATTACTAAACTATAGCTAGCATGAGCAACTTGTATAGGTCCAAGGTAGTAGTAACTCATTTGTTTCTTTCCAGCATTACTCTTGGAGGTTTTGGGGCAGATCGGTTCTATCTTGGTTTGTGGAGAGAAGGCATTGGCAAACTATTTAGTTTTGGTGGACTTGGAGTGTGGACGCTTGTCGATGTCATCTTGATAGCTGTCGGCTACGTGGGGCCTGCTGATGGATCACTGTATATATAGTCATGTCATGGGACCATCATCATTGTACATAGCACATACATTTCATCATCATTCACTATTGGAGAAACTATCATGTTGTTTTACTTGAATGTCCTTTTCACTTGATGTCAGATCTTTACAATCAATAGGTTCCTGATGTTTGGTTAAATCTTTTCAGATTTGTCTAAATTCAGTACAGTAGTTTTTATATAAATTTACTATTATTGAGACTTTCACCTCTCGGGGATTCACAAATTTAATATTATATGTATCTTTCATTTGACAATTAACTCAAAAGTTTAATCTCTATATCATGATTATTATTTATTTCAAGAAATGTTTTATCATACTTTACACGTTTCATAAGGACAGTGTTTTTAGACTGTTCTGTTGTATATAATGTTTTACCTTAAGTGAAAAACTACTAGTAGTGTTCCACTGGTAGTTTAAAGAAATCCAGTCAATAAGAAAACCCACGGAACTGGTATTGTTCAGCTGCTTAATTTTCTACAGCAATGTTTCTTGAAAGAGAAGGTCTTTATCACTATTTATTCATGGAGTTTGCTCTTTGAGGCCACACCTTATTCTTTTAGCTTGTGGATTTGACACACTAGTGCCAAGAAATATAATCAGAAAATAATCATAAAAATATCAATGATGTTTTTTTGTCCATCTACTCCATTTTCCCAATCCATCAAAGATAATGATACAACTATGAAAATATGAGAATTGTAATTATAAGTGATTACAAATTGTGCATGTGCTTAGTCTGAATAAGCCTTCTCGGCCAGAAGACCATGCATGTGTATATGTTATTGTACGAAAAGTAAATATTGTGCACTTATAACACATTGCTCTATTCCCACTCAGTCAACCACCCTGAACAATTGTATGTAAAATAAGACACATGAGCTATAAACTTGCTACAGTTTCAGTTTCTAGTTCAAGGCAAGCTCGATGGTTAGCAGAAACTCAGTGAACAATCAAACATAGGGGCGTGTCGCGCTTAAAAACAGTGTTAGAAAGACATATAGCCTATATGTAAAGCATCGTACTAGGGTAGAGTCTATATACCTGTCTTTCTGACGCTGTTTTTAAGCGCGACACGCCCCTGTGCAACCAAATAATCAGCATGTGACCTTAGGAATACACATAGTTTGCGTACAAGTGTCTTGTGTGAAAGGGTATGTTTGAGAGTATCTTAAAATAAAAGAAGGAATGTGTTTCAGTGTTGTTTGTTTCCAGAATAATATTTGTCCCTGGTCAGGATGTACACAGTGTTGCTATTGTATGAGCTACTGTGACAAAACAGTTGGGGATATTTCACCTAACACATGTTTGTTGTTTAATACAGTACTCAGCAGTATTCTAACTATATCACAGCGGTCTGTGAAAAATTGAGTCTGGCCCAGACAATTCAGTGATCAACAGCATTTAACTTCAATAAGAAAGTGAACCAAGTCAGCGAGCCTGACCACTTCATCCCATTAGTTGCCTCATCCGACAAGCACTGGTGGCTGAAGAGCAATTCTAACCTGGATCTTCATGGGGTTTACCTGCTGATATGGAATAGCTTATGCTTACATTGTTAAGCGTGAAACAAGGTTTGGTGTGTAATCAGAGTTACTTCACTTATACAGCGGTGTGAATGCATATTTGTGGGTGGCTGCTAGTTTTTATGGTGCTAGTCCACTTGAATACCATCCTGCAGTTTAACATGGGTAGCTCATAACCAACCAGTCCCTGGATCATCAATGACATTAACATTGAAAGCAAAGCAGTATGCATCGTGATAATAGATGAAACAGAAGATGCCATAGAAAGTATTATTTATTTCTTGGAATGCCTTCAAGAACATCAATACATTAGTTCACCATTCATACATGTTATGTTCTTTACATATCACAGCACCTTTGATTGAATTGCACATATCACATTTTATGCCTCAGGAAATATTATTCATATGGTATTCATGATGATAGCAATAAATAGACAGCCAATTTCCAGCAATATGTTTAAGAAACCACTGATGCAGTGTTCACATGATCAAATCAATAATCACATCTGACTTCAGCTGAGTTCACACTGTTGAGTTTGTACAAAGTGAGGAAGTATGTTTCACTTATTACAGTAACATTTCTCATTTATCATGGCAGGGGGAAACCAGAAATGGGCTTCATGTATTACCCGTGTGGATAAATCATGTATTACCCGTGTGGATTTGAACCCGGATATTTGGGTGGGACAAATGACTACCCTAACCACAACACTATCCAACTGCCCTACAATGATCAAAGGAAATATATTTTTTAGTTCTAATGAAACACCCAAAAGAAATATTCAGGAATGGGGGGAGGAATTACATCAAAATTTGGGCATCTCAAAAGGAAGATCAATTGGCATGTGGTAGGTAAACTTCATACAACATAATTTGAACAAATATACTTTTATGAACATGATGAATCAAGTTGGCACAGGTATTCATTAACATGAGGGAGTATTTTCCAGTAATCAGTTGCTATGGAAACCACCAAGTTATCTTGTCTTTCTTGAACCTTGAACAGCAGATGATATTTGGCAGGCAGAAAGATGAGATATGATGTCTTATCTGCAAATAAAATACAACAAATTATTCCACTACAACCATCAACAGCCAGTTCTAAAAACAACCAAAACCTGTCAAACAATGTTCGAACTATGTTCTTATTCTTAATACTGCTGTACCAAATATATATCCGGTTGACAGCAACAGATGTACAGTGAAACCTGCCCAACCGGCACCTGTCTAATCCGGCACACTGTCAAAACCGGCATAAAAATTTGGTCCTGCCATTTTACAATGATATTATGATCATTAAAACATTGCTTAATATGGCACCTGTCTATTCCGTATTCCGGCACGACTTTCCCGTCCCAACAAGCAATTTTAACTGTAATTAATACTGTCAATACCAGCATGGGTATGAGCAGTCCAATCAAGGACTCATAATCCAATACACTAATTAATCCTCTTGGCACGCTAGATAATCAGGAAGTAGTGATTGCGCGGTGAATCAAACACTTGAAGGATTACCGCGGTTATGCTTTACAAACAATGGGGATTGCATTAACTGTTTTCAAGTGAGTGACGTGTCAGAGAGTAAATAAATAGGCATTGGTTTTATTGACTGTCTACTCCGGCACCCTGTCTAAACCGGCATTTTATTTCGGTCCTGTGGGGTGCCGATTTAGACAGGTTTCACTGTACTTACCAGGTCCAAGTTGAAACCTGTCCCATTCCAGCTTTAATTTCGGAAGAGGACATGACACTATCTTCACAGACTGCAGGCCTTCTCTGCAAATATGAATAGAAGAAACAGATGTGTAATAATTCCATTCTGATCGAATACTTTGTCATAAGAACATGATAAAAATCTCACTCTCTTTCTTGGGGCCTGAAAAGATCCAGTTGTTACCATATGAATAACAAATGAGGAATGTTTAGATGATATAGAACCAACATAGAGATTATTATATCACTGGGGGTATAATAACCAGCCCCATATTTCACTCATTGGAGTTATTTCCCTCAGTACATTGTCTGTTCGTCTGGCTATAAGTTTAATGTGATAGAGGGAAAGGTGAAAATGTACTGCACTGACCTGCAAATAGATACATTTTAATATTGGCGTTATATCATATGATAAATACTGATAGGTAATAATGTATCAAGCCCCACATGAACCCTTGATCCCTTCTGCTGATAATGTGGTCTCAGGCATTCCCTTACCACAGAGGTTACTCAAGTCATGTCTTCCCACGTAATCTATGTTCTAATACGGACATATTTCCCGTTCTCGTAAAATCGCAACACGAATTATCTCCCTTCTTTCTATCCAATCAGGACACGTGTTACATCGACTTAGATCCAATATGGCGGCTGCCATGGAGTTAGTTGATCAATATGTGAAGGATAGATTCAGTATTTCATGTTTAACTGAAAATCAGAAACTTGCAATAATGTGGGGCCACAAATATCCCTCCTCTGCCGATGACTTATGTTGATGTGACACACAAGACATTTAGTGGCTAGCTTGTCCGTTGTCAACGAGGGCGATGGAGACGCCATTGATCTGCCATTACATCACTGAGTTCTGTCTAGAAGAAACATTTGCACATCACGCAGGGGAAGAGGTTCTAGTTTTCCGAAGCACACAGAAATTACCGAGGCTTTTCGAATGATCAGTTTTGAAACAACGTTGCTGATTGCATAACTAAATATGATTGCAACCAATCATGAACCCTGAACACTCGCACCATGAAAGGGCCGTATTAGAACAGAGGCTACATGGGAAGATATGACTTGAGTAACCTCTGTGGGAAGAGAATGGGTCTCAGGTTGATACGAGGTATGATATGAAACTGCCATATGAGGACATAAACTTAGCTCTATGTACTACCGACCACCAGGTTTGGATGACTTCTTCAGTTTGGGAGGGGGTTCTTCAATATTTGGTTTGGCTACTTTAATTTTGTCATGAGAATACATTTCCTAGATCACTTACATCTGCTCAAACTAGGATCTAGCTGCCCAAAGACTATTATGCCCAAATCCAAACTGTTTATATCAATTCTCCACTCACTGAGGGTCTGAACAGCTGGTAATGTGATCCCAGAGGCTGGAGAAGAACAGTGACCTGCTCTGGCCGTCGAGGCCCACGTGGGTCCAGGGGTAAGGCAGGAGCAGGTCCTCGAAGCTGATGTCTGTGGTGGGCAGACTACAGTAGTAGGTGTCATTCTTGTACGAGGCAAACATTGCACTGAAAGTATATTCAAATAAATACAGAAATTCAGAATCCATTCCTGGCTATACAAGTGTTATGTGTTTTTTAAGGGTAGGAACGTCCATTGTTTTGTCATTTGCATAAACAACTGTAAAACATGATACTTATCTTAAGAACAAGCCCTCATCTGAGTATTTACCATGGCTGTGTGTTGCAGCACACCTCAGTATATCATGATAACCACTGCCACCCAAAAACATAAAATCCAACCATCTATGAAAATATAGCTGATTTTTAAGTACAGTCTGTTTGATTTTATTTAAGACCTATGAATTGCTCTCTACCACAACATCTAATAATTGCAATAAAACCAAATATTGCACAATCACATGAAATTGACAGACCAAGTCTGATGATTTGTCTAATAATTTTGGACACCCGAGTTGTTTAACAAAGATTGTCATTTTGTTGTCACTTTTGGCTACTTTTATACGCGGAAGGGCCACTTGCTGGTAGAACAGCCTGGTAATCAACAAGCGAGTGTAGTGAAATTTCAATTTCACATAAGCAACTCACACACCTGGCTGGTTTACCATTAAAAATTTAAGGCAATCACCATCCATATGCAAGGAATTTCAACTATTATTTTGTTCAACACAGAAACACATGAAAATACACAGTGTGACTTGAGTACCTTGTGTCAAAGCTTGCAGGATCTGGTAAGGTTGGTTGAAGTTCTACAATGAGTTGTTTACTGTCTGGAAAATTGAAATCCAAACACATGATGACTAGAAGATGTACGAAACCTGTTTCTATTGAGTTATGGATACGGTTGCTAAATAATACTTTTGGTAGTTGCTGTGTTAATTTAAACATTAATGTATTTTAACAGCCAGTCAATAAAACACAGAATGAAAGAGACACTTATACTCGCATATTACTCCACTTATTTGTAATTATTTTTACTGGTACATATTACTACCAAAATAATCAAACGGCAAGCATGTTCTCACCATGTCTGTTCATGCAAGCCCACGTGTACATCTGAAATTAAACAAGAAGATGATGTAATCTATATTCTCTTTCCTCTCTATGTACAACTGATATTATGATTCATGACCCAACCAAATGACTCCGTCCATTCTATAAACAATAATAAATGTTTAACCAACCAACCATCCATACTAGCACAGATTATACAGAGACTGAGCTGACCAGTCCTTGTTACATCCAGGGTAACAAGCTTCATCTTTTAATGTATTTCGGTATAACATAGCCAGATAATGGGGCCACCAATCTCCCACTGTAGGCAGATGCTTTTCTCCCACTGGAGATTAACCGTGGAGGTGATGGGAGATAGGAAGCTTACCATTGTGTTGTTTGTAGATGTCACTGGTCTCCACCTTGATGGACAATGCATGTAGTGTGTCAAACTGGCTCTTCTGCAGCTGAGACAAGATCACATATTTCAGGGCTGGCTCTACATCAGTTTAATATGTCCTCTTTCTTATATTCATAGATATGACTGGAGTAAATATTTTAATGACCCATAAATCAGATCAAGGGTGGAATGTTTGTTTGAATGAAATAATGACAAGCGATACTTTTATATTTAGTAACAATTTCTCTTGTATTGAAGACTAAATCTTATATTTTTCATCTATGACTGTTTGAGACAAAGATATAAACTTGATGTGATTAACAGTTCATTGACTTCATACATCTTGGTTCACTTATTGAATAGAGATGACAAGGCTTAGATAACCTAAAATAAGTAAACATATTCTGATGAACACATTTGTTGCTGCCTGAACCGGAGACCATATAATAAGACTATTATATGGTCTATGCCTGAATCAACTAATTGCCTACAAGAAAGATGTTGATCTATGTCTTGACCTTTGACTGGGGTCAACCTACCACTTGTAGACTGTGTGTGATCTGCAGTGAGACTTTCAGGGTGTCCAACCACTTGTAGTAGCTCAACATATCTGAAACATAATAGTGATCATAAAAGGAAAGTAAGTGACTTAACAACAATAATTTGAGCATGAATCTCTGTGTTCTAAAAATTTAGAAAAACAACACCAATCTTAAATGTTTCTTGACTTTGTCAATACATGAACATTCTACCTAAACAGCCATGAGACATATATGTCATTCCTAAGAGCTATGGTGTCATGATTAAATGGATGATGTCATAAGCCTCCATGACAACTGAACCACCAGGACCGCAAAAAGCTGAAAAAATTATGGGAGATATCCTTCATGCTGCCATTTTGAGTACTACACTTCTAAATCTGAGATAAGATACTTATCAAGCACAGTATTCATCCCCAGTCATACGTCCACAAAATTTCCAAACTTAGAACCCTGTTTCTGTTTGTAACAGACATTCAATGTTTTACACTGTGAGTTTGGGAGTGTGATTATTGTGGCATGGGTTTCACAATTTTAACTATTATGGTGAATGAAAGTATAATGTAAACAAAACTGTCATCTAAACATGTTGATTTCACTCACCATTGTTGAAGGTGAAACTGGTTTCACTTTTGAATTCAGGCTGTAGGCCTAACCTGCAAGAATATAATAAAACTATGTATGCGATATTCAGACACAGAGACAAACACGTAACACATAACACACACTTAAAATGGGTATCTAAAAGCAACTGAAAAAGTACAGAATATTAATACCTCTCCCATTTGAGTATTGGCTGTTTCACCTGGTGTAGTTCTGTCCTCATAGGTGTGTTCATTGATCCTGGAAGGAAGATGTTTACATTGACACACTACTAAATTTCTGATATCTGATTACTTCTTAAACACGTCTGGAAACATACTTGCAACATAGTTGGTTAATTCATTAAAAATGATGATGGCATTGCTAAATTATACTTAAAACCAATCTTCTGTCAATGGCAGTTATACAGTGAGTAAGTGAGTTTAACGTTGCTTTTTGCAATATTCCAGCAATATCATAATGGGCTTCACAAATTGTACTTTTGTGGGGATTTGAACCCAGGTCTTTAGCGTGAAGAGCGAACACTTTAGCCACTAGGCTACCCCACCGCCCCCACTGATTCATGATCCAGTCTTCAGCTGAGGATTTCCTACCCACCTGGCAGCAGTGAGGAGAAGGTCTGTTCCGTCACATGGCCACCCTGCATAGCATCACTCAATACGTCCCGGATCTGCAATATTGACATGTGACACTTTAACATCACCAGACCTGCATGGCATCACTCAATATGTCCCGGATCTGCAATATTGATATGTGACACTTTAACATCACCAGACCTAATGTCATCACCAATATGTCCCTCTGCAATATTGATATGTGATCACTGTGACAACATCACCAGACCTGCATATGCATCACTGGATCTGCAATATTGACATGTGACACTTTAACATCACCAGACCTGCATAGCATGTATGTCCCCGGATCTGCAATATCGACATGTGACACTTTAACATCACCAAACCTGCATGAATAGCATCACTCAAATCAAGTCAAAGTGTACCATTGTCTGTAATATCAACATGGACACTTTAACATCACAAGACCTGCATATGTCCCGGATCTGCAATACATGGTATACATATATATCTGTAATATCAACATGTGACACTTTAACATCACCAGAATAAAGTTAATCAATGCTTAACAGTTAACATCACCAAACCTGCATTGAATCACTCAAATTGTACCAGATCTGTAATATCAACATGTGACACTTTAACATCATCAGACCTGTATAGCATCACTCAATACGTCCTGGATCTGCAAAATTCATAGTGACACTTCACCAGACTAATCTTGTAAAGAAAATGTTTGAAAGATGATGATGACCAGATGTCACGATTTTGACCAGGTTTAATTGAACTTGAGACAGAGGAGGTAATTTGTTCAACTTGCTCACCTTCTTGTCGGCAGCCCCAGTGAGGAGAGCATAGTAGAATCTGGCCTTGTCCTGTATGTCAATGTCCAGGAAGTGTCGCATGGTTTCATGGAGCAGGTCACCAAGCTCTGTAGACACACAACATGGTGACATGACTTAATATCTATCCCAATATCCTGTCCTAATATTGTTAGAATGTCTGAGATGAGGACAATGATTTTCTGATATCATAAAAATGTGTGGGTCAAGGAGTTTCACATGGAGGCAAATCCTTCAGAATAATATCATCAACTTCATTCAGAGGATCACAGTACCATACTGCTTGACAGTTGAAGATGAACACACACAAAGAACAAAATGGTATTGATGGATTTGAACAGGCTGCATTTCTTAAAACCAATGGTATGGTAATAGATGTTACCAGTGAAAATTCCTTCTGTAGGGTGGTTCAACAGTACACTTCTAATCACAGCCAGTATAGCATTGCCGAGGTGCCAGCTGCACTGGTCATAACTAACAGCACGCTCCACCACAGACAGCAAGTACTTCATTGTTGGCTGCAGAACAAATGCCAGATCGTGAAAACATGTCAAAATATGTCCCAGACATAATTCCTTGGCATGGAATTTGTGTCAACTAAGTTCCACTGTTTGTATAACGACAGACAACATGGTTACCAAAGATTCAGCAGCCACATGCATATTCTCAGATGGGAATGTTTCAGGAAGCCCTTATGTAAACAGCATTATTTTTTCTGATATTTTCCAAATTAGAACAAAAATGCTGTTTGATTTTATTAAGACCTTGAAATGATACTTTCACTCAGAATTTGGATTAAAATTTAAAAAAAGTCCATTAGTATGTCAAATATGTCTTAAGACAATACTGTGAATATGAAAATGTTTTTTAATTTCTTGCTTCCTGAATTACTGGTATATTTCTCTTAGGCTGAAACAATAAAGGGAGATAATCACTTTCCTACATGTTCACACAGCTGTTGTTTCAGTTGATTATTGTGTTTAATCATAATTCAGTTAAAAATGTATTTTAAATGAAGGTACTTACAAGAGGACTTATCTCTGCCTCTTTAGCTGATGTTTTGAGGACAAGGAGGTAGAACTGAAACTGTCTGAGGACATCTTCGGAGGACGAAGATAATACTTGGTTGTGTAGAGAGGACAGGATATTCATGTACACCACACTGGAGGACAGATATTCAACATCACATGGAAATCAAAAACAGCTGAAAACATGATTCCATTTCCAACCTGTCCCGTGCTCAGAACAGCTAGACAAATACAGTTCTTAAAGTGGAGGCAATTTTCGGTTCTGATAGTAAATGTAAATTACAATTAGGAATATTTGTAAGGTATTAATTTCTTCACAGGTAAATCTTACTGACCATAGAGGAATCAGCAAGTATTCCTATATTCATGAAGGAAAACTAATTGTATTTTAAAAGATATAAGGAACTCAAATGTAAATGCAAAAGAAGTGACATGGTACAGTGACATACTGTAACTGATGATTTTCAAATTCAGGTATTTTGCTGATTGTATACTTATGACTCTCATAATGGAGTGAGTTGGTTTTAATGCCATTTTAAACAGTATTCCTGCTGTATCATGGCATATCAGCTATTTTGACATGAAAGCCTGAAATGATGGAAGTCTTAGCCATTTATCACTTGGGTGAAACTCAGGGATATGGTGCTGATAAACCTTCAAAAATAACTGGGGTAAACTAGCATTCAAAGTCATAGCCAGAGGTCACTGGCGTGATCAAAGGGATACAACTCTGCCAATCACTGACTGAGTGAGTGAGTGAGTGAGTTTTACGCCGCACTCAGCAATATTCCAGCTATATGACGGTGGTCTGTAAAAAATTGAGTCTGGACCAGACAATCCAGTGATCAACAGCATGAGCATGGATCTGCACAATTGGGAACCGATGACAGCCTGACCACCCGATCCCATTAATTGCCTCTTACGACAAGCATGGGTTACTGAAAATAATATTCTAATCTGGACCTTCACAGGTCTCGGTCTATGACTGTCATACTTATAAATCTCTATGAAGTCTATGTTAAAGAACGTGAATAATAACATCTATAATCTTACAACTGCATTGTGAAAAATGCTCTGGACCTTTTCTAAAATGAGGCGTCAGCACTAAGGCAATCATAAGTCGATAGACTTACTACAGCTGTAGTCCTTTGATTGATTACTCCAATAGGACTAGGCTGGCTCAATAACCACTTTACAGAAACAGGTTCCTTTAACAAGTTCTTAAGAAAGTCAAGTGGTGGAGTTACGCTACATACGTATCTGCAGCCTGGTCTCGGACACACTGGAGGAAGTTCAGCACCAAGGGGACCAGCTTGGGGTAGTTGCTTAACACTGTCTGGCAGATTCTACAATATTGCAGGTATAATTCAACGTAAACAAGGGTGACTTGTCATACCAAATGTCTAGGTGTGATACCCTACAACAGTACAAGGGAACAATGTGGAAAGGACAATTCTGGTATCTCCTACCACAACTTTGCTGGAGTATTGCAAACAGCAACATAAAATAATGCTTCACTTTCACTCACTACAGGCATGATCTGTTTGACTGGCATTTTACAAGCTGAGTGAGTGAGTTAGTTTAGTTTTACGCCACACTCAGCAATATTCCAGCTATATGGCGGCGGTCTGTAAATAATCAAGTCTGGACCAGACAATCCAGTGATCAACAGCATGAGCATCGATCTGCGCAATTGGGAACCGATGAGATGTGTCAACCAACCCAGCGAGTCTGACCACCTGATCCCGTTAGTTGCCTCTTACGACAAGCATGGGTTACTGAAGGTTCATTCTAACCCGGACCTTCACGGGTCATGTTACAAGTTGCTGAATAATAAGAAAAAGGTACGATACTCTATAGACAACAACTTCTTTATTATATGATGATGTGATGTTTTGGTGTAGATTTTTATACCGTGTTAAGCAAGACACTCTTGCTTGACAACGGTATAAGAATAAAAGTAAGAGCCTTTCACTCGGGTGAGCTAAAATCATTAAATTTGAAATGATGGTAAAAAGTGATCTTTTGTTTTAGTTGCATTCCATTCCAACGAAAATATAAAGCCAATAGCTTGGAAAACCCCCACAGTTTGTTATACCCGTCAGTTCAATATAAGCATGTTCATAATAAACATAGTTTACGGTTACCGGTATATAACTAATGATTTCACTGAAAAGTGTAAGTGTGATAGATTTAGATAAAACCAACTGAATTTTGAACAATAAATAGTCAAAGCATTTGCTTTCAGCAGGTAAGTTTTGTAATGCTCAGTCACATGCCTAGAGGTAAAAATAATGAAAAAGGATGTAAAAACAAGCCTGGGCCTCCTTTCACAAAGCACTAAGGTGATTGTAAGTCACTAAGGTAACCTTAGTGCAATGTTAAAGAATGGGAGTTAAGGTTAACCTTAGTAAAGGTTGCTTCGTGAAAGAAGCTCCTGGTCTACTGGATATGAAAATACAACCTGACACCACCCTGGCTAAAAGTGAAAGTGATTGAATATATTGTTTAAGATTTCACACATACACAAAACACAAAGTTAAAAAAACACCTACTTGATAGTATTCGTGGCTACATCCTGTGAGCAGTGTTTGGCCTGGATGTTGAAGAGACAGCGGTACAGTGAGACCGCCACCTTATGTTCCCAGTACAAACAGTCAGCTTCTTTAAATAGGTGAGGCTAGACAGCAGGAGAGACAACTCTTCCGAACCTGACAGGGAAACAAAGCCTCACAGACTTACACGAGCACATGATTAAATGATTCCTACTTTCAAATCTCCTAGGACTCAGAAGATGTCAAAGAACAGCATTGATTTATTCCATGGTGGTAAATAATGAAACCACTCTGGGAAAGGACAGATCTGAGCAGTTATTAACAAATTGCCTGTCTGGGTGTTCTGCCAAAGCCTAATGTCCCATGGGGAACCTGACATCTGACAGCGGCAAAACAATGAATAATACATGAAGGGATATGTGCATATTAGCCAAGACAGCTCAAGATGGGAAACAGTGACAGAACTGAATTATGCTACAAAGATTTTACAGATAAGGTTCAAACTTGTCTCACTGCCCAGGGATCTCGTCTTTCACATACTTTCAACAAGCTTAAATTGTAATAAATGTATTTGATTTTCAAATTTTGATTAAGAAACAGAGTTTGTGGTTGATAAAAACACAAATAACATCTTGTCCTGTAAGGAAAAACACAGAGAACCTGTCAAATGGTTATTTGTTTTTGGATTTACTAAATACAGAATCACTGATTAAAAATGTAATTTTGTACAATTTTATAAAAATTTGTGAGTGATCTGTAAATGTAGAATGGTAGAAAAGAGCCACCAAGCTCCATAGCTCACCTGAATTATGAAGCTTTAGTCATGGCAATGTTTATTATGTGTGAACTTTTTACAAACACAATAGCTGAAATCATTCAGACAAAGTTTCATTGCCACAGCTGGCCTTGTAGTGTGTGAGGAGATGATGAAAATGTGACATCTAACACTGGATGGACTCCCGGTTGGAGCAGGCTAATTGTTTTCAAGACATTCAAGAAATCATGACCATTTCCACTTGCCTACTACAATTTGAAAAGATCCCCCAATCTCATTACTATTTATACAGAAATGTATACCTGTCTCTGACTGTAGTTGGGTGCAGATGTTCAGGGTTGACACCTTCCCGACATGGAGGTCAATGGAGTCAAACACTGAAGGCAGCAGTCTCCATGACAGCTGCTCTCTCACATGCCCCATAACACTGCTGTCTTCCTCATCCTCCAGCTGCAAGGATATCTCACACACATCACATGGCGGTCTAAGGTATGTTGTCATCCATTCATATCTTGGGATCTGTCAACATCTATTGTTTTACTGGACTCCTACTTATGCAGAGACTTGACAGTAAGAAAAGAGTTGGGACACCTGCCAATCATATTCAGAATGCATGGGGTTAAAGGCATTTGACTTTTCAAAATAAAGGTCTCAAAGTAATAAAACAAAAACTGTTATATACTGCAGTGAAATGGTAAGTAGAACACACTATCAGTGTTCGCGAATAGCGTCTGACCCTCTGACAAATCCGGCAGATTCGCCAACAGTCCGATAGAAGTCTACAACCCACCGGCCCCAGTGTCCGACTGTATATTTCACAATGACTTTGACTGAAGTTGTTTTATGTGACATGTGACACTTGTTTGCTGTTTATTTTATCTTAATTTTTCTTATGTTTGTTAATAATTTCAATGCCAATTATAAGAAATGTTAAATCTGAAATTTGTGTTTAATTTTATTCCATGGGTCCTGTGAAGTTTCAGTGGGTCAGACAGACATCTTAAACTTACAGGACCCAATGTCCTGTTACTTTGAAACACCATTCGTGAACACTGCACTATTTATGAAGAACAGAACATTAAAAGAACATAATAATTTCAGTGAAATGCTTTTCAAAAGGAAAACTAAGTTTCAACTTCTTTATTGCAATGAATGTGGTATTTTGGTGCAGGTACTAACACCGTTATCAAGGAAGTGATATCCATAGAACTTAGTTTTCCTTCATCTTCACAACTTCTAAAATGCCTCTCAAAGAACTGCTTTTCAAAAGTTTATCTTCCAATTTCATGTACAATGAATCTGTGGTGCTAGTTACAGAGAGAATATCACAGTTTGCTTTGCAGCAATCTTTCCTACAAACATACACTGAATTAACATATGATGTGTAATTTCGTCAAAATCAATGCTCCTCCATGGGTAATCAGGCATATAAAGACATAAACTGATTTATTTTCTCTAGCGGAACGGTTAAGTATGCGAGAAAGATAAATGTTATGACAAAGCAAACCACTAATTCCCATTACTGTGTCATGATATTGAAGTCATTTCCTACTTAAATGCTTTTTCTGTTTTCTTACTTAATTCTCCAATATTAAAGAAGGTCTATTGTATACTTTCACGATTTAATTTAGGAATGGCATCCTTTAACTTTAGTGACATTGTAATTTGATGACAACAATGTATCTTGTTGAGGCTCTATGCAGCTACAAAATCAATCCCAAGAATGTTTCATGAAACTCATTTCTAGAGGAAATCTTACTTGGCAGTATCCTTGGAACCACTGAAGAAATACAAGCCTGTAGGCAGGACTTATGGATTTTTGATTGACAGCTGTCACAAGCCTTTTCATCAGTAACTTTTCCTCAGATGATGTCAGAATCTCCCCTGAGTACTCTCGCTGAAACAAAAGTCTCAGCCAACATATATAATGCTAAAACATGCCATGGAGACACGGATCAAACTGTCTGACAAATGATTCACAAGAGCAATATGACAACGTCACACCATTCTCAGTTCAGAGATGTCACATAAACAAATCAGTGTCTTGATTTGAGAAGTCTCCCATTAGTCAAAGTAATGCTAACATACTTTAAAGGATTATAACATATGGCACTGATTCTGCAGAGTAACACATCAATATGAGCTATCAATTTAAACACACAACTAGTCTCACCTGAAGATAGAGAATAATGTGCATGAGACAGGGGTCCTGGGTGGCCATGTGGTGAAGCATTAGAGGTTTAAAGATCTGAAATCATGAATAATACATGATAAACCACAAGGCACTAAAGCTCTTCTGCGATACTTGAAAAAACATGATGGCTAAGTTACGATGGGATCATTTACATAAAATGTCAGGTCCATGTGAGGCCTTGTAGTTTCAGAGATACCATAAATGCAAAAGACTACAGTTCAACTACAAGGACATCAAGCAGCAAGCCATAAAATAAGCTCATTTGAAAGGATCTTGTTTTTAAACTAGTCACGTTGAATAGCATCATAATCATGTAGTTTGCTTTCTAGTGAATCTATTGTGAACCATACATTTCACCATAGGCTGAACGCTGATCTTATAGTACACATGTTTAACTACTGACAAGAAGTCTACATACTGTTGGGGAGATGCTGGGGGAGTTCTGTACAATGCCGGACAGTGAGGTGAGGATGTCCACCAGCCCTGCTGGGGTGAAGATGGTGCTGTGGTCCATGATGTAGGAGACTGCAGACAGTGTGTCACCAGAGCCACCTGAAACAGACACCATCCTCTCCACGCTGGACTGAAACAGACGTGTGCAATGGACATGTACATCCTTGTCAGTCATAGCTTTATGTTTTCTATATTATCTAATTTGACAACCGAAGTATAAAGCACAATCGGTCTGGCTCATGACTACTTGTATTTGTGTAGTGGACCAGTGTGTTGATCAAACCCCTTATTATGTTCCACTAAAATAGATTCTGGTGCTTTTGTGTGTTTACTAATACTGGTATTTATACACCTAAGACAACATGTTAGCTTGATCTGTTGTGGAGTAAGATCCTTACCCTTGGACTAAAATCTGGGGTAACAGGACTTTCAGGTGCACCAATATCACTGAAAATATAAGAAGAATTAAAAGAAAAAAATCAAATATGTTTTCTTGTCGCACAGCAATTTCCAGATTTGAGCCACAGGACAGTAGGTAACTGTGTAACTATATAACTAAGGCACTTTGAGAACCTGGATCCGGTTGTATCATTGCTTCATTAACTAATGTCAACATTAAACCCTAATGATACATTAAATCCTTAATGTATCATTAGTTGATGGCAACGTTAAAAATGGTTGTATCAAACACTTATTAGCGTATCATTATCTAATGACGTCCTAATGTAAATATTTTCATTAAATTCGGGGATTCCCCTAAATATTTCCCACAATTCCGTGACGTAAACACGTAAGCGTTACTCTCGGTCGTCCGTCAAAATGCCATCTTTACGGCTAAACCTCGGAACAGAAACAAACATTTTCACTGCTGTGAAGAAACACATCTACATAATTCTAAAACGTCCCGATAAACCTAGAATCGGATGGGACGTTTTGGAAAATACACGAACACGAACGCCGACGTGAGCTTTCCACCATATTGGATAGTGTTTACAAAATCAAGTTTCGCAAAGGCCGGTCATATGACGCCTATTACATCACGTATATTTCATATTCAGTTGTGACAAATGCATCGCTGAATTCCTCATACATTTTAGAATCAACTTACAAATGGTCTTTGTCACTAAAACCAAGTGTCTAGAAAAAAACGAAACATATTGGGTGTGAAAACGGAGCGTTGTGCTCATAACACAGCACTTGCTAGGAAAGTAAACAAAGCAGAATTTATACTGGGCAGCATTTTCTCAAGTTTTTGTACATCAGTTTGTCAACTTGTAGCATGCATGAGTTCAATACTTTTAGAATATGCACGGAAAGAGTATCGTAGCAAGAACTAGAAAATTAAAAACAGATACAATACAGAAATTTGATATATTCCTTCGAAAGTTCTGTGCAGCGTGACGCCATGCCAGACGCAAAATCATTGAGAACGACATAGGCAATTATCGGCATTTCTGACTTTTTCAATGAAAACAATAAAAACAAATAACCATACGCAGATAGTCAGAATGTTTCCGATTACTTACATCATAACATTTATGGACAAAGGTTCCCTCACAAAATCGTGGATATCCATATCCACAAAGCCGCCATTTCATGAGAAATCAGTCATCGGTAGTGATGTCATATGTCAACATTGTTGGACATATGTGGCAATTTCTTTGAGGTGAAGGTCGGTTGAATAAGATTAAACACAATCACACTGTCCTGCTGATTACACTCTTAGTATTAATGTATACTTTGCGTATCGTTCACATATGGTTTCATGAAACTAATTTCATTATCAACATTTAGTATTTTAAACCTAAGTAAAATTGACATAATAAATAAAAATGATTTATTTATTTCATGAAATGTATATATACACACGTTTTTTAAAGGATATATATGTCTTGTTCATTGAATTTGTTTATGTTGTGTTATAGACAAAACAATGTCGTATAATCATTGGCCAGGTGCGCGTTTGTCACAAATGATTTGAGTATCATTGTTTTCGATAATTCCGTGAACAAAACTTCACGAAAATATAGTGTCCTTATTCACAGCAAATTCTCTCCAAGTGATCTGAGTTACAATGACTTAGTATTAAGCATAGCGGACTGATGACCCCTGATCTTTATAAGCGTATTAATGACCTTTTTGTAGCCATTTGACGTCATAGGGAAAATCCATTTTTCAACAAATATTGTGAGTCATTTTTAAGATTGAGTGTATAACGTTATACATAAGCACACAATCTAATTTAATACATACCTATGTCGTTCAGGTATCAGGCAGAATTTTGTTCGCTCACACTTTCCGTAAAGATGCCAAAATTGAAAATATAGTAGCATAGTAATTTACTGTTTTTAACGCATACCAAAATTAGGGGTAACATTGAGCAGTGTCTACGTTTCAAACTGAGTTTATACCATGAGATAGGACATTTAATACTCTACATTTCTGTGTAATTTTATAGCTGTAGGTAGATCCAGTGCTGTGAAAACGAAATTCTGGCGCAATGTTCACTTTTCCAGGAAGTTTAATGACACTCTAATGATACCCCAGGGATTTCATTAAGTTAATGACACGCGCTAATGACAAAACCACATCATTAAAACGTTAGTACAACAGAATTTAATGACACATTACTTAATGAACGTTTAATGTCATGTTAAAGCTTCATTAAAGTTTGATACAACCGGGTCCTGGATATAATCAACTTATTCTTCTCAACATTCTTGTACGCAAAATTAAAAAATAATATTCAATGTTTGCTGAATATCAACACTTTCAAAATTATGTGATATTATTCAAATTACATATTTTCAATAACATATAAGGCTTTCCTAACATGACTTACTTTTCCAGATATTTTCATGAAAATCTTTGGGAGAAATATGAACAAACTTGAAAAAGATTTAACAAAATAATTTCAAATTATCTGAAGTTCTTGTCAGTCAGGTCAAATACTGACATATTTTGAACTTCAATTCAAATGTTTCTGAAACATAATAAAATATATAGGCTTGGGTTAATTATCATAGTAGACAACATGCTTTTCTCACATTCCAGTGACACCTGCATATTGCTACATCTATTGATAAGTGAGTGAGTTAAATTTTACGCCCCACTCAGCAATATTCTAGCTATATGGCAGCAGTTTGTTAATAATCAAGTCTGGATCAGACAATCCAGTGATCAACAGCATGAGCATTGATCTATGCAACTGGGATACGATGACATGTGTCAACCAAGGCAGCGAGCCTGACCACCCAATTCTGTTAGTCACCTCTTACGACAAGCATGGGTTACTGAAGATCAATTCTAACCCAGATCTTCACGGGTTATTGATAACTGGGTCACACACCCTGCCATGTGGTACAGCACAGTTGTTAGGAGTGTCACATAGTCCTGACACACTTCGGACCGGTCCTGCTTCACAGCCTGTACAAGTCGATCTCGCCACCGCCACATCACTCCCTAAGAAAAAGATTTTATTTAACCTTAAACAGTTCTTTATGCAATATTTTGCTTGATATTTTTAAATGAGATCTTGTTTCTGCTGTAGTTTGGTAAGATCATCCTTAAAAAATGTTGTTTCCAAAATTATATCATAGTTGACCTAGATATCATTCCAGTAGGGGACCAAGGGAGAGAGAGAGAGCTGTTCCCTAAATCTTTCTATTTGGGTATCAGTGCAATGACAAAGATCATGCTAAAATATGACACTGTAAATATTTAGCATACGGCTTTGCTGATAGTTTCTATTTAAACTATTAATGGTACTGTGGTCACACTTTCACCCCAGTTTATGAAAACACTCATCAAACATGATCCAGAGACCCGCAGAATCACAACTAGAAGAGCCCCAGTGCTATGCCATGTTAACTTCGGCTACTCACCGGTGAGGTCTGCTCCAACTGAACCATACACTGACATGCTACAGCCCTCAGTCTCCTGTTGCTGACGTCATTCACTTTGGCAGCTATACTCCATAGAATTTCTATCAGTGATGCAGTTGGATCATGTGGCTGAAATCATACCAATATTAACACATTCATATCATTTTGAAAACCTTATACGTTCATAGGCTTCATATTGTTTCAAACACCTTGAAGTGCACATCTTATTTGACAACAACATATCAACTAGAATTACTATTGGGTGTTGTCTGATCGTATGTTGAATAATTCAAATTTTGTGCAGCATATTAGATACTATTTGTGCCAAAGGTTATATTACAGTGCTCATATATCATGTCAGTTTTAATACAATATATAAAATCTTACAATATTCTGACAGCTGACTAACAATGTGGTCACTGTTATAAGAAGCTGTGTGAGGAAGTTGGTGCTGTCATCTCGACTCTCATATTGACGGAAGATCCCAAACAGATTGGAAGCAACATCATCAATACTGAAAATATGGTAAAAGGAAAATATCTACTAACAATTTACCATCATGTATACAGTGATATAAGCCATAGATGTTGTCATCATATTTTTAACAGGACAAAGATTTTCATTGAACCATGTACAAACTGTCATATAGACTCATTTATGAAAATTCAGCTTAGCTTTGGTCCAGAATTAGACAATGTCAGTACAGGTTTGTGTCAAACTGAACTATTGTCCATGGTTTTATTTTTAGGGTAAACAACAATAAGAGAAATATACATAACCATAATAACATAATTTGCTCTCACAGAAAAACTAGGTTTAAATATTATGATCCAAACAATTTTAAATAAGTCCATTCTTTGTCAGAAACCCATTGGTCCATGCCTTGTCTTCCAATTAGGGGCCGTTCATAATATATGGCTAGGGTGGGTGATGATGATTTTTATTGAGAAGAATGTACAATGTGAAAGACCCCCCTAAAATTTATGTATAAGTAAGTGACCCCCCTGCATGTCATGTACAAAATCAATGATGCCTTCCCCCTCCCAAGATCATGTGTACAAAATTGATGAGACAAACCCCCACCCCAAACAAAATGGGTGACCCCCATTAAAATCATCATCACACACCCTTGCCGTAAATTATGAACAATCCCTTAGCTTATGGATAGTTTTCATTTAGCACCTAGATATCCATTTAGTTCATACCATTTTCAATTACCTCCATGTATTTTGTTGGTATACTATATATAGGTATTCATTATTTTAAGAAAATAGTGTGTTGAATATACTTTCTTTTTTACAATCTTCATATGTACAACAAAAATTATACATGTGGTACATATATTCATTTCGGAAATTGTTTGCCTTATGCAGTCACTGTGGTATAAAAGAGTTTTGATTGAGGTATACTTAAAGGTTTAGTCTCTTGGGTTAGCATTGGGTAGTTAGAGAGATTACCATTTACCTTTTAGTGTCCAGAACATCACCCCCACAGTCTTCAAGCACCCTCAGGAATTCTGTTTTTGTTCCAGTATCCACTGCATCTTCCACCATCAACTGTGAATAACCATGCATGAATAACCAGTGCAGCGGCATTACAAATCTACAATTTACAGGGTCATCAACAATGTCTATTGAGAATGAAATTATATAGTCCATGGTCAAAGACAATCTTTGTGTCCCTTTCACATGATGGTCTATCCAAATCTTACGCAATGAATATCTCTAAATTTGGAAAGAGTTCCTTCTGTTCCCCCATTTCTTTCTTCTGCAGATTAACAAAGGTAATGCAACATGGTTTGACCCTAGATATATTGTAATAAGTTTCGTGTTTTTAGTTATTTTTGTGAGTTCTCTAGTAATTGTTGTGTTAGGTTTTGTTAACAATTTTAGTATATATTAATTTATAAAATTTATTTGGGATGGGGGAACGGGAGGAAGTCTTACCCTAAATTTCACACACTAGTTATATACCATAGATACATATACCAATGTGAGTGATTTTAATGATTTTAACTTTTACCTAATTTCTCGAACTTTGTTCACAACCTCATGATCATGTGGTATTGTTAATTGTAAAGCTGGAATTAGGTATCTGATAAAGTCCTAATAATAATATGGCAATTAAACCAGTAAATAAAGAGCAATAACTACTGACACTTAGTCTAGATGACACTGTTAGGCCTAGTCGTAAAAGGAGGGTGGAGCTCGGCGAGGGTCTCCTGTAGTAGAGTGAACTATTTCCGGACGAGACATTTAATAATACACTTACAAGACTACAGATACCCGAATCTTACTTTAAGCATTTGGAAAACAAAGTTTTCATCCTCTATCAACGTTTCAGTTGTCCCCAACGCAACATGCTGTCTGATATTGGCAACAATTTGCCTGATTTCGCCCGAAGCAGACGAGGAAATTCGACTAGCAGACATCTTTAGACTGGAGGTACGAAAGTAACAAGGGAGCAGTCATTGTGTTACACTTTGGAGAGTAATCATTGTGTAAGAAAGCAATTTATATAGCAACTACAATTTGAATTTTACCAGTTAAATCAAGGACGTACATATTGGGCAAAGTTTAGTAATCTACTCATGTAATCTTCTTAAATGAACGATAACACATTAACGATGAATTTTAACCCATTATTATAAAGAATTACGTGTTAGGTTGTCGCTTTTTTGGGGGCAATATTTTAGATGCAAGTGACAATTGCAGCTGACATTACAAATTCCCGGGACAAAAACGATTGAATTACACCAACACAATCAAGGTATTAAGGGGAGTGTGTGTGTGTGTGTGTGTGCGTGCGTGCGTGCGTGCGCACGCGTGTGCGTGTTGATAACGGTGATTCATCCGTAACACAAAGTGACCAGGCACTCTTAAGAGAGCAGTTTCTGAACAAAAACATAAAAGTAATGTACACTTAAATAAACATTGATTTAAAGGAATTGGTCAGACTACGTTTAAAATAGCACGAGCATCAGACATAGTATCAGGAAGGAATGTATGTATTTATCTGTATAACTGGCTTCTGAGAATGAATAGTTTTATATTGGGAGGGTGTTTTGATAACGGAAATGTCAGATAATGGTCTAAATTGCTGCTTGTCAGTTTCCCATGTTATATGGTAATTTAGGAGACAATCACTGCTATCCCGTCGGTTCCGAAATACGCCCTCGTGACGCCGCTTGGTTGCTTTGACAACAGACATGGTGTGCCGCAGAAGTTCGGTCCCACCAGGTCTCTGGTCCCACATACAGTACCCAGTCGCGCATTGGCGTTGACTTGTCAACATCTCTCTTCGGTTATCTCGAACTGTGGAATGTTGGCAGTAACCTGACTGGTCAAGGGTATTAATTTACCGCTTAACGTAGACAGCAGGTTCATCTAGTTCCTTCCTCGAATGGATGGGTATAGGCGAACGACTGTCGCTAGGATGTACCCAAGAGGTTTAACCATGGGAATTTGAACGCCCAATATGTTCCAGCAGATCTTCCCTCTTCAAGGGATACTATTGCTACAGGACATTGTCTGCTTACACTGCTCGAATATTCCATGACCTCCACACTGGCACATCTCCAGCATAGCCTCGGGCGACAGACAAGACAATGATCCAACCTGCCCAACAATGTACGGCAGTTGGAACATTTACATTAATGGTAAGCGTCGCGTCTAGGCCGCCCTGGGAGGTCACACAAGACATTGATGCCATTACGGAGGTGCAGTGGAAGTGTTCAGGCGCCCGATCCACAAAACGTTCGTATATATGCCATTCGTAAGCCTATGATAAAGTATAGTGTTACGATAGGTCGTAACGTTACAAACGCTTTGTGGATCTGGACACAGGGGCATGTCATGCTTAGAAACAGCGTTAGAAAGACATATAGGTATATAGGCCCTACCCTAGTACTATATAAAAGGCCCTTTATATAGTATATAGTACTAGGGTAGGGCCTATATACCTATATGTCTTTCTAACACTGTTTCTAAGCGTGACACGCCCCTGTGCTTCCCTATACGCGTATGACGCATTGCCTATGGGTCGGATCATCTGGGGGGACACGTAGTTTTGGTTTGTTGGTCGTTTAACGCCGCACTCAGCAATATTTTAGCTTTATGACGACGGTGTGTAAATAATCGAGTATGGACCAGACAATCCAGTGATCAAACGCATGAGCATCGATCAATGCAGTTGGGATACGATGACATGTATCACCCAAGTTAGCGAGCCTGATCAGCCGATTCCGTTAGTCGCCTCTTACAGGCACGAGCTGCCGAGGACAATTCTAACCCGTGTTTTCATGGATCGTTTAACTATGGTGTGAGCATGCCGAACTTCAGGAACCGAAACATTACATTCAAAATGAGTTGTCCATGATAAGCAAACAGTGTGTGTGACGTCACAATAGCAATGACGTCATAGAATGGTTCCATGACGACGTTCCTAGTCCAAGTTCTCAGTTCTAAGCGCATTGTCTTGTCTTTGTGCTCAGACGTACATTTGTTGCTTGTCATAAACATCAGCCTATTACTGATTGCTGATATTTGATACCTGTGAGCTTCATCTGCTGCAGACGAGGTAAGCAAGTCTGTTGAAAAGACTATACTATTTATGTGCTTTTTATCTTGCATTTCCAAAATAAAAACACGCCATTAAATAATCTTGACCTCATTCGTCGGGAGAGGCATTACCGAAAGTGCTAAAAACGTAGATTTCGAAATTTAAAAAGAATGTGTATTTTTCTATCAAACAGATGGCTTTGTGCACGGAAGGTCGTTTGAAGCAACGAAAACCTCTCTCTCCCATTCTCGAGATGGAAGACGAGGCGGCGTCTATCTTGTCTTGCGCTAGATCAAAGGATCTACACAATGATTTACTCGGTAGGTCATCGGTCTACTCAATTTTAAGAATTTTTATTTATTAAGAGTGACAACACAAATAGATAAACTGGGGTGTGTTTTTGTAAGTCACATAGATTTACAAATCTATTGTTTCAAGTGGATGCATAATCTTTGTCAACATGCTAAACATCTGAAGAGAATTACTGCGTTCAGGTCACTAATCACGTCCTGATGTTGGACTTGTTTAACGCAGTCCATGTTTTTTTGTTTTCAGCCCAATACATGGACTTAAAAGCTCAAGTTGGAGATATGGAAGAGAGGTAAGCAGAAGCTGGGCGACTAGACGTCTTTTCCGTTTTCCGGTGGCAAAAGAATGTATCAAAAGGAGACACGGAAATATACTTTCAGTACTTCAAGCTGTCTCGCATAAGAAAATCTGAGAAGAAACTGTGTTGTGGGGAAAAATTACAAACAGAAGTAAAAAACTATATATTCAATCATATGAAAGGCATTTTGAGGACAGTTGTTGCATACTCTTGTATAATCATAATACATGTGTTTTGGAGCAATCTATGTCTCTTTCCGCAGCCTTCTTGACCATCTTCTCCAAGTAAACGAGAACCTGCGCCAGGTGAATGAGCAACAGAGCCGCGAGCTCCGACGTGAACATGAACTGAGACGTAAAGCAGAAAAAGAGAGGGCGGAGTTCAGAGTAGAATATCTAAATTTCAAGCTCAGTTTGACAATGGAGCATGCCGAACTGCAGGAACTAAAACAGACGCTGGAGGAGCTCACCAGTAGCTGGGAGAATGAGAAACAGGCGGAGGCAGAGCAGAAGAAGAAGCTGGAGCAAGAGCTCAAGCAGGTGAAATCCATCCGGCGTCAGGCTCTATCTCTGACCTGCCAAACTCCAGTCAAGGCACAAGCCAGTCTCCCAGTCGTAGCTCCTCCAGCCCACCCGAAGAAGGCACAAAGACCCTATACAGGAAAAAACAAAAGCAGAGTACCGGCCAAGATCCAGCCTGCACAGAACAACAGGAGCACACCCTCTGGTTGTGGGGATAGTGTGAAGAAGACCATGGATGAGAGAAAGACCAAGGTGACTCCTGGGAAAGAACTCAGAACGAAGGACATTAAGAGTGGTCAAAATCTCACCAAACAGTCACGCAGATACTCAAGAAGAGTTCGCCAGATGCATTAAGACATTTAGAGATTGTTATGTGATTGTTGAAGAATATTTCCATTGAGTGTGTTCATACAAATTCCAGTTTTTGTTTGATGACCAGAACTTTCTTTATGAGATGGACACTAAATATTTGTGAAGCAAAACTTTGGTCTTACTGTGATTAAAATTTGTTCCTGATCAAATATTGTTGGTTGTTTTGTTGGAACTGCCGTTAGGGTTTATGCAATGTAGTGGTACTGGTGAATTGCTTGAGCGGGTCCACTGATCATGTAGCGGTACTGCTGAAGTGAGTCTACTGACAATGTAGTGGTACTGCTGAAGTGAGTCCACTGATCATGTAGCGGTACTGCTGAAGTGAGTCTACTGATCATGTAGTGGTACTGCTGAAGTGAGTCCACTGATCATGTAGTTGTACTGCTGAAGTGAGTCTACTGATAATGTAGCGGTATTGCTGAAGTGAGTCTACTGATAATGTAGCGGTACTGCTGAATTGTGTCCACTGACCATGTACTGCTGAAGTGAGTCTACTGATCATGTAGATGTAATGCTGAAGTGAGTCTACTGATCATGTAGTGGTACTGCTGAAGTGAGTCTATTGATCATGTAATGGTACTGCTGAAGTGAGTCTACTGATCATGTAGCGGTACTGCTGAATTGTGTCCACTGATCATGTACTGCTTAAGTGAGTCTACTGATCATGTAGATGTAATGCTGAAGTGAGTCTACTGATCATGTAGTGGTACTGCTGAAGTGAGTCTACTAATCATGTAATGGTACTGCTGAAGTGAGTCTACTGATCATGTAGCGGTACTGCTGAAGTGGGTCCACTGATCATGTACTGCTGAAGTGAGTCTACTGATCATGTAGATGTAATGCTGAAGTGAGTCTACTGATCACGTAGCGGTACTGCTGAAGTGAGTCCACTGATCATGTACTGCTGAAGTGAGTCTACTGATAATGTAGATGTAATGCTGAAGTGAGTCCACTGATCATGTAGTGGTACTGCTGAAGTGAGTCCACTGATAATGTAGTGGTACTGCTGAAGTGAGTCTACTGATAATGTAGTGGTACTGCTGAAGTGAGTCTACTGATAATATAGTGGTACTGCTGAAGTGAGTCCACTGATTATGTAGATGTACTGCTGAAGTGAGTCCACTGATTATGTAGTGGTACTGCTTAAGTGAGTCTACTGATCATATAGTGGTACTGCTGAAGTGAGTCCACTGATCATGTAGTGGTACTGCTGAAGTGAGTCCACTGATCATGTAGATGTACTGCTGAAGTGAGTCTACTGATAATGTAGCGGTACTGCTGAAGTGAGTCTACTGATCATGTAGTGGTACTGCTGAAGTGAGTCCACTGATCATGTAGTGGTAGTGCTGAAGTGAGTCCACTGATCGTGTAGTGGTACTGCTGAAGTGAGTCTACTGATCATGTAGTGGTACTGCTGAAGTGAGTCTACTGATCATGTAGCGGTACTGCTGAAGTGAGTCTACTGATCATGTAGTGGTACTGCTGAAGTGAGTCCACTTATCATGTAGTGGTACTGCTGAAGTGAGTCTACTGATCATGCAGTTGTAATGCTGAAGTGAGTCCACAGATCATGTAGTGGTATTGCTGAAGTGAGCCCACTGATCATGTAGTGGTACTGCTGAAGTGAGTCTACTGATCATGTAGTGGTACTGCTGAAGTGAGTCCACTGATCATGTAGTGGTACTGCTGAAGTGAGTCTACTGATCATGTAGTGGTACTGCTGAAGTGAGTCTACTGATCATGTAGTGGTACTGCTGAAGTGAGTCTACTGATCATGTAATGGTACTGCTGAAGTGAGTCTACTGATCATGTAGCGGTACTGCTGAAGTGGGTCCACTGATCGTGTATCATTGCTGCTGAAGTGAGTCTACTGATCATGTAGTGGTAATGCTGAAGTGAGTCTACTGATCATGTAGCGGTACTGCTGAAGTCTGAGTCCACTGATCATGTACTGCTGAAGTGAGTCTACTGATCATGTAGATGTAATGCTGAAGTGAGTCCACTGATCATGTAGTGGTACTGCTGAAGTGAGTCCACTGATCATGTAGTGGTACTGCTGAAGTGAGTCTACTGATCATGTAGTGGTACTGCTGAAGTGAGTCTACTGATCAATGTAGTGGTACTGCTGAAGTGAGTCCACTGATCATGTAGTGGTACTGCTGAAGTGAGTCTACTGATTGGTGTGTAGTGGTACTGCTGAAGTGAGTCTACTGATCATGTAGTGGTACTGCTGAAGTGAGTCCACTGATCATGTAGTGGTACTGCTGAAGTGAGTCCACTGATCATGTAGATGTACTGCTGAAGTGAGTCTACTGATCATGTAGCGGTACTGCTGAAGTGAGTCTACTGATCATGTAGTGGTAGTGCTGAAGTGAGTCCACTGATCGTGTAGTGGTACTGCTGAAGTGAGTCTACTGATCATGTAGTGGTACTGCTGAAGTGAGTCTACTGATCATGTAGCGGTACTGCTGAAGTGAGTCTACTGATCATGTAGTGGTACTGCTGAAGTGAGTCCACTGATCATGTAGTGGTACTGCTGAAGTGAGTCTACTGATCATGCAGTTGTACTGCTGAAGTGAGTCCACTGATCATGTAGTGGTACTGCTGAAGTGAGTCCACTGATCATGTAGTGGTACTGCTGAAGTGAGTCTACTGATCATGTAGTGGTACTGCTGAATTGTGTCCACTGATCATGTAGTGGTACTGCTGAAGTGAGTCTACTGATCATGTAGATGTAATGCTGAAGTGAGTCCACTGATAATGTAGTGGTACTGCTGAAGTGAGTCTACTGATAATGTAGTGGTACTGCTGAAGTGAGTCTACTGATAATGTAGTGGTACTGCTGAAGTGAGTCTACTGATCATGTAGTGGTACTGCTGAAGTGTGTCCACTGATCATGTAGTGTTACTGCTGAAGTGAGTCTACTGATCATGTAGATGTAATGCTGAAGTGTGTCCACTGATCATGTAGATGTAATGCTGAAGTGTGTCCACTGATCATGTAGTGGTACTGCTGAAGTGAGTCTACTGATCATGTAGATGTAATGCTGAAGTGTGTCCACTGATCATGTAGTGGTAGTGCAGAAGTGTGTCCACTGATCATGTAGTGGTACTGCTGAAGTGAGTCTACTGATCATGTAGATGTAATGCTGAAGTGAGTCTACTGATCATGTAATTCTACTGCTGAAGTGAGTCTACTGATCATGTAGTGATACTGATGAATTTCGTCCACTGATTATGTAGTGGTACTGCTGAAGTGAGTCTACTGATCATGTAGATGTAATGCTGAAGTGTGTCCACTGATCATGTAGTGGTACTGCTGAAGTGAGTCTACTGATCATGTAGATGTAATGCTGAAGTGAGTCTACTGATCATGTAGATGTAATGCTGAAGTGAGTCCACTGATCATGTAGTGGTACTGCTGAAGTGAGTCCACTGATAATGTAGTGGTACTGCTGAAGTGAGTCTACTGATAATGTAGTGGTACTGCTGAAGTGAGTCTACTGATAATATAGTGGTACTGCTGAAGTGAGTCCACTGATTATGTAGATGTACTGCTGAAGTGAGTCCACTGATTATGTAGTGGTACTGCTGAAGTGTGTCCACTGATCATGTAGTGGTACTGCTGAAGTGAGTCTACTGATCATGTAGATGTAATGCTGAAGTGTGTCCACTGATCATGTAGTGGTAAGTACCACTGCTGAAGTGAGTCTACTGATCATGTAGATGTAATGCTGAAGTGAGTCTACTGATCATGTAATTCTACTGCTGAAGTGAGTCCACTGATTATGTAGTGGTACTGGGCGTAAAGGAAAATATTATGAATTCGGCACTGTGAGACAGTGTATGATCAATTAACGATAGTCTGGGAACCGTCTCTGGTTTTAGACATAGACTGCCATGTAAGCAAACTAAACTTGTTCATAATTAGAACTGCACATTTACCTAAACGAAAGTAGTAGTTATAATGACTGTGTAAATGAGTATGTTTTTATGTTGCTGCTGTCAGAAGAAACGGTAATGAAACCAGATGTGCTGGTTGCTTTTTGTTAATTCACCAGAAATACCGTGAAATAGGCTTTCATCTCTTGGTTTGTTTTACCACAGATGACTCAACTTCAAAGTACATAGCAAACGGAGTGTGTTCATTTTCTCGTTTACCTTTCACAGGCAATCCAATCTGACAAAATGGTAATGTGTGATGCAAAACTCCTGACATTTACCGATTTTCTGGATGATAATGATTGTTTGCGAAAGAACAAAGCACCATTAAAATGACATTCCCAAATGATATGTTACCAGCGGGATCTCTGCAAGCTGATATGATTTACGTGGTATGAGGGATATGTGTATTAATGGAGGATAAATCTTTCACGTTGCTGTTGCAATATCCCTTGCGTGCCACGGAGTAGTTTGTCCAAACATAGTCATCATATATAGTCTGTACAATTAAAACTGAAAAACAAAATGGAATGTACTGTAATTTATACAGATTAAGATCATATCTTATGTACCGGATCACATTCAATATTCTCCACCATACCCTAAATCCTTGCAAATTGACCATATCCAATGAAACTGATTATATCCTATGCACTTGATCATATCCTATATACTTGATCATACTTAATATAGTTGGTCATATCCTACACACTTGATCCTGCCCGTTACACTTCATCATTCAGACCCGTGAAGCTCCGGGTTAGAATTCATCTTCAGTAACCCATGGGGGCGGTGGGGTAGCCCAATGGTTAAAGCGTTGGCTCGTCACGCCGAAGACCCGGGTTCGAATCCCCACATGCGTACAATGTGTGAAGCCCATTTCTGGTGTCCCCCGCCGTGATGTTGCTGGAATATTGCTAAAAGCGGCGTAAAACAAAACTCAGTCAGTCAATCAGTAACCCATGCTTGTCGTAAGAGGCGACTAACGGGATCGGGTGGTCAGGCTCGCTGCTTTGGTTGACATATGCCATCATATCTCAATGGCGTAGATCGATATTCATGCTGTTGATCACTGGATTGTCTGGTCCAGATCCGATCATTTTGCAGATCGCCGGAATATAGCTGGAATAATGCTGAGTGCGGCGAAAAAACTAAACTCACTCACTCACTTCATCATTTATTAGCAATACCCGTGACC